ACTATGAGAATACCTTAAAGGTATGACCACTAATCCAACCAAAGCTCGTTAAAATCCTAATGTCTCCTTGTTGGATCATAAATATAATAGAGGCTTTATCTGTTTTCTTTTTTTTTTTTGTCCAAATGTTTCCACCATATTTTATAAGTAAAAATAAGAAAAGAATGTTATGGGCTTTGAAATGTTTGATTAAAAAGTCAAAGAGTTTCTCGAATAAGAAGAAGAAAGTGTTCCAGAAAATACATGTATCGAAGTTCGTTTCGAGTGTTTCTAATAACGTATCATGATCATGCTCCGTCATGCTATATGTAGAAAGCAGAAAGCCAAAACGTTCGACTTATTCTATAGGCGCATGCGATCAAAGATTCACGTGTACTTTTTTTCATTCCAAACTATCTGATCTTTGATCTAACAGATTTTGTTCATTTTAATTCATTCCAATAGTTTTTGGAAATAAATAAATTGTACAAACGGAATATATTTCTTATCTGATATTTAAATAATAGAGAATCCATTGACCAATTCTGCGATGTTAAAATAGAAGAGAAAAAAGAAGAAAATAAATGGTTGTAGGGAAATGGCGCTAAGACAATAACTGAATCTTAACGAAGAGGTCGTATTGTAGGTATATGGACTATATGGACTATATGGACTATACAGGGTGCAGCACAAAGTGGTTCTCCTTGGAACGATGATACCGCATTCCAGTGCATGAATCTTTCTAGTTAGTCGATCTTTTCTCTTCCCTTATCTTTCTCCTCGACTTTCTGTTTCAATCTTTTGCTTCACCTTTGAATAGTAATGCTAGAAATACTTACAACGAAAGGACATTCTTGTTCGAGTTCGTTATTGGGTTAAAGTTATTATCATTTGTAATAATCTTGACCATACCTGATACACTTTTAACTTTCAATGACAACTTGAATCAAGGAATTCATTATAACCGTTGTAATATCATTTCCTTAACATCTCATCGGTCAACGACGTATCTTATCGTAGCTTGAATCTTTAAAGTAATGTTACAACGCATAAAATATATCTATAAACACATACACATATATATTATATTTACTGTTACTTTTACGCCTTTACTATATATATATTTATTATAGAGAGGTGCTTCATTGAAATGTGTCGACAAAAACAATTTCTCGACGTGATTACATAATATAACTTTACATAACCGTAAAACCTCGTGCCGAGAAAAGTAGATATTCAATGCGTCGAAATTCAATGAGGTAACCTATTAATATCTTTCTCTCTTGGTCACATTTTATCTATCATGGTATCTATCATGGTATCTATCATGGTATCTAGCATTGTATCGAACATCGTTTTTGAGAGATGCAACGAATCTACCAAAAAAATATAAACGTCCTATAGAAATCAAAACAAGGAAATTGTAGAGAAAGTTTATTGAAATGGATAAAGTAATGCTGCGGAAAGTGTTAAGTAGTCGATTAGGATTTTGTAATGATGTGAAATCGTTCCTCTTAGTTCTCCTGTCTAGCTCATTAACTAGAAAAAATCAACGTAACTAGGCAATTTTGAGTATATAGTTTATAGTATAGGTAATACTCTCGTAGAATAAGACACCCGTTAATTTGTAATTAATTATAGAAATATTGAAAGTTTCCAAATGGCGTTGGACGTTGAATTGAAGTTAACATTCGAAGAATGAAGATTTAACTGTAGATTAAACCGAGGACGAGACTATAGGGCACACGTAGGAAGAAAGGTCATCGACACCTTCGCGCATAGATTTTCTTCGGATCCCCTTCACGTCTTTGTAAGAATCGTTGCTACCGCCGTTGTTGTCGGCATCACCGACGCGTATCTATAGGATGTACTAAGAATGACAATCAGGGAAGTTCCATTGAACGCGTGCTTTGCATTTTTATTCTTTCTTTTTCATCGCGATGACTCGAATCCGGTCTCTGATAAAAGATCACCCACTACTTCCAAAAATTACTTCTCAATAGGATTTCTTTTTTTACATTAATAATACTGACAAATGCAACAGAATTTTCATTATTTTAGTAAAGGCACAAGAAAAATCCTTGTAATAGATTGAGAGAACAGCTTTTACTCGTAAAGGATTCATATATGCGTATTCGTGAGACGATACCGACTATAGTGATGGTAAATACTATAGTCTAAAGCATATGAACTATCCGAGCGTTGAAATGGATCACCGAGGATCATCATGGCTTTCACTTACCAAGAACGAACGGATGTTCCTTCGCATTCGTAAGTGTCGATTATATACATCGATCTGTCTTGATCTTCCACTCGTTTGCAACTTTTTTTTCTATCGCGTTTTATGCAATCACTGAACGAACGGCTTCTTTTTCTTTTTCTTTTTCTTTTTCTTTTTCTTTTTCTTTTTCTTTGATTGTGAGAGCGGTTATTGTTCTCTCGTCTACCCAAAATAACCGTCCTGCTACCAGTAACCACTGCTATCAGTGCTAATAATTATAGAGAAGAACAATATCAAATCATGATTGTAATAAGAAAGGAATAATAGTAAACAACAGAAATGACTAAATGCATCTGCAATGAGTGTCATTTAAAATCGTACAGCGTTTACTTTTACTCAATTTTTCCTTGGAAGTGTACGAATTTCATTGACTTGTCATTAGATTCTAATCATTTGAATAAGAATCGGATAGATGCAAAATTTTCAGGGATACCCGAAACATTAAACGAAAGTTGTACGAAACGTGGATATAACATTTCATTATGTAATATCTAGTTTACGTAATTTTTCTATAGTGACTACGCGAAACTCGTACTACGACTACGAGTTTACGGTGCTTTAGTTAAATTATCGATTTAAGAGATACTTTTTTTACACCCGCAACATTTCTCGAATATCTATTTAACCTCTTTTTATATTTCTTTGGCCTTTAAAAAGAGAAAATCATATGTTATGTTAACATCAAATTTGAATGTATATTAAAAGACAATAAAATGATGTTTTATATATAGTAAATAGGTAAAATACTCTCTTAGATGTTTTCCATTTGAGAATATAACTGGCATATCTTATTTCCATACCTATTTCTCAATATTGCATTCAGGTTTTGCGTCAAGATCCGTATTCCGTAATACTGTTCCTTATATAGCTCTAATCTATCTTCAAAGACAAACACTTCTTTAGATTTCAATCTTACGGGGGTTCGAAGAAAATTCGATGATTTTTCTCGTTTCACGTAGAATAATAATGTTTGAATATGTATTATCGTTGAGGTGTTTGTCGGATGGATATACGAGGCGGGGCACCAAGACGGAAGGATAACGGGATCAGGATGCATAATCGGCTAGCGAGGCCGAATATTAATCGAAGAGGGGCAGAGAGGCAGGATATAGGAACCGCATTGGTACTGGAATCCTTGACGTGTGGGTGGTATGTAACACCACCAGCTACCGTGATCACGCACCATTGTACTTGTCTGTTGCAATTTTACCGTTATCCGGAAGGCATTTCTTTCTTTGCTGACCGGTAATGCACTTCCTGTATATTTGCAATCTATCGTAAGCTTTGTCGCAAACCTAATTCGTCAATTTCGAATAGGATCAGCTTGAATTTCTATGAAAATGAAATATTGCTACGAATGTATTTGAATGACCGCAGCGCGATATTATGTCGTGATCATGCCAAGGTCAAGACAAAAGTCCTTCCGCGTAGATTCCTTAGACCAAGTAAGTAAGAAGTAAAAAAGTAATGCCCTTCTCTCTCGGTGCTCGCTTAAAACGATTTATTCGAGAAACTGGATTAAACGGAGCGAGAAAGTTCCGTTGTCGTCGAAAGCGTCTGGCATTAACATGCGTGACCACCTTGTTCGAAATCGTCCTTGGTCTTTCCAAGAACAAGCTGAACGCGTCTCGCCCGATCGGTATTCCGTCTGTTAACCACGAGAAAATCTCCTTCAACTTACATTTTGATCGATTTTGCATTTTGTTGCTCATCGTCCCACATTTTCGTACGCAAACCCATACGTGATTTTCGTTGAATCCGCCATTTTGGTCCCTTCCTTCCTTCCTTCCTTCCTTCCTTCTGCAAATGTGTTCAATAATACAACGACTCGTTTATTTCACAAGTAGTTTTTTTTTTTTTTATAATTCAGTGCAGGTAAGGTTTGATTCATCCAAGCGCCATTCAAATGCAGACATCGACAAGTATGGTGTTTGCATCGCGACACCTCCTCTGAGACGACGGCTATTGTTATCTTAATTATACGACATTATGATCAATTCGCGCACCCCTCGTGGGAATTTCGCTGTTGCATAAAACATATACTTTGTTTTTAGAAATGATTTGTAAATATCATCGCCTCCTATCATCTTGATCGTTAAGTAATAACGCCTTGTGAAATATAGCCAGTCAATTTGTGATAGAAATGAAAATACTTCATCCGATAATCGTTTCCTATATTTATCTATCTCGTTCGCCGTTTATTTCTTACGTTGTAGAATAAATAATAATGATCATCCCGATTTCTAAATCTAATTAGAAATAAATATTAGCCTTTTGCCCGGAAAATAAGTTTCGTGGCGATTTATTTAATAGATAAATAATTATCGTTATACGGAGATTTCAATGCATGGCTAAAAAAGAAAAGAAAAATGGATAACAAAAAGGAATGTTAATTTTGGTTTAATTTCGAGCTTGTGCTCCTTCCTTCTGGAAGAATAAGACGAAAACGCGTCGTTAAGTCTCCGAATGGATGGCATTTTGTGCGGAGGCCGAAAAATAAAAGGACGGCAACTTGGGTAGAAAGAAAGAAAGAAAGAAAGAAAGAAAGAAAGAAGGAAGGATGGGAAGGGGTCGGAAAGGTTTTGTACGGTGTACACCAATATAGTACAGGCAGGATAGGTCTTTTCTCGAAGTAATGCGAAGAAGAGACAAACGATGGGGTGGTGGAAGGTGCAAGGAAGAGAAGGAGGGGAAATTGGTGGAGGAAGGGCACAACACGTGACCGATGCCTGATATAAAGTTGGAAATCGAGGAGACGCGAACACAGAAAGATCTCTTTCTCTTAGCGAACAAGTGGAGGTGGTGTCTACACAGTAGTGACTTCTTTACATTTAGTTAACGCGAGGACGAATATCCCTGGAGCACGCAAACAATCCTTTAATCAACATGAGGACGTACTACGTGATAGCCGCCATACTGATCGCCGGTACGTAAATGAATGAAAAAACAACTCACATGTGCATCGATTTAAAATCCATTTCCGCGACGTGATTCTGTCTAAAGGATAACTAAAGTCATTTGGTTTGTCGATTTTTCATTGGGATTCGGTAGTGACGATGGACACGGATCAAAGTGTGTGACATGCATTACGTGAATTAACTCGAATTACTATTACTACCCCTGTCTATTTCTACCACTTGCAAAGGTTTTATTTAATTATTAGATATTGTCAGATTTCAATGATTACTTTCCTTCTCGACTGATTCAACTTTTAGGATCTAGAGGATTAACTTTATTACCATGCAATAATAATAATCGATGTTCTTCGTGCAGCATTCGTTCAGCGCAGCATCACACTCGTTGTTAAGTCGTTAGCCTACTTACTTTTTATGAATATCATTCAAACCCACTCGATTAATAAACGATTAATTAGTAAATACAATTATTTTCCAATTGAAAACCTTTGCGAAAATTCATTATTTTTCATTATAATTATTATTTTGGTATCCTATATGTATATAACTAAATATATTACACTATTATCGTTGGTTTTATCATCAATTTGGAATACTTTATATTTAACTAAAGCAAAAAATATTTTAAATAAATGATATAATAAATATTGCAAATTATACATGAAAAGAAAATGAAAGAAAAACCCTTTCTTCTCATAAAAGAAAAATGTACGGAACAAATATCGCTCGCATATAACGAAAATCAAAGAAATGACTGAAATAAAAGGAAGCGGAAGATAAAGATAAGGATAACGATAAAGCAAAGTAACACGAGTTAATGCCGTAAAAATTGAAACACTTCGAATGCCGGAGAAAGTTTTGTCGATCGTCTGTAAAAGACCACACCTTCATTTTTAAACGGCATTGACGTTCGGGCAAGAAAAAAAAGGTGGGAAAAAAGAAAGAAAGACCCAACATAAATTTGCGACACAAGAAACATGTAATTCGTGCGAAAGTTGAACTCCTTCCCTTTCCTTTAACATACGAGGTTAACCTTGGCCCGGATTTTAACTCATCCCTCTCTCTTTAATTTTTTTTAATCGTCCAACCATGCGAGAAGATCAAGGATAATATTTCTTAAGTAGGAAATCTAATATCGATCGAGCTAACTTATTAGAATAATTTTCAAATAATATCAACTAAACGAAATCTTATTGCGGAAGTTTCAAATACTATTGGAGCATGACAAAAATGAAGAAAAATTCAGGAAATCAGTCGAGGAAAGTATATAAATAAAAAAATTAATGCATGCTTGAAAGTACAAACGACGAACGTGTAAAAGCATCAGGATCCTACATGTATGATCTTTCTTAAAAGTATTTCTTTTGAAAACTATGAATATGTTTGTACGTGGCATATATGCATAGTACAGAAGCACGGTAGTTACTTTTATGTTTGTATACGTTAAACGAATGAAGAATATAGAACTGAAAGGAGTGAACGGGATGCTGGAAGGGTTCGCAAGTACCACCACTACCATTACCAGTACCACCAACAGCAATTCTGTTATTTCTGCACGGGCTGGCTGCTCCTATCCGGCTGGCTCTGGGCCCAAAGTGAAAGCGTCTGGCGAAAGTCAACTCGTATCCTTACATAACGCATTCATATTTATTCGTCCATCGTATGTCGCCAAAAGGACAATTTATTCCGACACATTATCCCAATAACGGACTCTAATCATTACCCCGTTACCCTTGAAAACTTATTTTTTTCATTAATATGAAACAATCATTTGTTAATTAAATAGAAATAAATTGGTATTTTCGCAACTGCGAATGATAATAATATCAGGGTGTAGTTTGATCAAATCATTTGGAAATTAATTATAATAATTAGTATTAACTTCCTGGATGAAATTTTCTCATTTAAAATGAAGGGATTTAAGTTTACGTTTAATACTATCTAATTATTGTTTCATTAGTTCATTCTCTTCCGAGATTTAAACCGAACGAATTATTATTTGAAGAGCGATACAAACAAAAGCCTGAAATTATATTAAAATACGATCTGTCGACAGAGACAGGGATTACCTATAATTTAGAATTCTTCTTCTTCTTCTTCTTCTTCTTTTTCTTCTTCTTAACCGCAATCTACATTGGTTGATTGCTTGCTTGCTTGCTTGCTTGCTTGGGATTTCGTTCTCTTTTCTTATATTTGCTAAGAAAGGAGAATTAAAATCATGTTGATAGGAATAATAGAACCGAGAAAGAATGAATGAAAGATAGAAAGAGAGATAGAGAAAAAGAAATACGACTCCGTGTTTGCCTGCGTAACATCAGGATGGTTTAACGAAACCAGTTCATGCCTTGAGAGCGAAAGTAATCTGTCAGTCGAAGAAAAAAGGTCCCCGGCCTTCGTGAATTTAAAATGAGATATCGAACAAACAGATTACTTCATCATTCCAATTATTTCGTCGAAGATTTTAGTCGAAACTTTTAACTTATTGAACATTCGTTGATGAAATTTACAGGAAGTAACGGCCAGGAGAATTTCAAATGTCCAGATGACTTTGGTTTCTATCCACATCACATATCTTGCGACAAATATTGGAAGTGCGATAATAACGTAGCGGAATTAAAAACGTGCGGGAACGGTTTGGCTTTCGATGCATCTGACAGCAAATTCCTTACCGAGAATTGCGATTACCTGCACAACGTTGAATGCGGTGACAGAACGCAATTGGAACCACCGATCAGTACGCCGCATTGTTCTCGTCTTTACGGTATCTTCCCAGATGAGAAGAAATGCGACGTATTCTGGAATTGTTGGAACGGAGAAGCATCCAGATATCAGTGCAGTCCTGGACTTGCTTACGATCGCGAAGCCAGAGTTTGCATGTGGGCCGATCAAGTACCCGAATGCAGAAACGATGGTATGTAAAAGAGAACTTTGACCTACCTTTTCCTGCTAATAAGTAAACACACGAAACTCGACTACGTTCTAACTTATCTCCTTTGAATTAGATCTGGAATAGAATGATGATGATGATGTAGTTAGTTTTAAATATAAATGAGAACAGATATGTATGTACTGTGATATTACATTAAACAGAGGTCGCCGGAGGTTTCACGTGTCCAGCCGCAGGTGAAGTGAGCGGCGCATCCGGCAGCTTCAGCAGACACGCCCATCCTGAGGACTGCAGAAAATATTACATATGTCTCGAGGGTATTGCTAGAGAATATGGTTGTCCGATTGGTACCGTGTTCAAAATTGGCGATGCCGATGGTAGCGGTGCTTGCGAAGATCCTGAAGATGTTCCAGGATGGTAAGTTAGACTTTTACTTTTGGTCTTTCTGTGTGAGCTGCCTGATCTGAAAGTAAGCCACACATTATATACAACATTTATCGTTTACTTTTCGCTCAATCCGCGAACGCCGTATACTTACTTTCACCGTATTAACTTGATCTAATTCGCGATGTCGGGTACAAGCCAATCTAGTTTGTCTGGGTATATGTATGTTCTGGTAATAATCTACCATACCAAATGTCAATCCCTTTGTTACTGCATATCCTTAACGCTTCAATGTTTTAATAATAATATTCTCTCGTCGCAAATCAAATAGAAAACATTGTTTAGGATTTGATTAGAAATAGTTATGTATTCGTTCATTTGTTGTATCATGTTATTTAATCTGCACATTCACGTAGCATGCATCACGCCTTATCGGTTTCAATTTTGATTCCCTTGGAAGAAATAACGTTATATATATTAGTATGTGTTCTATAAGTTTTCGGAACTTGCTTACATCATGAGAAAAAAAAAGAGCACTCACACGACAAACACGTGTCGGCTCGAATCGCACGCGCATGTCTTTAACCATTGGATATTTTTCCATTTTGCTTCACAGCGAGGATTACTATGGTGACTTGGACCTAAAAAGCATCAGGAAGAGCGAGTTACTCGCTGGAATCCAAAGTTCTGGCGAACCGAGGAAACCATCTCAAGGAAAACCTAGACCCGCACCGATACCTGCGAGGCCATCCGCACCTCTCCAGGAATAATCTTCTAAATTACTCTATCAATTTGTTTTTTTTTTCTTGATTATTTTCTTTCCATCCCATCCCATCTCATCCCATTCCCATTTCCATTCTCCTTTTCCTACTATTTCTTTCGTTATTTTATTTGATCTTACGCTCAACGAGCCCCAAACACCTCCACACTCTTGCTCTCGCAGTATCAACATCATCCTACTATCAGAAAAAAGGAACATGTGCTTCTGGTATGGAAGGAAGCATTGTCGCGTTTTTTAATTGAACATTTCTCTTATTTTAATTCGATTAGGCACGATTCTTTCTCGTAGCCGAATTTCAATCGAATGTTAAATACATTTGGATGGATAACAAATCGGACAACTACGGTAATGGACAATTGATGATGATGAATTTTTTCTTCTAATATTTTTACTAATAATTTCAATGAATTTGGTTGATTGCACACGTTATATACGAGTCTCTTTTTAAATTATTCGAATGTTGGCTGTGAATCATCGTTACCGAATGGTTCAATAATTGATTGAATTTAGTTCAAAGTTATTATCCGAAGTGCCAATCAGTTTAATATCTATTTCTAATTATTCTCAATTATTATATATTTCTCTGTTTTGTTTTTCTTTCTATTTTTTTCTATTTTTGTTCTTTTTTTTTTGTAACATTTCAATTGTATCAATATTAAACTAATTGGCACTTCCAATAAAAGTCTCGGTAGACTTAAAGATACGTTTTCGTTTTCTCCGCATTATTTGGACAAAGTTAACAAGATAAATAATAATAATAATAATAATAATAATAATAATAATATTACACATTTTATCCTAATTTTATCTATCCTTAGATAGCGTTCATTGACCAACAAACAATTTGCCAAAAATAATATCAAAATAATATTTCATATTGGCCCGAGTGTGTTCGGTCAAGTTCGCTTCTATTACAAAATAAAATCGCCGACACTTGTATGTTTTATAGTAAAATGGAAAACGTGTAAATAAAAAAAAAACATTCAAGAAAATACGATTATAATTATGATCATATTTTTCAATAGAATATTGTAGTCAACATTTTGCGATCGGATGTTTGAAGAACGGATCGTAAATTGTTAACTCACTCTCTCCAAATTTCTTGACCTAATTGATGTAGCTTACATTTCACATTACATTTCACTGAAATTACTTTCAATATCCTTTCTTCCTATGTTTTGCACGCACCTCTTGAACATTTGTAATTTAATACCGATCTAATAACGATGTCATATATATATATATATGTTGTGTTGTCTTTCAAATTGATAACGTACTCTGTTAATAACTACTATCGCGGTTGTTTATTATATTATTTATAATTTAGGGTGGCAAGTTTTTTTTTTTGTAACATTTATGTGAGTACGGTCAAATGCATGGGTCAGTAGTTTTTTTTTTATTTTTCATGAATATTTCAAATAAATGTTCAAATAATTCTAACACAATCATATAAACATCATGATGGTGAATTTCTCAGCGAAGACTACTATCGAGGGGTGGACTTAAAGGCTCTACGTAAATTAGGATTCAAGAAATAAAGAAGAATATTGAAACGTTGAAAAACAACAAGAATGGACGTATCTGGAGGATAGTTGGATAGTGGATTGTGAAACCACCGAATTCGCACTGATATTCTTTGATGAATTTAAAATGTAAATAAATAATAAAAAAATTTGTTAAAACTTAAATTTGTAATTATTTATGCCTATATGAATGCAACCCTCCAGACACAGTTCGAAAATGTTGCTTGCGAGCGCCATCTACTGGGACGGAATTTGTTTGCAGTCAAAACTGTTTATACACGTGTGTATGACGGGCCTATCTTTCGGGTTGAAAAAAATTCCGTCCCGACAGATGGCGCTCCCAAGCAACATTTTCAAAGTGTGTCTGAAGGGTTGCATACGAACAGGCGCGCATTTTTATAATTAAATTAATAATTAAATAAATAATTACAAATTAAAAGTACAAATAATATTATAATAATATTATTATAAAATAAATTATATCCTCGAAACTTGTTTATTTGAAGATTTCACTTCTAACTAGTGTGATATGCACACATATTTTTTTCATTTTTACCTAAATAATAATACATAAATTTATTACATCAATTTTTCTTGTCAGTCTATGAATAATAATATCTTCCATTACCATGTATAAAATTTGGTAAAAGATTTTGTACAAGAATAGAGTTTCCCAATTGTTTTTTCAATTTGTGATAAGGAACAATAAGCAAAGAGTGTCAAAGTAAAATCAAATGTAATAAATTGCAAGAAATTTTCAATTATAGCAGATTTGTAAACTTTATTCGGATAACAAAATACAACGTATGCAAGTTAGTTGTATTTATTTATCACAATTAAATATCAATCAAATTTTTTTACAATTATTGTAAAATAGTAGAATAAATAATTATTTATATATATCTCTATTCTTCATTGTTGTCGATTCGATTAACTTTTTGTACTATTCTATGAGAAATCAAAAAACAAATTTAACATTTGATTTTAACTATTGCTCTCTCTCTCTCTCTCTGTATTTAAAGTTTTCTAAAACTAAGCAATAGAGATATTATAAATTAATAGAACATATAGAGTGTATCACCGCTTATATTTATACAACCCTGTATAAATTAAGAAAAATTTAGTTTAATAATATTTAATTTCACTTTGCTTAGTCTAAATCAATCAGTAAATATTGAAACTTTTACATACTTCTAAGTTTCAAGAAATTTGCTTCATAATTTATAATTTTAAATACAGCGTAAAATATATACATATACATATAATTTGAAAGAGAAATAATTAAAATAGTATAAGAAAATGAATGTTTATGTAAATCCCATGTTTATATAATTTAAATTATATATATATATATATTATATAGTGCTAATTTACATAAAAGCAATTTGAATTTTCAACTATTGCGTTAATGTAATTTTCTAAATATAATTTAATAGATCGCTATATACGATGAAAGAATTAATAGTCTTTCTCACAAATTACTCATGCTACAATTTACTTTTTTAACAGACAGATTGTCTTTACGGATTGTCATGAAATCAACAGATAGATAAAATAATCAAAATGTATCTATAAATTGATAAAAATTCCATTACATTTTTTATATCTTGCAAATTAAAAAAAAAAGAAAAAGAAAAAGAAAAAAAAACAAAAACAACAACAACAAGAAAAGAAAAATCTTTGTGCAGAAATGAGACTTATACGAAGCTTAATATTAAATAATAATATACAAGTATATTGCCTGGACATAGACTTATTTCTAATTTCATATAGTTGGAAAATTGTGTGGAATGGCGCATACTTTCTTAATCCATCACATAACGGTGATGACGTATACACTGATCTTTATAAAATATGTCCAACATGTTTCCATATTAGATGCACATATTATTATATATTCGTGCCAATAATCTTGATGTCATGTTTTTGGCTTTTCTCTTTTTTCAGATCCATCTCCGGAATGATCACAATGATTACAGTGAATAATGATGTAGTAATTTGAATACGAAACAGCTTAGTATCTACAAATACTGCTGCATAAGATTTAACAAACCTCATCGTTTCTTGGACTTCATGGCTCATTGTAGAAGTACACTTGCTTTCAACTTTAAAAGTACTCCTTACAAACTTGTAAAGTTTGTATTGACGACATGTCTCTTTTACAAATGTTATGTTTGTAAAGCATTCGAATTTTTAAGCGGTTTGTATCCCTAAAAGGAAAAATTAATCAAACTAAATTTTTGATATATTATAAGAACTGCCTTTTTGGTTTCTATTTTTTTGTTTGTTCTTTTTTTCTTACAATTAAGATTACAAATTTACATATTTACATGCATTAATAAATAAAATATATTACTCTTTCATTAGAAAATTACTATGATAAAGTTATTATAAAATGATTATTTTATGAAATATTTGTATAAACGATTATCCTTCAAAATCTTCATATCCGTGTATATTATTCTCATTTTGTAATAAAATAATGTCAAATATTTCGTAAGATAATCAATTTACGAAATTGTTTATATAGTATACTTTTATTGTTAATAGTAGTAGTTGCATTAAATGATGCAATTGATATTTATTTGTAGTTCATGCTGCCATAATGAGGCGCTCGTACACATAAATATTTGCTTTCTGGTCTTACAGCATTGTTAAATGAATCCCGCAATCGTTCTGTAAACGTTTTATATTCCATCTCTGGATTATTCTGGCCAAAGTCAAAATCCGCTACTTCAACAGTGAATCTCGCTCTACTTTGGATGTAATATGCCACACCAAAAACTATTAGAACAACAGCAACAAGAGTACAGGAAACAGGAACGACTATTACCGAGAGCTGTGGCTTTGGTGTTACTGTCAAATTTAAATACAATAAATAAATCATTATTTCAATCTTAAATGAAAAAAAAAAAAAAACAAAAACAAAAACAAATTAATAATGCATTTAAAAAAAGATACAAGATATGCATACCTTTGTAAACAGTTATAGTTTTAGGATAAATTTGTTTACTGACGTCGTTGTTTAATATAACCAAAATTGTATATTCGGTAGGTTCAAAGAAATAACGAACGATAGAAAAATTACACGATTGTAGTTGATCAGTGTATTCGCACGTCTCATTACCAGTTACATTATATTTTCCTTGATGAAATTCGAAGCATTTATAAAATGGTCCTGAACCATTACAAGTTACATTAAGAGACAACATGTCCCAGGGTTGAATCCAATCAGTACCCTTGATTGTAATATTTGTTATCGGTGCTATAAAGTAATTAGAATGAAAATTAGTTCAATTGTTACTTTTAAAATATCACCTAGTATATTTACCTCTAACCAAAATTTTCTTCATAAAATAACCATATGTTTTATTAGGATCCATAGGTATGATAGACGTATTGAGGCATATGTATGGAAATGAAATGTTGCTATGATTTGGCATAATTGAATTAATTGTAGGTGCATTTGTCATCAATGTTGCTTGAGTTGCATTTATATGTGATATAGTTGTAGGCGATATTGTAGTTGTCGATAGAGCAGTACTTGCATTGGCATTTATTAAAGATGTATTTGAAGTCAAATTTAAAGATGGTACAGTAGTAGTTGTGACTGTAGTTGTGGTGGTTTTAATAGGTTCGAACGACGCAATAACCAAAGCTGCGATACCATGAGACACATCAACGTTTGTAAAATTATAAACAAAATTTAGATCATTAGTTTGTCCGTAACTTTTACAATCGATAAACCAGTAAGTCGATACAGACGTTGCATTTTCTTTTATAAAATTATAATCTCCTTCACGTATATTTATACTGAATTGTGTTTCCAATGAAGATGAAACAAAATCTTCACTTGTTGTCTTATTTGCTTGAGATACTGTTAAGTTGCCATTAAGAAGTGCTACAAGATATAGAATAAAAGTTAATGTAAATTAATATAAATATCAATGTTTTTACCTACCAATGTTATAATACTTACATGTAACTTCAAAACTTATACGACTACTGGTTTCATTATGCCAAAAGAAAAAAGAAGATACATAAACTATTACTTCGACTTTATAAGTTCCTACAGAATATTTATCTCGGGGGTAACTCAAGTTCCAATACGTGGTAGTATTCACTGTATTCGCTACCTACACACAAAATTGTTTGTTATAATTTATAATAAATCAAAGTTATTCATTATATATAGAAATTAAAATACTAACAAGACTTCTATGAGGTATAAGAGCATCATCGGTCCATACATATCTGAATGAACCAGATGGTCGGGATCCATCTGATTTGTATAAATCTGCTTTGATTGTAATCGTACCATCTAACACAACGGGACCATTGTGCGATAAGACGACATACAACGAAGAATGAACTGTAACGTCAAACATAACAAAATAATTAATGAAATATTTTCATTGCATACAACAAATCATAGACAATATTACAATATTAATGTGAAGGTAAATGAAGTAAGAAAAAATAAAGAAAAACTAAACATTAACAACTAAAATAACTCAAATTCGATGACAAGTTAAAATCCATTGTTATGTTTGAAATAATTCATTGCATGACATTTAAATAAATAAATAATAATAATAATAATAATAATAATAAAATTGTACCTGACGAAAAACAATAAATAATCCAGACGAGAATGCAGCAAGAATATGAAGCTTGCATTCCGTACATAACTATAAAACTGTCACATTTATATAGAATTTATTTTATCTTCGTCAGACCGTCCTTGTAACACTGTAAGATCACTTATCCGTTTATCACTATATGGTAGCCATTTATAATTTGATGTTTCTTACTGATTGGTTAAATCTTCTCAGAAACACCAATTGCATTGAATGTTTAGCTCATGCAAAAGCACCACGCATACTTCGATCCTAAACACGCATGCACTTATAACCTATATTAATATGCCCTTGTAAAATACTTCAAAATGTGCGTACTAAACTTTATATCAATTGCACTTTGAGAACAAAACGTGACTCCTAAAATGCATTAACAAACACCAATAAACATACACTTCTTGTCTACAAACTCTCTGATTGGTTGATTCGATGCATCTAAATTTTAGATTTAGATTCAAGACCTATTGCAATTTATACATTGATAAAGGACAATTTTATAATAGTTAAGAAATTTATAAATTACATTTAAAATAATTTCATTCATTTTTCTAATTATATCGTACGAACTTAAATAACGTTTGTTAACATCTATCGGTAAGTCTATTATTTTATTTCTTATTAATATGCACTGAGATGTTTTATATAGGTTAGGTTAGGTTTCTCCTTTTTAACGATATATATACCACGCATTTTTTTTGCATCAATTGCGCACACATTAATTATTAATAACTATTATTATTTGTCACACAAGAAAGAATTAATATAAATAATAATATTTATATTGAACAATTCTAATATCTTATTTTTCGATGAAACATGTGTGTATATTTCTAGACAAATTTCTACAGATTTATAAAATTTAATACGAACTTTTTGGCCAATTTCATGTGTTCTAAAATAAATAAAAAATTTCTAGTGTTTTAGTGTATTTGAAGAATTCATTATAACAAACGATTATTACTACGAGGGATACTTCAATGACCAAAGATAAAAAGGTTTTTATATTATATCTATGATATTATATTTCATCATCATCATCTGTGTTGTATATATGTATATGCAAATTTCATCGTCAATAGATAGAAATTTTGTTAAACCATTAGTTAATTCATATATTACTTTCTTTTATATTTCATTATGTGCCTAAGCTTTTGTAGAATCATTGTACTTAAATTATAGTTCATTATATTTAAACAAATATTGTACATATATATATATACAGTGTGTCCTCGTAGTAGAACCTTACAATTGCTAAAAAGTTACATATCAATGTTAGAAAAGAATAAACACATTATAAAACTCTTAGCATTTGAAAAATGTTTTGTTGTTTTCACATCATTAATGTGTATTACATGTAACAATTAATTCAGTACTTTGTTAACAATTATTTTCAATGACTTTGATCATTGAAATGATGGGCAATAATTATAAATAATTTAATATCAATTATTACATGTAATATTTTCTTTATTTCTAGATATTAGTAGAAAATGTTGACTCATTGCTTCTTTTATGATTTCAGTTGTTCCTGCATGAAGTGCACTGTGTGTCTACAATCTTCCCAATAAAATTGCACAATATTTTTTAATTAATTTGCCGTATTGTATAAAGCATAAGACGTAAATGGCTGCTTATATCAATCGTACAATATCTATGATTGGGGGAGAAAGTCAACTTCGATCTACTGATATTAGAACTGATCATTCTCCTCTACAGATTTTCGTTAAAGCTAAGAAGAAAATAAACGACATATTTATTGAAGTAGATGACTATGTCCAAGAAACGGTTGGATTTATGGAATGTTAGTAATTTATATTCATATATACTATTGTACTGTATAATGTTTTATATAATATTAATTACAATATTATTTTTCTAGCATTGCAAAATGATCGAAAAATCGTTACCGCAGAAGAAGTGTCTCGAGTTCAAAGTTATATCGATAAAGTTCGTGCGATACGAGATGTCCTTAAAAGAGATCACATGAAAGTTGCATTTTTTGGAAGGTACCTATATTTAATTGGATTAAACCCCATATTAATTAGAAATAATATTATAAATAATTATAAATTGTAGAACGAGTAATGGAAAAAGTACAGTCATAAATGCAATGTTACGAGATAAAATTCTACCAAGTGGAATAGGACACACAACAAATTGCTTTTTACAAGTCGAAGGAGCTGAAAATGGAGAAGCTTATCTTATTACTGAAGGATCTACAGAAAAACAACCGGTACAATCGGTAGGACAATTGGGTCACGCTCTCTGCAAAGAAAAATTATGCGAAAGTCATTTAGTTAGAATATTTTGGCCAAAAGAAAAATGTCTTCTATTGAGAGATGATGTAGTCTTTGTTGATAGTCCTGGAGTCGATGTTACACCTAATTTAGATGAATGGATAGATAAACATTGTTTGGATGCAGATGTGTTTGTTTTGGTTGCAAATGCTGAATCCACTTTAATGGTTACTGTAAGTAATAAAAACAACCATGTATATATATGTGATATATTTTCTTTTAATACATATTATAATAACCAATGTGATTACTTTTTTAAGGAGAAAAATTTTTTCCACAAAGTATCGACTAAGCTATCGAAACCAAATATATTTATTTTAAACAATCGATGGGATGCATCTGCTTCCGAACCAGAATTCTTCGATCAGGTATCTATTTATGTATTTATTGTTAATGATATTAATTTATTATTTATATTTAATTTAATAATTCAGTAGTAGTAAGTAGTTAGTATATTAATTTACAATCTGAACATATCATATAGCCAGATTTTGGTTCATGTAATACTCACAATTTATCCCATAGCTGGGCAAAGAACAAAAAGAGGTAAGTTGGTTTATCGTATGAATTTGTTTTAAACAAAACGATGTTATATGTTTATGTTCTTAATCATTTCTTACAGTATTTAATAGTTTTTATTATGATTGATCATTTAGACCATTTGCTGTACACAAAAGCACACTTAGCATAAGAATTAACATTCACAATTGTAAAAATCATTTTGTTATAACTTTTATTTGTATTTGTACAAAATGACAAAATATTTCTAAGATTTCATTATTCAGTTGTTAACATGCATATGTCATTTGCGTAGGTGAGAGCTCAACATCAAGAACGTGCTGTGGACTTTTTATCGAAAGAATTAAAAGTTTATACTCCTAAAGATGCCGAGGAACGTGTATTTTTTATTTCTGCCAAAGAAACACTTCAAGCTCGTATACAAGAACAACGTGGTCAACCTGCTCATAGTAAGTTCAATTAAAAAATATATATAATATCGTAGATTTATATTACCGTTATTTTATTACATTTTTTCCTTAACAGATGGTGCATTAGCAGATGGTTTTCAAAACAGGTATTTTGAATTCCAAGATTTTGAAAGAAAATTTGAAGAATGTATATCGAAATCCGCTGTTAAAACTAAATTTGAACAACATTCTCAACGTGGTAAACACATAGCAACGTAAGCAATTTATTAAAGTTATGTTTTTTATTCAAATAAATCTCTTAATAATGTCGTTGAATAATGTCGTCGAATTTTATTAGGGAAATTCGACAAAATTTAGATGAAATTCTGGATAAAACACAAAAGATGAAAAGTGATCAATTAAATGTTAAAAAGGAAGTTCACGATAAATTAAATTTCACCGAACAACAATTAATATTATTAACGCAAGAAATGAAAGATAAAATTCATCATATGGTAGAAGATGTCGAACAGAAAGTATCCAAAGCTTTGAATGAAGAAATTCGTAGATTGGCTGTGCTCGTTGATGAATTTAGTGTTCCATTTCATTCAGAACCATTGGTATTGAACGTATATAAACGTGAATTGCATACACACGTGGAACATGGTTTAGGTAATAAATATGCATTTAAATTAAACAAAAATAAACAATTTAGTAAATATCAAATATTAAATCAAATGTTTATTTATTTGAAAAGGTTCCAATTTAAGAGCACGCTTGAGTACAGCTTTAGCATTAAATATGGAAAATTCGCAGCGTGAAATGACTGAAAGAATGGCAGGTTTATTAGCAGATAATAAGAAACAAGTTTCTTTAAATATTTTACCAAGACGAGCACCATTCGAAATCCTTTATAGATTGAATTGCGACAATTTATGCGCTGATTTCCACGAAGATTTAGAATTCCGATTTTCATGGGGCTTAACATCTATTATCAATAGATTTGCTGGAAAAAGTAGTCAAAAACTAGCTATCTCTAATTATCCACAAGAGGTATGCATCAAAATATAGATATATACTTATATTACTTTAAAGTGTTACGCTACAACTACTAAAATATTTGTAGATTCCACCTTCTATAACATCGCCAACAGATAGCATCGATTCTATTAAATTTATATCGACTACACCGAACTTTACGACAAATAGCGACGATTGGTCATTAGCTACACGAGTAGCCATAGCTTCAATAACATCACAAGGCACAATGGGTGGTCTCATAATTGCTGGATTTGTAAGCAACAACTGAAGTAATATCCAACAATAATATATAACATAAATTATCATTTGTTGTTTGTTATTGTAGATGTTGAAAACAATTGGATGGAGACTTATTGCTGTGACAGGTGCAATTTATGGTGCTTTGTATCTTTATGAACGATTAACATGGACTAATAAAGCAAAAGAAGCTGAATTTAAACGACAATACGTTGCACATGCTACGAAGAAATTAAGATTGATCGTTGATCTCACATCTGCTAATTGTAGTCATCAAGTACAACAGTAAGTTTGTGATATTTTTAATGCAAATAATATTTTAAGAACAACAACAAAAATATATTAATTAAATGTCTTCGTCGTTGACTTTTAGGGAGCTTTCTGGTACATTTGCACGTCTATGCCAATTAGTGGATGAAACAACAACCGAGATGGATGCCGAACTCAAAACTATCGCCAATACCATTCGAGTTCTAGAAGAAGCCTCATCCAAAGCTAAAGTCTTGCGAAATAAGGCTAATTATTTAGCCAACGAATTAGATTTATTTGATGTTGCTTATTTAAAATCTTTAAATTGAACACTTAGAGAGAACTAATTGTTTATTTTAACGTTCAGTTCGTAGTAGAAATATTGTGTTACATATTTTTTTAGAATTCATATAGGTATAAAGAATTTTTAATGCTGTTCCTAATTTCGAAAACGATTGCGACTAAAAGTTGTATTTTTTTTTTTTTTTTTTTTTTTTTTTTTTTTTTTTAAGAACAAAAAACACGTATAGAAATAATACAATTTAAATTATGATTATACCTAGATCTTTACAATAACTTATAACAAATAATTTAGATTTTTCTTTAGATACAAATGAAAATGATGAAACGCTTTATAAATATTTAAAACGGGTAGCTGTAATATGTTTAAGATTTATTTTATTGCTAGTCTCTAATTAATTTTTTTGTGTACATTATAATGTGCTACGATTATTTTATCTATACAATATTAATATACGTTTACATATATAAATGAAATATTGGTGCAAGCGTTATAGAATGTTTTATACACATTGTGATTTCATTTAAAAGATCTATTATTTTGTTATAAGTAACAAAAGTTTAAGAGAGAAAAACCAAACATGCAATACATGTATATGTATATATATATATATATATATATTATAAACAAATGTACTCAGATTTATAATGCGAATAAAGATTTGATTGTTGATTGTATATTCTGCTCAGAGATAGATAAACAATTAGTTAAACGAATAAACGAACAATAATAAAAAAACTTATTTCTTATTTTATTATATTTAATATTAGGTCGTAAACAAGCCATATCACTCTTGTCCTACATATAACTTATATTTAGAAAACATGATTTTTTTTATAAAAATAGTCTCAATAAAATTTCAAATTTCTATTTCTATCACATAATAGACGAGACATTTCACGATGAGTTGGATTGCACAAAGAACAATCTGCGGTCGTAGATGAAATGCAACATGAAAGCAAAAACATACTACTATTACTACTACTTAGAATAAATGGTGAAACTCCTTAAATAGATATATACATATTTCCAAACAACAATATCTGATTCAAGTGTTTGTATTCTTATTAAGATAAGTTTATAAATAGGCACACTTGAAATAACTTCGATCGTTTCTTACCATGACGGTGCTTCGTTTTTCTAAAGCTTCACATATGGAGTATGGGGGAATAGATTATAATTATTAGATAACAACAAATTATAATAAAAATTCATATTAAAAATTTCTAAATTGATTGTAAGATTATTCGATAATAAATTATTATACATTTGAATTAATTTAATAATTCACGTCGCATCGTAAAATTCAAGTTCGTATGATTAATATTTTCCATTTAATTTTGAACAAACAAACGATTAATATTTAATTAGAAATATATATTATTTACTTATAAATTCACTTGATTGCATTGAGAGTTGATGTTCGAATGTATCTCGGAAATATATTTTACATAGATCCGATATCGTTGTGTGGGGTGAAGGCGAAAACCTTTCGTATAGTATAGTTCGTACAGTTGTTCAGTGTTGTGTTCAGTGTATCGTCAACCGTAGTGCGGAGAACACGAGTTCTTATTTCTTACGAAGAATTAATTCTTTATCATCTTTATATAAATGCTTTAATCGCTTTCGTATATCTTCTTTTTATTTTCTTTTTATTTTCTGAGAAAGTATGGAAGGATAATTGTTTTTTTACGTATGTATTATTTTATAAATGATCTTAATCACATTAAAACATTATTTATTTTGTATTACTTTGTTTTTTTTTTTTTTTTTTTCTATTATAAGGCTTATCATTATTCACAAAATTACAGCAAGAAAATATTTGAGCATTGAGATAAATTCTTGTTAATATTTTGAATTGATTTTATGAATGCTTTTGTTTCTTTCATATATATATATATATATGTATATGTGTCCGTAATTATGAAAGTGGTCTAACTCGTATATCTCTTGTTTGAATTCTATATAATATTGAAATAACACAAATATTATTTAATGATTCATTTTTGACAATATCGTAAAACTGCGTTTCTCTATAACAACATAAGAAACAACATTTAAAATCTTTATCTTACAATTAGCCTTTGCTACTTTCCTTCAAATAAATCTATCTTTGCTGGTGGAAGATTTTTCTCACACTCTTCCCTATCGTTATATATATATCTATCGATGTCAATAGCTGTGACCTTTAGTGTTATATATAATATAAATACTAAATTGAACATATTAATAAAAATCACTCTAACAACCAACATGGTTTTCTTTATATATATATATATATTTATGTATGTATCCGATACGTGACTAAAATAATGTTCTATTTGTGTTTCAAAATCTTCATGCTTACGTTCGTTTGTTTTATCATCGAATACACATACACACATTTGACAAATTAGAATTTCAAAAAAAAAAAAAATGATAAATATATCAATATTAATATTAATTAGTTTTTCATCATTCCTTTATCAAATTTCTTAGGAAGAATAATAATATTGTGTGTTAATATCATAAATTTGTTGTTAAATTATTATTTTAATTGAAAGTCTTATATATGTAATAACTTTTGATTATATTCTATTGAAATTTGTTTTATACTAGCCAATAATATTTCAAATATGTTATCAACAGATTATTATTTTTCAATATTAAGTTTTTATCAGAAATGTTATTAATACTCGAGTAGTTAGCTGGTTGGAATAAAGTATAATGATAGTTTGATCATTCATTTATCAAATTTTTTAGGAACAATAATAATGTTGTGTGTTAATATCATAAATTTGCTATAAAAATATTCTTTTAATTGGAAGTGTTGAGTATGCAATATCGTTCGATTACATTTTATTAAAATTTCTTTTATATTAGCCAATAATATTTCAAATATGTTATCAACAGATTATTATTTTTTAATGTTAAATTTTTATCAGAAATGTTATTAATACTCGAGTAGTTGTCTGGTTGGAGTAAAGTACAGTGAAAGTCAATCGTGTTTCTATGGAAAACTAACCGGTATTCCAATATTCTTCGTAAACTGACTGTTCTCGATTTATATTTAAAAACTTTTATATTATATTTTTTTATTTCATCCATTAATACTTTTGATACAAAATATGATTCTAATAAAAAGTATGAATATTCAAATGATATATTATAAGTAATAAGTATTTAATAGTTCTGATTAAAAAAAAAAGAAAAAAAAAACAAGTGCCAAAAGAATTGAATTTTAAATGAAAATGTTATCATTTGAAAATAAATATTCCCTAATAGCACAAAATATTGAAAAGTATTGGATACATGTGTATTTTGTGCTACTAGGGTTATTTCATAAAATAATATCTTGTTATTTTGTATTATTCTTATCTAACAACACGTGTAATTTTATTTCTAAATTGGGTCATGACGTAAGATATTACGATATCAATTATTTGATGAAAGAAATGAAAAGATTAAGTCTTACACTTTCTACACTAAGTATAATATATAATATTTGATGAATTTCAGTAACTTGAAAAAATTAGATAAATTATTTTGCTTAGAAACAATAGAATATATTATGTATAACCATGTTAAAAAATATGACAAGATAAAGGAGTACAAAGAGAGTGAAAACAATAAATAATTATGATTACGACAAAACGATAAATCATCGTGATCGAAAAGAAAAGTATTTTCAACAGTAGTAACATCTAATGAAAATTGAAAGTGATGGTTATATTAGAAAGTGACGAATTAGCGTATTCACGAGAAACGAATCTAATTCGCGATTGGTACGTTTATATTATTGCAAATTGATTATAATAAATGCAACGTTTTTTACATAACAAAATAAAATGCAAATGTACATCATATAGAATTTGCATTTCCTTAGAAACATTTTTATGAATGGTTTATTGTATATTCTTCTATGAAAATGAAAAAAAAGATGAATTTTTTTGCTGCAAACTTTACCAACTTTACCAACATATCTTCCAAAAGGTGTTATCTCGTTACAAATATTTCTTCGAAATAATAGAAAAATTTGATTAGTTTAATTCTCATGGTTCAGACCCATTGGATACTTGATTTCGTAATATTAAAAAAAGAACAAAATTAAATACATTATTTATGAACGTTTATTAATAGTTTAATTAGGCTTATTAGGTTGATATTATTCTTATTCAGTTATTTTTTTTTTTTTTTTAATAAATTTTAAAACTCTGTTTAAATTTTACTTTTGTTTTCGTTCTTGTACAATTTATCTCTTAGGATGAATCACGTGTTGGTACCTCATGTTAAATATATCGGAAATTATTTCTAAAATTAATCTCGTTTCTTTTTGATCCTATGTAACTATGATCTTATGTAATGAACAGTTTCCTTATCGTTAGATAAAAATCGATAATAACTTTCTGTTGTTTATTTCTTTTACAGATACGAGAAAATAAGCAGTTATCGTTGTGAGAGAGAAAAAGAAAAAAAAAAGATCAAATCCAGTGCGACGATATATGAAATTCTTGGTGCGTTAAATAAACTGATCGTTTTATTCATTAACGAATCTGATTAAGTGTAAAAACGTGTTTAAAGAGGTTACAACTACGTTCCGAGGTCTGTCTTACGTTCTTAGCATACACAACGAGCTATGAAATTAAAAAGAATAGTTCAAGTATAAGAAAGAAAAAAGAAAAAGAAAAACAATTAGATGACATTTTATTCTTTTTTTATATTGTTTGTTTAATTGATCATTTATTTGATTGGTTTTGTTAGTATTTAAAGTTATATACTATCTCACACGAGAATATACGCAAAGTGATTCATCAAAAGGAAAAAATAAACAAGAAGAAGATTTTATTACATTTGATAATTGGAAAAAGAAACCGTGAAGATGAATTGGTTGAATTTGTTGAGTTCGATTTATGAGACGATCTGTTTTCTCGTGAGCTGCGCGAAGATTATCATCGAAGGAATTGTTAGGGCATGTATTCCAGTCAAGTTTCAAATGAAGGACATCCAAGGCGAGATTGCACTTGTAACAGGCGGAGGTGGAGGTCTCGGAAGATTACTGGCACTAAGACTAGCTAATCTTGGGGTCATCGTAGTTGTCTGGGATATCAACCAAGAAGGTCAGTTTATTTCATATTTTTTTTTCTCTCTCAATCAATATCCTACACTTAAATATATTCTACTAACCCACAAACGTTCTATAAACCCACTAATTATTTATTTCTCATCTTAGAATATTCTAATATACTTTTCATACGACGCAAATTGCATACACTGTTAATTACAAATAATATTCATATTTCTTCGTAAATGCAATGCTTTCAATTCTTAAACAAAACAAAAAAAACGTATTTTACAATTATTCAAACTTTTCAATTTGATGACAAAAGAATATTTTATTAACAAATAATAAAATAACATATGAATTTACGAACAGTTCAAAAGTATAATCGCGCGAAGAAATGTTGACATAAGATATTACGTCGAGGATATTTATCCTTATTGATAAGAATTTGTTTCTTAAACAAATAATCAAGAAAAAAGAGAGAGCGAGAGAGAGAGAGAGAGAGAGAGAGAGAGACTTGTTTCATTTTCTATTATTCTTGAAAAAAAAAAAGCATTCAGTCGTTTGATTTCATCGGTTGTGAACGCATCAAATATGAAATGTATTCAAGTTGTTTGTAATACTTCAAAATGGAATTAATACAAAGACAGTTTAATAATAAATTAAAAGAAGTAACTTTTATGAATAATCGTAGATACCTGTCTAAAAAAAAGTATTTCAAACTTATTAGAAAATATAAAATTATAAAATCGTGTAGGAAAAGGTCAGCAGCAGATAAATGGTTTATGAAACATTATGCAATAACTCGAAGAAAAGGAATGGATAAATTAATCCACCCCGATAAAACAAATGGAATGAAATATTATGTGTGTAATGAAGACTTGTGTCAAACTTTATTCGAAACACACCGACGTATTGGTCATAGTGATCTCAATAAAATGTTCCACGAATTAAAAAAAAATTATGTTAATATTAGGAAAGAACAAATAGCATGGTTTTTAGAATGTTGTGAGACTTGCAAGCAGAAGATCGATTGTAGGGAAAAAATCACTGGCAATTTGACGATGTTTGAATATTTTAATAAACGAGGTCGATTTCATTTGATTGATTTTAGATTACAAATACGTTCAATGCATAAATATATATTAGTTTATCAAGATATCTCGACAAAATTTATATTATTACAGGCTATAATATCAAATCTTGCGAAGGAAGTATCTTACATTTTATTTACAAATTTTGCTATATTTGGTCCACCCTGTGTCATAGAATCGGCTCAAAACCGTCAATATCATATTGAATTAATTACAAATTTAAAATCTTATTGGCCACAATTGAATATCGTTTGTGGAAAAATCAAATATGCACAAAACGAAAAAACTATGGATGATATTTCCATAGACATCCAAAAACGTTTATGTTCGTGGATGACAGAAAATAAAACAACAAATTGGAATAACTATTTACCTATGGTGCAATTTTTATTAAATAAATCCAATAATTGTATGAATAACAAAATTCCCTATGTAGCCATGTTTGGTCGTGAAGTAGAAGTTGGGATTCAAAGTTCTCAATTACCTGAACCTATTTTAAACTCTTTGTATTTGGAAGAAGATTTGGAGACTATTGCACAATATAAATTTCAAGTTGATGATTCCGATACCGAAGAAAACTCTGTGCATAACATATACTTTAGTTGTATATTATGCAGAAAGCATTTTCGAATGCATACGGAAATTATTGCGGATGAATACCTTTGCCAAGATTGCGAGATTAATGATTGTAATATACCACCGACAGAAAGGGAGAATGAGTCACCTGATAATCAATCTTCTGATTCAGTTATTTGCATTGATTAAGTATTTATAATTATTTCATTTAAAGTAAGTATTTATATATAAGAATTGCGACTCGTGAAATTAATCGAATCACTTGGATAACACGTTATTCTTTATTTCTAGCCCATTTCAAGAATTCAACTAGAAAGTGGAAAAACCGGTCTAAATTATAAGATAGCCTAAAATCTTTCTTTTTTTCTTTTTCCAATTTTGATAAATATATTACTTGTTGAAACTATGTAATTCTGATTTTTTTTATTTAAAAGCTTTCATTGTTTAATTCACAATAATTGTTTATCTTACATATATTTTTCATGTATTTTCCATTGTAAATAGAATATTTCAATTATAATTCATTTATATGTTTACAAGTACAAATAATTTTTAATATTATATATATATATGTATTTTTGGAATTGATATATAAAATAGCAGTACAAATTATTCCTATCCTTAATTCTTTATCCAATTTCTTATCCCAAATCCTAGATTGTTGAAGAGAAATGAAGAGAGTTCATTTACGATTTTTTTTTACAAATCAACAAATAAAATAATTATTAAAATTGGAAAGAAAAATATGTCAAATAAATTTGAAATTGAATGAATTTTTCGTTAAGTTGTGTAGAGTTAAAATATACATATTATTTACACGCATAAACGTGTACTAATTGTAAGAAAAAAAAAAAAAAGGAATTGATTAGGTCAACAGTAGGTAGGTCAGTGTCCTACTGTCTGCTGCGTCTGTTAACGATGTTGGTAATATAAATGTTGAGAGTAAGATAGTAACATATACATGTACAATTCTATCACGAACGAGAACCGTTTCTCGTTTCAACGAAGAAACTTTTACTTGTATATAAGATCCTATACTTCAGAGGAAAACTAGATTCTTAAAGATATGACACAGAAGTGAAAATTTTCGTATACAGGTTTTTTTTATCCTATTAACTTGAAGTTTCATTTCAATTGTAATATAATTAATAATCGTCATAAAAGTGTTGTTTTATTTTTCTCTCAATATTAAATCAAATCAATTTTTGTTAACTTTCGTCTTGTTAAGCATGAACGCATAAATGTGTCTTATTTCTGTTATACCCAGTGTTACTTTCTAATTTCTCCCTAATAGAGTTTTCACCTCTCTTACAAAGAGGCATATCGGATAACAAAAGATAAACTTAACTAATTCAATTTGTCAAACGAATATGTGTGAATGTTGTACAATTTTTTTTCTTTTCTTTTCTTTTCTTTTCTTTTCTTTTCTTTTCTTTTTATTTGCTTAAGGTAGAGTTTCTTTGGGACAATACAATTTTTCAATTGGTCATAGATCAATTTTCAAATCTTTCATCAAATTGAATAAAAACCTTTTAAAGGAAAATGCTAAAGTAAATAATATAAATGTTATATTATTTTACAGGCATCGAAGAAACCGTAAAATTAGTCCAAGCTGCGGGTGGTACCTGTTATGGTTACGTTTGTGATCTATGCAATCGTGAGGATATTTACAAGAAAGCAGCATTGCTAAGAGAAGAGGTTGGCAAGGTAAGATGTTCGAAATATCATTTTAAAAAAAACATTTAAAAAAAAAAGATATAAAAGAAATGAATATTTCGAAAGTAGTTTTCGATTTGATTTCGAACTTTTGTTTAGAGAGCTCGCATGCCACTCTCTTTTCGAGTTTTGTTACGAATGAATTCTATGTTCCTCGTCTTACCTTTCGTCAAGTATTTACTTACTTACTCGCCTAGAAAAAGATAGTAGATGCTATTTTATCTTGGGAGAACATGAAAGCCAAAGTTACGACACATCGCTATAATATATACAATTATATAGCGTTATTCACTTTGATCTGACCTGTTTCAACTTTTGTTCAGAAAAAATATCTTCGCCATTGTTCTTTTCTCTTGACAACTATTTTTAATTATTATTCAAATATGCAACAAGTATATTTTGTTGTTGTTATATTTATTAATAATATATAATAATTATAATTTAATAAATATCGTTATTGATTATTTTGTTATATGTATTGATTGATATTGTTATATTTAATTGATAAAAAAAAAAAAAAAAAACGCTTGTGTTTGTGGAATACACACACTAAATTCTCATCAAAGTATTTTTCTTGTTATTTAAATAATTGTATTGTACAAATTCATGATCCTACGGCTTGATCGAAATTTTTCTGTTGTCACCGACCTTTCCTGTACCTACTTTCACTTTTATATATTCGATCGGTTAAGGATTCGCAATGGGCTTCTTACTACATAGTCTGTTTATTCAGAGTGATTCAGGAAACCAGTTCCTCTTGAATTATATTGAGTAATCTGGAGAAATTCACGTCGAATTAACATTTGTTTAAGAATTTTGGATATGAAGAAAAATTCATTATTTAACAAATAACTAATCGTGATCTTTCGCAACGATATCTTATAATATTATATTGGGTTGTCCGGAAAGTTCGTACCGAATTTTGACAGATGATTAAAGTTCAACGCATTTAAGTTTTTTTATTTGGTATATTTTTATTAAATTATATATAAGTGCCATTCTGTTTCACAATCTTTCTCCATCTAACTTGAAAACTTCGGCCTTCCAGAACTTCTCAGGTTTTTTTTAGTAAAACAATTTTATGTCATTTACCGAAAATTGGCACGAACTTTCAGCAGAACAACCCAATATATGTTCGTAGTTCGTTGAGATTCCATTGTAAAAATCATTGCAATAAATCGTAGTACATATCTTCACGATTTTTATGATTGTCGTAATGAAAAATAATTGTTTGATTATTTGTCTTTGTGTTTTATTTGCAGGTATCAATCTTGATCAATAATGCAGGAGTAGTGAACGGTATGAAATTCTGCGAAACACCGGATTATCTTTTAAAACGTACGATGGACGTCAATATAATGAGTCATTTTTGGGTAAGTTATTTGTAAAATATACCTTTTATAAAAAATTAATAAATTACATAATTGCCACAGAAAAAATCCCACATGTGTTAGAAAAGATCTGATCATGATGTCAGAGATTTATCCTAATTATAAAACTACGTGACATTTGTTATATCACAAGTTACATCATCATCATTGTGTTTTTAACCTAATCCAATCTTTGCAATTTCTTCAATGACTTTCTTCAACTTTCATCCTATTTTTGAAGTAAAATAAAAATCCAAAATAGTGGCCCAATTTTTAGATGACTTTCTCCAACGTGTTTTCGAATATAAATTTGTGGTTGTAATCAAAATTCGATAATTCGAAAGATCGTCTAAATTTAGTCGCATAATTTTAAGGAGGCATGCTGCACGTCCTTCAAATAATTCCTTTAAGAGAAACAGGCAAGATGTTAAATGTGGGAATGACGAAAGAAATCAGATTATCCATAACTGGTTAATTATTTTTGCTCGTACGGATGCTTGAAAAATACAACTTTTATTCGCAGATATTTTGTGTCTACTATGATTATCGAATTACTGTTCTTCTTTTACTATATGTTTATCTATATATTTTTATATCATGTTATGTAAATAACGTATTATAATCTATTGAATATAAAACTGATCATAAAACTGATTCAACGGGAATGCATTTGTAAACTTAAATCTTTAGACAAGCATTTTTACGATCTAACGGGAAAATAAATTTATTTACAAACTGAAATATTATTTTTATCTGATCTTACGCGACAACTTTCGATTTCTTTTATTGTCGACTATATGTACACCAGTATTACGAACTATGAACTCATTTATAGTTCATTTATATTACAGTTTAGATACACACATGCTTGTAAGAAGTGTGACCCAATCAAATTTGAAACAACTATCAGTTAGGATAGAATTAGGTCACTATGCATTATTTAAAAAGAAAGACTATAGTTATCTATTACTGGAATATAATTCAACTATACTATAAGTATATAATTATTACTATAGACCATTTTTACCTATCCATTAAGTTGAGAAACACTGTATTAGATAACTCACAATTAGTATCGATTACTATAGAATAAAAAAAAAAAAAAAAACAACAAAAATTTATCTCTAATACTTTTCATTAATTCAATTCAAACAAATCCTATGTAATAAAATATCTATAAAAAAAAAAAAAAAAAAGGAAAAATAAACGAGCGAGCAAACTAAGTGGTAATCGTAATATCACATTGAAACTTTTTCAATATTCAAGTACCCCAATGAGAGTTTTTATACATCGTTGAATCAAATTGTCACTTTCAAGGATTTCTATGTAAAGAAATATCGGTGAGAGGATATAAACCATGATGTTCGGGTAGGTTCCTTTTACATTAGATGTGTTAGTTGGATACAGAAAACCGGTCAGATGAGTATAGATACTAGCCTCGTGTTGTGTTGTGTTGCCATATTTTCTTGTCTTTTAAAATTACAATACACTCCAACAATCCATATTTGTCTAATGTAATTTGACTTCTTTTGTAATTTAACTCACTACACGGATTATATCCAACCATCATTTGAATTTGTTACAAAATGACTAATTTACAGAATTATTTCTATGATAAATATAACTTGTGTTAAATTGTTTTCTTATTCTGTGTTGGAATGGTAATACTTCGTTATACAGTATTTTTTTATTTTTTTATTTTTTTATTTTTTTATTTTTTTTTTATACACATGCGATCGATAATTTCGATTAATACCTGAAAACTTACTTACTTACACAATTACTTAACACACAGTCATAGTTATTTTACAAAAATATTTCTAGCATTGAATTTTCTGAAATAATTATTCTTTTTTCATCTTTAGTTTAATACATTGTGTTTTATAAACTATAATATCTGTTTTTTTAATAATATTTTCGCGTGAGAAAAAAAATTCTATTTAAAACATGTTTGTTCAAAATTATCTGAAAGAAAAAGCCATTCATAAGCATTGAATATAAAACTTTGAATAATTTAAATATTAAAAATGATTGATATTGATATGAGATCAAGCTGCTTACCTTTTAAAAATATTTTTAAATTTGTTTATGAATTCATTTTAATAATCGTTCCATAATTAGTCAAATGAATAGCTAGCGAACCTTCATAATTCTTTTCATCCTTTCTTTTAACTTTTTTTTTTTTTACCATGACGGAATTTGTGAAATAAATATACTGTATACGAAAACCAGTTTCTACTGCTGCTTTTGATGATACCAATTTAAACTTTTATATAATACAAATCTTACCACATATTTTTTCTTGTTATTTATCATAAAGTTAACTTTGCTTAAAATAGATAAAATGAAGAAAGTAATGCGCGCGTACTTTCATCCCTCAATATAATTTATTATGTAATCATAACAAGATAATAATAAAATAAAATTACGAGAAACCACCCATCCCGGAACAGAAGTGAAACTTTTGCAGTTTTTCATCTTGAAAATTTGTTTTTCTATCTTTTTTTATTTTTATATGAATAACTTATAAATATTATTATATAATATAATAAATAAATATTTTTCTGTAAAAACATTTGTGTCATATTTACAAAACCATGAATTTTATACAACAACAATTTGTTTTAAATTATTTACATTACGGATTAATTAATAATTAAGGTTAATTATGTTGCGACAAAAAAATAACCGGTTTTAATCGAGTCAATCCTCATATTGATCAGCCTAGATTCAGCCATTTTCTATAATGGGAGGAGTCAACGACTTTTTTCTTTATTTTTTATGGTAATAGGCCAAAAATTACTACGCAAATTAATAATGAAATATGTATTAAATATATACTTTATAGTTCCAACTAATTTATATTATCCTATAAACATAAACTTGTTTCACAATTTGTAGATACCGGTTTTCATCGAATTTCTTTGAACAAAAATTCACGTTTGGCACTTGAACGGAGAAAATAGAAAGGGACCATGAATATCGAATGATCATGTAAAAATTTCGAATTTATTTTTAATTGGGTTGTCCGGAAAGTTTGTACCGAATTTTGACAGAAGATTGAAGTTCTACGCATTTAAGTTTATTTTTGTGGTATATATTTATTGAAGTACCATTGTGTTTCACAACCTTTCTTCATCTTTAAGGGTAACTTCAAAATTTCGTCTTTGCAGAACTTTTCAGGTTTTTTTTTAGCAAAAGAACTTTATGCCACTTACCAAAAATTAGCACAAACTTTCCGAACAACCTAATATTATAAATAATAATTATTATAAATTAATAAATTGGAAAAAAAGATATGGTTACATTGGTTGTCCTTTAATATTTCAACGAGAGTCATAGTTATTTCAATAAAGATAACTGATATCACCACTTTCTAATGTTCCTTTCTAATCACGATTTAATCAGATCGTAATATTGAACTATCCAATAATACGGTATCGTTAAAGTATAATTCCTCGAACTTGATCCATCAAAATGAAATATAAATACTACAAATTGTAGATGATTTTTATTGGTAATAATTTGAACGATAATAGAAATTTTTTGGTTACAGACAGTGAAAGCTTTCCTTCCGGCTATGATGGAAAGTAATAAAGGTCATATTGTTAGTATAGCAAGTATGGCTGGTTACGCAGGGATTCCTAAATTGGTTGATTATTGTACCTCTAAACACGCAGTCCTTGGATTCGATGAAGGATTGAGAATCGAATTGGAGGTTTGTTTGTTTGTTTCATTTTTCATTTTATTCGATTATTTCTTAGATCAAACGATCAATATTTTATCTTTGTATTAGTTTTGAAAAACAAAAAAACACACTTTTTTGTTTCTTTTAGTATGAAGGATACGATAACATTAATACAACTGCCATATGTCCGTATTTCATTCGCAGTACTGCCATGTTTGGCAACAGATACTACGGGTAAGAATTTGTATTCATAATTTTTGAAAAACTGTCAAATCAATAAATTTGAATATTTTTGTTTGTTTGTTTCCTTTTACAGATCTTTACCACAACTCAGTCCAAACGAAGTAGCAGAAACGACAATAACATCGTTGCGATGCAATCGTAAATTAGTTATGATACCAAGTTACTTCCAATTCTTTGTACCTTTCAAATGGTAATATATATATATATATATATATTTGGGTTGTTCGGAAAGTAATTTCGTTTTTTCTTGATACAATAAAAGCATTACTTGATACAAACCGGCTAATAACAAGACGTAAGATCGGTGAGAAGTTAAATTTATCAAATTCAACTGTTCATGTCCACTTGAAAGGCCTAGGTTTTAGATTAGGAAGCAAAAATTGTCTTCATTTTCCAAAAAAAAAAAAAAAACGAAATGACTTTCCGAACAACAACCCAATATTATAACATTTACTTTGAATTTAATTGTTAAGTTTTAATTTAATTAAGATATTATCAAGCAAATGAAATTTCAGGATTTTCCCGTGGCCATGCACTAGTAAATTATTTCGTACAATGGTCAAAGATATTTTACCAGATTATGAAAAAAACGACAAATCTACAGATAATAACAAAACAACAGAAATACCTGTCAAGGATCAGGACGATTCTGCGATTCATCAACAATTGACCAGGCATAGTTCCTGTTCGGAAAGAGAACCATAGAGATTATACCCCCTCATGGGGGAAGGGCACGGAGGAAAAACTTTCTTTCTACATGTTTTATAGAACTTTTATATAATACTTCGTTAATACTTCGTTGTGCAAAAACCAATGTGAAATTTTTTCCTTTTTTTTTTTTTTTTACCACACATAGATGATAGCTCTTAATAATTAATATTGCTTCAATAAGTAAATAAACGATATAAAAACATGGAACGGAAAGTTTTTTAAAAATACTCGGCAATTAATAATGGTTGTATATTCGCTGACGTTTGTAAAAAAAAAAAAAAAAATAAAAAATCGATGACAAAATGAAAAGAAAAAGAAGATTGTCGCGTTGCAATAATTCAAAATAATAAACACTGTTAATTAATTCGTAATGTTAAATATGACAAATAATCGAACTTTATATTTATGGCAATATTAAAGATTTGAATTTAATGAAGAAAATCAAATTCTCTTTAGTACAATCGTGCATTCTTGTTACAATGAAACTTATTACACAATACAAATTTAAATATAATTAAGTAATTAAAGCGTTTTTACAAATACAAGTTAGGGATATAAAGTTATAATAGGGAAGAACTACTAATCACGATTTACCTACAGCATTTTTACAGACGTATGGCATTGTAAGTCATTCTTTTTATAGGATTAACAAAAAAATATGTACGAGCATAATTAATTTTTATAAGCAAACAAATTAATTTGTTTATTTGTATGTAACACAATGATATGAAGAAATCTTGTAACTAAAATACACTCATGTATAATAAAAACTCATAGTATAAAAAGACTTAACTTTCACTTGTATTACATCATTCCCTTGAAATTTATTAATTCTTGATTTCATATGTAAACAAATTTAATGTGCATTACGATTATATGATGATATATTGTAATACGTAACAATTCAATTGAATCTTTTTCTTGTATGCTAAATTAATCGTTAAATTAACATATTTATTTATTTTTCTTTTTCGTGTAATTAATTATATATGTTAATAACTAGAAATTACGTTATACGAATTGATTTCACTTTTTTGTAATACAATATTGCAATATAACCATTAATTTATAATTATGTCGATAATTATAATAATTGATTAGGAAAGAAAAAAAAAATGTTGCAATAAATTGATATACTATGATTAATTCTATTTAATTCTTAACAAACCGGATGTTTAAAAAGTTGCTCAAATAATAATGATATTGTTAGAATTATTGAAATCGGCATCAATTTTCCGGACAACCTAATATGTCTTCCTTCGTCCAATTAAAGAGCATTTGAAATACAATCAAAGCGTATGTAAAACAGATGTACAATTTCAAATAGGCCAGTACTAGCGATTATGTCAGCTCCAGTCGATAGTAGTACACATTATCTTCATTTCATAGCTATGCGATTATGTGAGTGTCTGTTTCTATTCTCTTACAAACATAAGCATGAATGTATTTTATTTCCTTTTATAATAATATGTTTCTTTTTTTGTTTATTATAATTAGTTTTTATGAATTTGATAAGGTAATATTAAATTATTCGTCAATTTATTTATTCTAAATATAAATATATAAATAATATATAAAAGATAATATTATTCAATCACTCATAACGATGTTTTAATATTTAAATAGATAACACTTTGAAGTTTTTTTTCCGTTTGTTTGTTTAATATCGGTGTGCAATGTCGCAACATTGTAACTGACATCAATTTATCTCATAGAAATGAATAGAACATTTTCTGAACGATAATTATGCATAGATAACTAATATTATTATAATTTTACATACATGAATACTTTAAATAATGACTTTGCTTGAACGATAAATAACGTAACATTTGTACATTGCAATTTCGATAACCGTAATACATAAAACAAATAATTAAAAATGTCAAATAAAAAAACGATAATATATAAAAAGTATACTTGGATATATGTAATTATGCAGTAAGCGTCAGTTAAGTAACGTGTTCTTATTAGAATAATGAATCAATTGCATACTAAAGGAATAAGGAAGTATCAGGAGTTGCTTCTTTTTTATTTTTCTTTGTCCTTTTCTTTTTTTATTGTGAAACATACGTCATAATTGTCCTTGAAGAAAAATCTATGTATATAAAGAAAATTGAATTGATCGTTACGATGATAAAATGATTTTAGTCATATGTCGTTGCGTACTTTTTACTCTCGATAATTATCAGATTAAATTATTTTCCATAATATAAAATGATTCTAGAAACAAAAAGAAAAAAATATTCTAACGCGTTGATAAACATTGAAATTTGCAATTTCTAATTCGATATTTTATCGAAGTAAAACTTAAAATATAACATTCCTATTGTCACGACTGTTCAATTGAAGACGCATCTAACAAAGGTTTTCCATAAAACGTTCAACGATTAGTTATTCCAATCTAGTAATGAGGTGTTCCTTGATTTTTTTTCTGCTCTGCCAAATCAACGATTCACAAGTATACAAGATTTTATCGTTATCGTATAGTAGATAACGTTAACGTGTATATATGTATAGAAGCTAAACGTAGAACGCTGTTGCAGCGTTTAGCTTCTAATTTCTCGCATTACGTGTATCCGATTTCGGATTGTTCGTTCGTTATATCGTTCTATCTGCGTACTTCGAACGGACGTAATATTTCCGCGCGTGTATATATCGTGTCGAGTCGACTCGAGAAAACTAACGTGGAAAGTCAAATAAAAACAAAGATTTATTATACAAGTGTGTAAAAAAAAAAAAAAAAAAAAACAAGGAGAAGCAATTAAGAATTTTTCCTGTACCATTAACCATCGCATTAAATTTTTCTTTCATTTGTTTTTCTTTTATTCACATCAAGTAAAGTATTCCAATGTTGTGCGATATGACGTACGTGAACTATTATACATTGACTATAATGTTTCTTCTAATCACGTGTACCGTCGTCAAGTGTTACATCATGGAAGAAACTAAACTTCTGAGATTATGTGTACCGCAAAAATCATGCGAAAGTTGTTTGGAAGCTCACGATTCTTGTGCTTGGTGCAGTGATTGGGTACATATTTTCTTTTTTGACCTTTTTTTTTTTTATCATAATATTGTGGACAAAATATTGAATATATTTTCAGTTGTATTCTAATTCAACTCTGGGTAAACCGAGATGTAATTTACCGGAACGATTAAAAGCGTTTGGTTGTCCGATAGAAGAAATCAGGAAAGCACCAAGTGCATACATGCAATATATAGAAAATGAAGATTTTCAAGATGTTGCAAAAAATCAATTACCTGTGCAATTGAAACCGCAAAAGGTTTACCTCAAGCTAAGACCAAATTCAAAAATGGAAATTAATCTTCAGTATCGACCGGCGAAGTAAGGATGGTAAAAGGTTTCAAGTTTATTTTCAATGGAAACGTCAAAGCACTAGATTATTATCATCATTTTTGAAAGAAATATTTTTACTGTTAGTACAGCAATCGAGGAAGGTCGCGTTTACTTTTCTTATCTACAGCGTGCTTAGAAATATACGTACAAATATTGATAATATTTATTATAACATCTACGATAAGAAACTTGATAAAAAAAAATATCAGGAAAAACATATTTTGACCTAATGCATTTAGAATTCTCGGGTATATCTGGTACGGTGAATACTAAAAATAGGATAGCATCGTATATGCATCCTATATGCATCCTATATGCATCGCATAATCTCTAGTTTTCGAGATACAGCCTAGATACTGATATACGTATAACTATTATTTGAATAAAAAAGCAAATATATTTATTAACACACAATACTACCAATTGTTAAATGTATTCTCCGGGGAAAACTTGATTCGTTGGGAAAGATTTAATGAAAATACGTTTGTTTTTTTTTTTTTTTTTACAGAAACTATCCATTAGATTTATATTATTTGATGGATTTAACATGGTCGATGAGAGACGACAAAGATACTCTCGTTGGTTTGAGTAAAAAAATGGCACAAACTTTGGGAAATTTCACGAACAATTTTCGTCTTGGATTTGGTAGTTACGTTGACAAACCATTGATGCCGTATATTTTTCCTGGTCACGAAAATAATCCTTGTAAGAGCCAACATACTACCTGTGCTCCACTTTATTCGTTTAAACATCATCTTCAATTAACGGGGGATGTCAATCAATTCGTAAGGAAGGTACGAGTAGATTTTTCAAACAATCTCGGAAAGTAATTTCGTTTTTTCTTGACACATTTTTGGAATTAGTTAATGCAAATTGGCAAATAACAACACGTGAAATCGTTGAAAGTTTAAATTTATCAAATTTAATTATTTAAACCTATTTGAAAATCCTAAGTTTAATCTCGAAACAATAATTGTCTTCATTTTCACAAAAATAAAAAGAAATTACTTTCCGAACAAGCCAATATATCAGCGAATATATTGATTGAAATAAAATGAAATGTGGTTGCTCCAGGTGAACAATAGCGACGTTACCGGTAATGTTGATAATTTGGAAAGTGGTTTAGATGCTGTTATTCAAGCTATAGTTTGCGAGAACGTTATTGGGTGGGGTCATCAAGCACGAAAATTAATGCTACTTGCTACAGATGGATACTTGCATTTTGCTGGTGAAGGGAAGGTAATTAAAAAATGAAAAATTTACTTCAAGATTTGTATTGTTTATTGTTTATTCAAATTATAGTTGATTATTATTCCAGTTAGGAGGTGCCGTTAATCGACAGGATTTCCTATGCCATTTAGATGAACACGGTCAATACTCTCTCGCAAAGGAATACGATTATCCTTCGCTAGGCGAAGTTTCAAGATTACTCCAAGAACACAAAGTCAATTTGATATTCGCTGTCACGGAGGATCGTCGCGAGGAATACGAAATGATGGCCGATTTGCTCAAAGAAAAAGCTAGAGTAGCAACTCTGGCTGGTAACAGTTCGAATATTCTTGAAATTATTCAAAGTTCTTATCACGAGATCATATCTAAAGTAGTATTTCGCGATAATTCAACGAGCCCATTGAAATTAGAATATTTTTCTAATTGCGGGAAGGATGGAATGCAATTAAATACAGCCGAGTGCGATGGTATTCAAGAAGGACAAATATATGATTTCAAGGTAGTCTTTTCTATGGAATCCTGTCCGAGAAATGAAACACTTTGGGTAAGTATAAGTCGTTTGTCATTGACAATTATTCGATTGAAAAATATCGATAAATATGTAGCAAACGTTTTATTAAAGAAAACGATCTTTTTGCGCACAATCGTGAGGAATCTCGCGAGAGTGAAAGTGTCCATCTTCATCTACATACTGTTGTATGCGTGTGCTGGTAGAAACAAACAGTGATAATAGACGATGCCTTGGCGTCAGAAGCATCCGAAATAATCGTCCAAGTCGAATTGTTATGCGGTTGCAATTGCAAAGATCAGGATAGTTCGCGTTGTCAAAATGGGATAAACGAATGCGGTATTTGCAAATGCGATCCTGGATGGTCTGGTAAATCTTTTGTCTACTATCCTTATAATATTATGGCATGAAATATATATTTAAATGTTGATCGTTTTATTGTAGGAGAAACGTGCGATTGCGACGAGAGTTCTTGGATTGAAAATCGTTTGCAATGCATAGAAGATAGCTCGCAGGAAGTTTGTTCGAGTAGAGGGGAATGCAGTTGTGGCAGATGTAATTGCGATGCCGGTTATAATGGTCAATTCTGCGAATGCTCGCCTTGCGATAAGGTCAAGAATTATTCTTAGAACGTGTTACAGTAGATAGTTTAGATTACGTTTATATATTACTTTTTTTTTTTTCAATTGTTCGCTCATGAAAGTGAACTAAAATATACTTTGGTAAAGACAACATTGTCCTAGCAATTGTATAAAAATGATTTGATCGTTGATAGACTGACGGAATCGAATGCGGTGGTCGAGGAACATGCGAATGCGGTACGTGTAATTGTATAGAAGGTTGGAAAGGAGATGGTTGTCAATGTCCATCGGACGATAAACTTTGCATTGCACCTGGAAGCAATGAAATCTGCGGGAATCACGGATACTGCGATTGTGGCCATTGTCGGTTCGTTATATTTATTTTATTAGTCGATTAGAAAATTGTGTCAAAGTCAACTGTATATGTATATATAAATATCTAATACCAGTTTCTTTCATTCTAACAATAAGTATATTATCTTATCGGGGACACGTATGTTTCTTTTCAGGTGTAATACTACGGCAGCCGATGGCCTATTTTATCGTGGAACTTTCTGTGAATCGTCAGCGAGTTCTGGCGGTAGCGGTCTTTGCATTCTTTACGATTCTTGCGTTAATGCAACTGTGGAAGTTGCACAAGATACTGAACAACTGTGTCAGACAAACACAAGTTTCTATCAAATTGAAAGAGTGGATACTGTTGATACAGGTACAAAATTACATTCCTTTTGCAATGTGTTAAATAAGAGAAAATTTTCTTTAAGTCCATCTCTAAGAAAGAACTTTGTTGTAAAACAATAGCGTTATGAGATGCTTTTAAGACGAGTAATCTTTCTATAGAAAGTGCATAAAAACACTGGACCCTTCAATGACTATACTAATTTCGTTTTATTCATTTATAGGACACGAACATTATTGTTTTATTATAACTAGCAAAGAAAGAACAACTTGCATCATTCCTTACATTTATCATTTTAACAAGGATAATACCGTGACTCTAAAAATTGCTAACAAGGTATTTGACTCTTTTTAACGATAGCTGACATTTAAAAGTTAGATTTTTGACATTGTTTTTATTTTATAGTCTTGCCGTACGTCGTTGCATGCAGCATTTATACCAGGAATCATTTTTATTGCAATTTTGATCCTGGGTATAATAGGTTTATGCATATGGAAGTAAGTAAAATATAATAAAAAATATAAATAAATAAATTTTCATGAATATTTTATGATTTTTGTTTGTCTTCCAATTTCTAGATGTTGGACTGCCATACAAGATAAAAGGGAGTACGCTAAATTTGTATTAGAAAAGCAGAAAACTGTATATTGTTTAGATGAAAATCCATTGTTTAGGCCTGCCACAACTCAATTCGAAGTACCATTGGCGTATAAAGATAATTAATTTTTATTCACAATAAGAATCAAATTTATAATTTTAATATATCATTTTAATTGAAAGTCAAACCGAAGCTGTGAGATTATTTATTTGAAGAAATACTTCTAGGTAAAATTTGTGATTGTTTAGGACTATCGTCAAATATTTCTTGACACGTTTCAGTCCAAAAATGATTACTAGGCATGAAGTAAATTGACTGCAATTACCAGCAAAAAAAAAAAAAACCTAAACTTAATTTGGAGTTAGCACCAAGAATACATAATTTTATAACGGACGAAATTTTAGGAAATACTTTTAATATAAATTTGTAGAAAAATATTGAAATATTCTTACCTCATCCGAGATACTTTCGACGATCCAAACATATTCAAATGCATCTTGATACCTAATCTCAGAAACAGGCCTATTTTTAGACCAAACTGCGTGTATCGAAGAATTGTCCGGAAAAATGTAGGAACCATTTCCATTCATCTGTCCATGCACGTCAATTCCCCCTTTATATTGTGTTCCGTTGTTATGACTTTTTTGTACAGTTACAAATATAGTAAATTAGTATTAACATTAAATAGTATTAACATTAATCGAGAAGAAAAAAGGAAATATTATAAAACGTATTATTATACCGAATAAAAAAATGATCATCAGCAAAGTTATCGTTCTCCCATTTACCGCAATATGTATTATAGTCATTAGTAACGTACACCCCTTCACCTGTCAAATTATAATCAATCACAAAATGATTATTTATTGAAATATTTCATACATTTATATCTAATAATTAATTATTAATATTAACCGTCTTTGACCAATGTGCCTTTAGTTAGATGCAATGTGTAATCTCCGTCATAAGTATCTCCATTAAGAAAAGAAAATTGACCATTCCCTTTTTTCAAATTCGGATTTTCAAGTTCCTCCATATTTATTTTGAATGTAATAAAAAGAATTTATCGTTTTGATATTATATCAATTGTAGTATCGTATGTAATATTCGTTTATGCACTTAGAGGTTTTCAAATAACTTTTGATTGTCGTCGTTCCAAACGGAAATTAGTCACAATTAGAATCGATTTTATCGATGCATATTCAGTCGATAAACAGGATCTCTAGAGTTAGCTGTTAGACTCTAGCCGAACGCCTAGACAGACCTATTAATAACCTAAGACAAGACTTATTTAACAACCGCCGGTAGCCGAGCGGCGGAGCTCGCGTCCGCTACAGGTATGGATTCTATTAAAGTTCCCCTTTAGCGATATTAAATAAGCGATTGGTATTTACTTCCTAATTTCATTTTTATATAAGTTAGGCGTTTTTTAAATTATATTTCAAACTTTTGTTTATTTTTATAGTTGTGTAAAATATATTGTTATTTCTTGTGCCATAATAAACATATTAAAAAGTCAAGAGCGCCAGAGCTCGAAGTCTACTACCAGTCCGATGCTGCTGGGTTCGAGTCTCTTTTTCTCCAACTTTTTTTCTTTTTTTTATCCTTGAAATATTAAAAAAACATTATTAACAATTTAATTTATAATAATAAAACATTTTTTAAGCGAAAAAAAATTGAACAACTATTTTATATAAAATAACTAATAAAAGAACTCAAACTATTTGTAGCTTTTATATTGTATAATTTTGAATTAGAACCAGTGGATGATCTAGATGACGTTACATATTTGGCAGGTATGACTTTAGTCCCGTCTAAACAACTGCGAGTCAAATTTATACCAATTCTATAGGTATTTTTAATTTCATATTACTTTTTACAAAATGATCAACATTGAAATACTTTTATAGAGAATATATATAAAAGTCGTGAATATTGTTAAAGACCAAAATAAACTTTTATTTGACTTTGTTTAAATTGATATTTTTTATTAAAAAAAAATAAATACAATTTAATGTTTTAAATATGTATATTTATTTAGATATTTTATAATTAATAATAAAATTTTAATCAATTAAAATAATATTTTGTGTTTTGTAGTATTCATACATTTATATTTTTCATAAAAATTGAGTTGTTTATTTAAAAAAAAAAAAATATTTGTTTTTACAAAGTTTTCGGAAGGTAACCCCCCTTTTTACGTTGGCTCTGGGTCTCATACAAGACGGTTTCACACAGCATGGCATTTTCTAGAAACCTATTTACCGTGTTATAGGAGGGTTACCTGTATATCAGAGTTAAAGATTTGACTGTAGTCGATCTATTTCTAATAAAAAAACCCATTTATGATCCTCCATTATCTCGTTTGCATACGGTTACGGTACCATCTTCGTTACTAAAATATTCGAAAGGATTTTATTATCGTCAATAGGATTGTAATTTTTTACAATATAAAAAAAAAAAGCTTTGTATTAAGTGAGAATAGCGTTTAGTAGAAAAAATCACTTTTCAATTATACTTACTATTTTCGACCAAAAGATTCATCCTATACAATATACGGAGAAGGTATTCTTGTATCAGCATTATTACAACAAGTATTATTTATGCATTTCTTTGCGCTACAACAAAGAAAGGCAAATAAAATCACAGCAAACACGATTATGAGAATGATAATCGTGTATTCATCTGGTTCTGTAAAAGAAACAAAATTTATATTAAACAAACACACACACACACACACACACACACACAATTAATGTCGTTCGTAATATGATGTATTAAACAAGTTGGATAAAATGCTCATGCAATATATTAACACATAGAACGCCGGTCATGCTTTATTGCGGGATTCTTTTTTTTTTTTTAAATATATCAGCATGTTTTAAATGTGATGTATATTTTTCTTATCAGTGTTAACTTTTTTCTACCCTTATGTAATTTTTAATAATTGATAGATAATGTTATGTGCAAAATCAAACTAATAATCACTTTGTACAAATTAATTTGCACGTCTGTTTCTTCGTAAGAGACAAACAATGTGAGTGTCGGCGTTCAATGCGTTCATATTTTTTTATAACAATATTAAAGTGTTTTTTAGTTTCCGAAAAATATGTTAAAAATATATGTATATAAAGTTTTTACTTACCCATTCCGTATCCTCTATACGAATTCAAAGTTACCATTTTTATAATATTCTTGTATATTATAAAAATAAATCTATTCAGAAAGAGAATACTTCAAAATTCGATATGTGTTACTCTCGAAGAAAAAGTTATAATGAAAGAGAAAATGGTGAAAAGGGTCCTTTTAAAGGTATCGGTATATTATAAGGAAGGGGCAAAGATACGAGCTTATGATTCATTGTCAATTATTTAGTCATTTAAAAGCTTTGTCTAAATTAATAAATTTCTAAATTAACAAATAATGATTTTCGAAAGTAAACTTAATTTATTTATAATGATATCTAATGGCTAAAGATAAAGAGAGATCACGGTATAATAGTATGTAAGATTTTTTCTATAGATATAGAATCAGTGGTGACTCATTGATAACAACCCCAAAGATTCTTTCACTTTTTAAATAGGTGTATTCATTTTCAATAAAATGTATATACGCAAGATTGCATTTCTATAATAATAATTATCAATATTAATGCAGAAAATTAAGGATGGTCTGCAGCTGAACGGGGCCACGTAACTGTAGTAAACATACGCGAATAATATTGAATTGTTGTTGAGAGACAATAAAGAGACATTAGTAGTTGTTAACACTTTACCGACTGGTGGCGTTTCGAAAATTCTATGCCTTTCTCACCACCCACTTTGGACCACCACTCACTTCCCAAAAACATGTGATAAACAAAAACAGGGTTGACGAGAGATAACTGTTATTGCTTGTTTAGCTAATAATAAGTTTGTAATTTAAAAAGAGAAAAGAATAAAATTGACATAATAAAATAATAAACTTTAAACGCGTCGTTTATTTGATTATAGGTGAGGAAAGGTTCGTAATGTTAAATGTAATTTTATTTTAATAAGTAAAAACTTATAAATAAAAAGAAATCTTGGACTACAGATCAATAAATAACAATGTATTTTTTACTGTCAATCCTATCTAATTAGAAGGTAATAAATATCGTTATACATATTTAAAAAATAACAAATTGTATATTTTTTTTTTCAATAATAAAATATAATATTTATTATACAACAAGGTAAATTAAAAGTTTAATTTGTTTTTTAACGATATTCACCAATTACGAAAAAATTCTTTACAACTATATTGAATTTGTTCTTCCTCGGTGAAGGATAAAATGTACAATATAAAAATACTTATGTAATTGGTATGAATCTCACTTGAAGTGGTTTAGACGAGGAAAGAGTGATACCAGCCATAAATTTAACATCATCTAAATTATCCACCGGTTCCAACTCAAAATTGTACAATATAAAAGCAACGAAGAGTTTAAGCTCAAGCATTGCAAACTTTTGACCTGCGGAATAAAAAATAAAAAAATAAGAAGACAAAATTTTTTAAAATTTTTGCTAATATTTTTACATGCGACATATACCAATACAGTTTCTTGGCCCCGCACTAAATGGTATGTAAGAGTAAGGATGACGTTTTTTAGTATTTTCCGGTAAAAATCTGTCCGGATCGAAAACATCTGGATTTGGCCAATATTCTGGATTTCTGTGTACATTGTGAATATCTATTACACAGATCGTACCAGATGGAATTAAATATTGTTCTACGATAATAATGCGATTTCATGGAAAATAAATCAATTAATTAGTTAGTAAATATTTGATATTGAAGTATGAGTATAGATGCATATTATTTCATACTTAGTTGCATATCGTGACAAATTTGCCGAGATAAAAAAAAGGCGGGTGGATACAAACGAAGAGATTCTTTTATACACCTTTCCAAATAGGAAAGGTTTGAAACTGATGATATCGTCAAATTATCATCTTGCATAATAGTTCTAACCTCGTTTCTTATATTTGCCTAAAAGTAAATAAGTCATTAATTATTAATTCTATTAATTATGAAAATCGCGAAACGTAAACAACGTTGCAAGTTAAAATAATTTTTATTCGAATTCGAGTACCGATAAAACTTATTTTCAGTTAACATCATTGATATAAGAATTAATAATAAGCTACTACTAAGAGTAGTGAAACGATTCAATAATTAAATCATTTTTAATGTATAAAAATAAAAAAACATTGCTTCTTTTGTTAATCAATTTAGCTGCAAATCTTTGCTGGGAACATTACCTGGACATCTTTGTGCTTAGCAAAAAGACTCAAAGTAAAGATCAGTGCACTTGCAGTAGTCTCGTGGCCCTAGAAAATTTCATTTTAATGAATATTTCTGCTCTTTTGTATTTTAAGTAAGTATATTAACAAGAACCTACTCCAAACATGAAAGTATCCACTTCTTCTCGAATTCCTTCCTCATCTATTTGATTATCTTTCCAAGATGCAGCTATAAGCAGATCTAGCAGAGAAAGTCTTTTCTTAGAATACAAATCTGTAACATAACAATTCTATTGACCTTGTTTCTTTAATTTTATTTTATTYTTGTTTAAAAAATTTCAGTACACTCATCATCCTTCTCCAGATCTTTATTAGAAACGTCGTCGTTTTCAATATTTTCAAAGATTTGTAAATATTTTCCATTAGTTTGTTTGTGAAAACTTTTCCTTTCTTCAATAATCTGGAATAAATATTAAACTTCTTGAATTTAGGTATCTTCACACAATAAATGTAGATTTAAATAATAAGTCAGAAAGATACGTACATTTCTTGAAAAACTATGCAACGTTTTCAACGTCTCTTCTTGTACTCTGTCATATGATGAAAATTTAAATATACTATCAAGCATGTACCAAGGTTTCGTAAATCTAATAAGCATTAAATCACATTCTTTATTTAATTAACTATGTTTCTAAACAAAAAATTGAATTACCTATATAAGCTATAAGATGAATTACCTGAATGTAGCAATTCTAATATACTCATGAACGGCATGACGATATTTAGTTTCTAGTTCGCTTTTTTCTTTCAGTTGAATACCGAAAGCTGATTCTACCAAAAAAATTCAGAGATATAAATAATTGATAATATTATTAATTGTATATACAAAAAATGGTTATTTTTGTTTTTCTTTTTTTTTTTTTCACTAACGGCATATTGCGTTGAGAGTGTATTGGCTGATAAAACTTTTTAAATCTTTGACAACGGGATTTCCACTTCCCTCTTTTTTCAGAAATTCAACAAGATTTTGCGATTCGTCAATTAAATTGGTAAAATAATGTTGAAGGATATTAAAGTGAAATGCAGGTGTTAACATCTTCCGTCTTAAGTGCCATTTTTCACCTGTCAAATTAGATTAGATTTAAAATATTAATATAATATTAAAATGCTTTAGAGTAAATTATCTGTTTTTTTTTTTTTTTATTGTATAGATCTGTGAAACAGAATGTAATCGAAGATCTTATTTATTCATTTATTAGCGATAAAAGATTGAAGAATTATCTCCAGTTTTTTGATTGTCACGACATTTGGCTCGTACTGTTAGAAGATAAATAAACGATCCGTGATAGTTACACCTTTGTCAAGCAAGCTTATTATGAGGAAAAGATACAAATAAATCTTGTTCGAAATATGTGTCACAATTATTAAAATTAAAGCCTCAAATTGTAAGAAAAACAGATGGGAATGTCGAAAAAAAGAAAAGAAACGGGTGTTTCTTTGTAAAGCACGAACGAACAAATACTTAATAATAATATTACATTCTATTGTATTTTATTATTTAGTATCCTTAATTTTTAGGTACTATATAGTAAAAATATTATTTTTGTTCATTTAAATTTCTTACCGCTGCTAATTAATAATCCAGAAGAAAGCCAGGGCCTAATAAGTTTATACAAAAATCCTTTTTCAATATGTTGTTTACTTTTCAATAGCTGCTACAATAAAAATTCATATTTTGGAATACATGTTAATTGATTTTTGGATTTTAAATTTGAAGTTTTCAAGAAATTGGTGCAGGTTTAAAGTATATTTGACTATGATTTTAGTTTAATTAATGAAATGAAATACTTTCAGATTTTCTAAACCTCTCAGAAAGTTAAAATACAATTTTAAATAAATTCCTTATATAGTAGTACAAAATATTGACAAATATTGAATACACATGTATTCAATATTTTGTGCTACTAGGGTTTATTTTATTTTTATTTTATAATACTTTACCTGAATATCATCTGGATGGAGTAAAACAACTGAATAAATAAAGAAGGACCATATTTTGAAAATTGGATAATGCTTATAAGTTAGGTTCCATAATTTCTCAGGTAAATGTTCTATATTATTGGTAATAAGTTAGTATTAAGTGAGAACATTATCGACTGAGAAGAATCACAATTTATTCGATATAAAGAATTCCTAAATAAAAACATTTTAATATTTCTTACTGAAGTCAATATGTATGTGATGCAAATTTCCAATTATCGGATATTCCTGAGGTCCTGGTATAAGACTTAAAAGTCTTCCTGCTCTTCTATATCTTATACAGCAGTGTAATAGAATTAGAAATAAAATTAAACCTGACAAAATGGCGAGCATGATTAATTCTGGAAAATATTCAAAATTATAGGTATTATCTGTAAATGCACCAAGAGTAGTCTTATATATTAGTTACTGTTGTCAGGAATAATTTTTTTTAACTGGTTATGCACCAAGCCACAGTTAGCTAATACAAGGTTATTAGAAGGTTAGTTAATAATGTCCCTAGGGAGCCTGCGTGACCTAAAAGAAAATTCTAGCGCCGGTCCCGGCGTGGCTCTTGACGTGTTAAATACTATTTTTTGTCAATAATTATTCTATAAACTAACGTTTATGAAATGCTTAAAAATTCACAAGCTGAACTGTTTAATTATTCTTTTTTTAATGAAATTTAAACACACACGTATACGTGAGTGATATATTATAATAAAATAGAAAATAATTGAACTTCACTTACAGAATTTTTGTGTTTAGTGATTTATAGAAAATATTATATTCCACACACTTAGAAGAAACTAGTTCAATCGTTAGATTGTTGAAACGTAAAATGAACAATTTCTGTTGGAGAAATGATTATATTGGATAATCCCTAATTTTACTACCATATACGAACAAGAAGATAATTTTCTGTTCTTATCTATTTATAGTCTGAAAAAACAATCGTAAAGTAAAAACGTAAAAATCTTAGTTTTTTTTAGATATAACGAATCTTTAAAAATTAGCATTAACTAAGTAAGAAAGCAACATTTAATTGCGTATTTAATGATATTAATTACAAAGTAGTTATCACTAAGAAGACTAATCATTTCTGTTATGTTATTTTATTTTTGCTTTTTTATTTAACTCGTAAGTTTATATTTGATATATTTATGAGGAGCATAATTTCTAAACAATATTATGACACATAGAAAGTTAAATTATTCTATTATTTGCTAGATAAATCTGGTTTTTAGATACGAATCAATTGAAATATTCGAAATTACCTAGGACCGTGTTAAATAGTTAAACAAAAACTGTCACTGTTGCGTACAGGTGCCTTGATCAGTACGATGTTCTTTATTTATCGTAAAATGAAAAGGTTTTAAGGGATGGTGGAGTAATGTGAATCGAATTGTTCCTTTATAATACGCTGCTGAGTTGTTGTATGTAAACTATCGCCCCGATGCTGAGCTGCCTGATGATTGCGTGATGAAATGTGGTTAGGCTGCCTTGTCGGGTGCCGATGAGTTTTCCTTGCTCTTAATGCGTTGGTTGTATGTGAATCGAGTGTTGCTGACTGAATGGAATGCCTTGACGATTTTCTGTGGCCTTTTATAGGGAACGGGTAGTCCTGTGCACCCCCTTCCCCAAATTGATTGGCCAATGACCGTCGGGTCACTCTCCATGGTCCGTCGAACTAGCATAGGGTTGTAGAAGGAAATCAAGCTGCGCGGGGAAGCCTTGTCTTAAAGAAGCAGCGCTGTGTCCACTTGTGCTAGCGCATACGCTGAAAGAACCGGCGCCGGTAGGTCCCGCTTCTGTGTGTCTTGTTCAAAACTTTGATCGAGTCAAGCAACACCTCACACAATCCACATCATATATTGCGCAATACGCAACAGTCACATATCAAATATTTTTATGAACGATAATAATTTTTTTGGTACAAGTGTGATTTCGTTTGTATACTTTTTTGTTATTATTCAATTTTTACCAATATTTAATTTTTGGATAATTAAATAAACATTTTCCATTGAAGATATGATATTATAGAAAAATCCTCGATTTTATGACCATGTATGAATATGAAGATAATTTATTGTTGATATATATATATATATGTATGTATTTGTTGAATGCATAATCGTTAAATAAATACGTAAAAATCTCAATTTTATTTAACTTACGACCTTTCCATCATAAATTATATATAATGTCATGTAAAAAGATATAAATATTCTTAAAAATATGAAATAATTGTTTAATGAGCAAAGATAACGAAATCGAATTACGTACTTATCAGAAGATTACTTATTAAAAATAGATAACATTAAAATAGTTAACGTATTCAATAGATTATTTCATTTACCTTTTATATTTAATTTAAGAAAATTCATATAACATTTTGTGTTGGATATTATTTCAAAGAGAAATATAGTATAAAAATTTAGTTTAATAATTTCTGTTTTTAGATTTTTAAATAAAAATGCATTCAAATACATATTTTGTTTTACATTAAATTAGGCAACAAATTTAAATTAAAGCATTAAAAGCATTTAAATGAAACACATCAAATATTGTTACGAACATTTCAATTTTAGGGGATCACAAATGTATGTTTACAAATTTCGTGCTAAAATCTAGTAATTTTTTCCGAAAAGTAGTGAGGTTTTTTCCGAATAGTATTTCCGATAAGTCCGTAGGGTGTGTTTATTTAGGCCTCGTAGATGAGTCTCGTAAACAAGTCTCGTTAAAAAGCCTTGTAATCGAGTTTCTTCTATTTAAAAACTTTTCTATTTTATTGAAAAATTAGTATAAATTTCCTAAATACGCAAACATTATAATTAAATAACATGTCTTTGGATATTTAGAAAAACAATACTCTATAATGTTTTCTAATTCTTTTTCTCTCATGTATCTTATAATCAATTTTTTTTTTGTAAAATATTGCAGACAATACAATTATTTTAATCTATATATTTCATAATCATTAATAAGAATAATATTTGCGAAATAAATAAATAATTTAATAATATTAATTTTTCAATAAAATAGAAACATTTCTAATAGAAAAGAAATGACACGTTTGGTAAAAAAAAAAAACATACCACGCACCTTCTTTGTTTATGTCGGCCGTCGGTTCGTTTGGACCTTATACTTTTGTCGCATACCTACGTGCTTATCTCTGTTTATTCTTATACCCTTCTATCGCTCCTACCTACAAACATTTCGAGTATCGAAAGAATATGTGTGTGTTTACGCTTTGTAGTATGCAGTCGCACACAAACACACATATATACAACCAGGAGCAATAGCTACGAAGCATAGCATAAAGAGGAGACCGAGAATAGGAACAACTGTATAGCTATATTCCGTCTCATTCCCTCGCAGTCTAAATCCTATGTTTGTCTCTTTTTCTCTCATTATTTAGTATGGTAGCCGTTTCATAGCTTCGTTACATAACTTCGTTACATAGCTCCGTTTCCGTTTATTTACTTTTCAGATCACTCCCATTCTAAAGAAGTTTTCACTTCAAAAACTGGTTAACTAGAAGTAAAGTGAAAATAGGCAATATAATGTAGGAAACATTTATTAAGCATAGTGGTTAAAAACAGGCGGTCCAAGTGCTATCAAAAAATTGCAGAAACGTAAAGATGGTTGCAGCTGTACAGCGCAACGTATCTATAAAATTTGCTAGTTATTTTCTTATGTCGATCGCCCTCCTGGTATCTAGGCTCCTTGTGTTTGGTGTACACTCATGGAAGGCTACGACACTGTGTCTACTTTTTGTACGTGTGATGTACGTGTGGTTCCCTAGTCCTCTAGTAACTTCTAGAGGGCGCGACCATGTGGAAGACTAGTGAGATTCAATGATTGGTGGGTTAGAAAAAATGGAAAGTATCATTGGTTAAAAGTACTGCTGACGGATTTCCAACGCAAAAATGGAAAGAATTGTATGAAATTAGGAGTTCATAGAAATTCGATTTGATGTTAGTGTTCTGAAGGTAAGCAAAGGTGCGCTAAAACTAGTTTGTTACAAATTCAAATAAAAAACGGTCGGTAGTAATATTCGGTTAGGTTTTCGGCAAAGGAAATTTTTTACGTTCGTAAAGTATAACAATGGCGGACACAGATGAATGGTAAATAAATTATCCAAATTTTTCCTTTTATTAACAATTACTAAGAAATAATAAATTTAAGGTTTTTGATTTATTTACATGGATGAAACTTGCTTGCTAACAATGATCAGTAGTTGTAATAATTTGTATAAGATGTGTTTCTTCAATTTATCTGCTGAATTTTTCTCTTACTTTTTATTGATAAATTCTAAAATTATATTATATTAACCGTTTAGAATGATATTGATATATTATTATTTATTTGTTTGTCAACAAAAAAAGAAAGTTTATTATTTTCAATAACTCTTTATTTGCTTTATATTGAATGAATTAAATTTATTATGCTCTTTCATAGGAAGCAGGTAGTACAAAAGACTTGTACAATGGTACGTAGTGCGATAACACAGTTACATACAATATGGACAGAAGTTGGATACGATAAAGAAACACAGATATCTTATACTAATGCAGCACTTGATCACATACAGGTAAAATATAAATTGTTAATATATATATATATATATTATTGAAAAGTAAGGATAATTCCAACTGCAAGCTAACGCTTTAATCATAATACAGGAATTGTTAACCGATATGGTGTCAGAGTCCGAGGAAAAAAAAAGATTACTATTAGAAGAATCTAAACAGTTAATGCAAAATACATCTATTCTATGTAAAGTATGTATTAGTTTTATAAAATCATTGCAAAATCTTCCCATTCTGTTGACTTTATAATATATTTCATTTATTGTAGGAATTAAAAGAAACTATTGATGCGAATGGATATGAGAAACTACCATTATTCAAATTACAACAAGTCCTTCGACATGATATGGAAAAGCTGTTGCGTATAAAAGAACAACGCAAAACATATTTGAATGAATTATTAACTAAGGTAGGCTTTCATATGATTGTTAAAGAATCTGCAACTTAAGATTGCAAATATTCATTATATATGCATTTTTAAATAGTCTTTTAATATAATGTTTTTCTCTTTGTTCTTTTTATAATACCTAAAGGAACATGAAATATGTAAAAGGTTAGGTGTGCAGCCAGTAGGAATCGAATCTAAACTTCCAACCAAAGAAGAATTGGATAACTTTAAATTATATATAGATAAACAAGAAGCAGAAAAGGTACACTTCTATAAATTAATAGCTATTTGATAACTTGAAAATATATTTACATCATTGTTTCGATCGTTTGTTTAGGATCGTTTAGAAAGCGAATTTAAAAATAAATATAATTACATTGCTAAAATGGTACATGATCTAGGATTTAGTCCATCTTCCCATTTTGAAGAAATAGTATGTAATGATCCAGATAGTTTTGTATTAACTTCTGCCAACATGGCAATGTTAAATGATTTTCAAGAAATGTTAGAAAGACAATTGAATAGTGCAAAAGAGGCAATTGAGAATAAAAAAGAAGAATTATTAGCCCTATGGGCAAATCTTAATGAACCTAGTGATTTTTGTCAAGCATTTTTCGACAACCATCCAGGATATAGTAAAGCTACTTTAAAAGCAATAAATGCAGAAATCGGCCGATGTAAAGAAAGAGCACACATTGCAAAATATGTGAATAAAGTACGCACAGAATTAGTTAGCATGTGGGATTTATGCAAATACGGTGAATCTCAACGAAAGAAATTTACTGCATTTTATTCTCGTACGTACACTAATGATTTATTAACTTTGCACGAACTCGAAGTTGACAAAGTTCGTAAGTATTATGAGACGAATAAGATAATTTTTAATTTATTGGAAGAGAGAGAAAAGCTCTGGACAAAAATGAAAGAATTAGAACATCGTGCCAATAACCCAGATCGATTAAATAATCGAGGTGGACAACTGCTGGCAGAAGAAAAAGAACGCAAAGTTATACAAAGAAAATTACCTAAAATTGAAAGTCAGTTGCATAATTTGGTAGAAGAATATGAAACGAGGCACGGGGAAACGTTTTATGTTAATGGCGTTTCCTTGGAAGAATTCTTAGCACAATCATGGGCAAATCGTGATATAGAAAAGGAATGTCAAAAAACTGCAAGAAAAGAGGCAAAGGAAAAGAGTGCAAAAAAAGCAAGTGTAACCAAACGTACTCCAACAGCATCGACCAGTCGTCTTCTAACTCCTTTGTGTACCTCAACCAAGAGGAAATTATTATTTGGTTCTACGCCCAATAGTTCAGGCAAACGACGTAATATTGGTAACGATAAAGTACGTAGTGTCACGTATGCTTCCAAAATTCGAAGAAGTGGCAAAGTATGTACTATCTTTTTATATTTTTACATACTCTTTATACCTTTCCTTTTTTTTCTCATCCCATTTATTTCTTTTATCAATTTTTCAGATCTCCAGGCGAGCTTTATCCGAGAACAAAAAACGTAGAAGCGATCAGAGAAAATCCAGATCGCCATCGCAGAATGCAGTTACCATTGATACAACTTATGGACAATTTCAAGAACATTTGAAGGATAGAGAAGAATGTCGTAGTTCCTTGTTAACCGACCAATCGTTAAACACTAAATCTGTTTTAAAGACTCCGAATCGTTCAAACGTTAAACCTTTGAGAAGAAATTTATATAACGTAAATGCATCATCCAATGCAACATCCAAATTATTACAATCGACCCGAAATTCTCCTCGTAGTCCTAGGGTAGTTCATGCTTCGAAACTTGCTACGGCACCAAATGTGCTTCCTATTATTTTTTGATGGTTTATTTTCTTCGTTTAGTTGTCCTCCTTTTTAATTATTTATCTACTCGTCGATGTTCTTTTATTATTTCCAAAAAGTTGTATAGAAGAATAATATATAGTATACTGTACATATACAGTAAAGGGATAGATATGGAGAAAATTTAAAGTTGGGACCAAAATTTTACTTTTGACTTTTAAGAAGAAATGTAATGTATATTAAATATGTAGTAAGTTTTTTATTTGAAATTTTTATATAAATATAGTCTTAACGCATTTTAGCTATTCAACATGTATATATTTATTTTATGAAACATTTGTTCACAAAATATTAATGTTCAGCTATTTTAAATGTTATTACAATATAAATGATGTAACATTTACTATTTGTGTATAAATTAAGTTTCGGCGTTGCAATATATTTGATATTTTGTCGATAAACTGTAACAATTATTTTAAAATAGTAATTATTTATAGACCGTAGATCAGACTTGTTTTATCTAATACAACACATGGACCTAAGGTTATTCTACTTTCCTCATTTGAGTTAGAATGAACATTTGTAGATAATCGAATAGCTTTACAGAATCATTTTCTATCATATATTTTAACAGATTAGAGACAAGGAGAAATTGAAATTAAATTAAAATATCTGCTGATATTTTATTAAATAGCGGTTAATCATTTAGGTTAATCATTTAGTTAATTATTTTTAAATCTTTGAAAGAAATGTTAGGTTTTTTATGAATACATTACTATATCTTATTGTTTTTATACAATTATTTAACCTTTATGTATGTCTTTACCAAGATATCAAGTGCAAAAACTTTATTCATAAACGTATTTTTATTATAACATATTGCTCATTGGAATTTGCATTTCAAATAATACACAAATTCGTTCTACCCAATAAATAACGACACTTTTAAAATAAAATACATAAGATATTATCGAACTTTCTATTACAAAAAATAAAATTACGAAGGAACAATCATATCTATCAGCAGATATTTACTTATTATTATACTAATATACATATATAATTAATATTAATTATAGTTAATATTAATTATTAGTATAATTAAAAAAAAATATTTTATTATTAGGTTATCTGGGAATTCTTGTCGGTTTTTAACTATAAATTGAAAAACAATTTTTTTGTTTTTTGTTTTTACAAAGAATAAGCTTTAATCTATAATATATTAGCTATTTTATTTTATTTTGAGTTTTGTCATCTTCCTGATTATTTCATGGTGCCTGATTTAGGTCTTTCGAGGTACGAAATGCCAAATTAGGGTTTTAAGATGGATGAGGAAATATGTTTTAGCAAATTTTCACTAATTTTTAGTGAATGATTAAAGAAGTGTGTCGTTGCGCGTTGTCATCATGAAATACAATATCATTAAAACCTATTTATTAATCCTAAATATTTTTATTACAAAGTCTCGTTTAATTGCGTTTGTTGATCACCCTGTAAATTGTCTTGTTACGTGACGTGAACCTTCAAAATATACAATTTTATTCTAATTATATTCTACTGAGATAATATCTTTCTTTTTAGAAAATTTCCATTTCTGACATTGATTCAAATTTAGTTTATGTAGAATTCAAACTTTCTCAAATGATGAAGAACATAATATTCGTGTGTACATTGAATTTCTTAGAAATCTCCTTGATTAGAATTGATCAAAGTTTTTATTTTGTCTTCATGAATTTCAATACGAAATTCATTTTGAACTGAAAAATTTCCAAAACGTAATTTCACAAAGTCAAATTTGTAAGTACGTATTGTTCATATTTCATCACTTCACACAAAACATATCATCTTTCGGTGTGTGTATCCATTTTTTCTAAAATAATATAATAAAATGTATCTTAAATGTTTATTTTGTTCTTTTATTTAAAAAACTGACACCGAAATAATACAACACTTATGATATAAGACTTGAATTTTGTATATAAAATAAACACATTGATCTATTCTATTAAATAATAAAATAAGTTTTAAAGTTGGGATATTCAAAAAATGGTCAACTTTCTGTGTATTGGCATATAATAAGTTAAATATTTGGACCCTACAGTATCTACTGACACACCAAGTTCTCTCATGTACAATCTATTTAAAAATATATGTCTAGATAATTTGTTACGTTCGAGCATTTTAAACATCTTATTTGTTCCCAATAATTTGCAAAAATGATTTTCCTCTGAATGAGTAATGCTTCTACAATAACAACAATAATTCGAGAAACAACTGGATAAGGTTAAATCTAGTATATTTTTCATATTTCTTCGTTGATATTCCGATTTAGTTTTATACAGTTTGATTAATTCCTCTAGTATGTTTGGATGATATAATATCATTTCAGGAATATCTCGATTTAAATACTTTCGTTTAATTTCGGCTAATATATCATTTATACTATAGCTTTCTTCCATGATACATGAAATTAATTCTCCGGCAAGTTTGGAAATTATAATATCTTTTAAACGCAGTATATCTGCTGGGTTAATGAGACGATAAGCTTTTTCGCATTCATTAATAAATAATGAAGCATCTATATTATAACCATCAAATCGTGGAATAAACTTTGTTGCTTCTGCTAATGAAGTATACTTTGTTTTTTTAGGTTTTGCATAACACATTATTTCTAATTTTGATGCAAGTTGTCTCGAATGGTTCTTTATCTTACCCATTAATTCAGAATTTAAAGTTACAACACTTCTTAAATAAAGATCTCACTTATACAATATTCGCGTTTCGTGTCTTCTTAGAACCAGTTAAGAGATTTCAAATTTAAGTAACAAATAATACAGCTTTCTCTAGTTATCGTAAAGTCTCTTGAATAATTTCTGGTTCGGTGTCCAAGTGACAATACATACAAATACATACTTTCAATAAGCATCTCGTTGGCGTGTGACAAATTAAACAAAAAAAAAGGATATCTCGTTTCGCTTTCATGTTTGCTTTTCTTTTAATAGGAAAAAAAAACAGCAAGGGCATATATACAATATATATATATATATATAAATAATATGATTTCGCTAACTGTCATAACATATCTTTAAGGGATTTGTCTTTACGAAGATTTAAATATGTTTTTCAATATGTAAATACTTTGATAACGATTTTGTAGGTTGATTAATAGAACAAATGTTTACCAGGAAAAAGCATATTCGAAAGAGAAGAAAGATAAACTGTATTCCTTATTAACGACATTATTTGAAAATATCCAAAAGTCCAATCGATTAAACATTGAATTTAAATTTCGTGTTACCTGGGTTTTAAAAAATCTCGGCCCATTGAAATCCATTAAGATCGATGTATGGAGAAATATTTATATAATAATCAAAATCAATTGGTGAAACTCTTTTATTTTTCTCTATTTCCTTGGTCATTTCTTAAACTATATTATTTGATTACATTATATTTTATATACATGTTTTTGTTACAAAAGTTTATACTTTTAGATAGTGTTTCTGTTCGATAAATTTTCGTGAATAGTCAAATATTAAAATGATACATTTTTCAAGAAAACTATTGTTTTTTCTCGAGAACTCAAATAAAACGTAAGTTCTGAATTATACTTGTACTCGAAAGTAAATGACAATAATTATGATTTAAATTTTCATGTGAAAATTATAGTGATCGTAGATGTTTACCAGTTACCAACAATTCAAGAAACAACAGTTCAGAAATAATACCTCACAAGGATATGTATAAAAGTTAACGAAATAATAGAAATTTAGAATTAATAATTTTAGACGATAAGACTGAATGGAATACTGACAAAGTTATGATTAAAAATTTGTTATATCAGGTGTTAGTGTTACGCCAATTTCTCTCAAATACAATTTATTTAAAAATAAACGTCTAGATAATCTGTTACGTTCGAGCATTTTAAACATCTTATTTGTTTCTAATAAGCTACAGCAATGATTTTCCTCTGTATGACCGTTTAGTTTACAATAGTTGCAAAAATAAAAGAAAAGTTCAGGTATAATTTCACTGTTTGTATTTTTCGTATGGCACGTTTGGGATTCTAAATTTTCTAATTCCTGATTTGGATCTTTAGCAATATAAAATGCCATATTCACTATCTTTCGATTTACATAATGTAGATATACCTTACCTAATAAATCATGAACGGAGTATATATCAGAAAATAACAATGCTGGTTCTCCAAAGAGTTTGGAAATAATAAAATGTTTTAAATGTTCCATATCACGTGGTCTTATGAGTTTCAAAGCTCTTTTGCATTCATTAATAAATATTGAAACTATCATATTGTAACCATCAAATCGTGGAATATACTTTGCTGCTTCTTCTAATGAAATGTACTTTGTTCGTATAGGTTTTGCACGAAACGTCGGTCCTAGTTTTTTTTTTAATCTTTTCAAAGGGATATCTTTTATATCCATTAGTGTAGAATTAAATTTACAACACTTCTGAAATAATAATGATTTCACTTATATGATATTCTTCGTTTCGAATTTTTTTGTAGAACAAATGAAGTAGTTTCAAATTTAATTCACAAGCAATAAAGTCTTCGAATTATTGTAAAAACTTTTGAATAATTTCTCTTTCGGTTTCCAAGTGACGATACGCGAGATTTACACTTTAAATAATCACCTCATTTTTAAGTAACACACAGATATAAATAATAAGATTTCGCCAACAACCATAATATCTCTTTAACGGATTTGCCTTTACAAAAATGTAAATACGTTTTTACTATATGTAAATACTCAGGTAACGATTTTGTAGGTTGATTAATAGAACAAATGTTTACGAGGAAAGAGCATATTCGAAAGAGAAGAAAGATAAACTGTATTCCTTATTAACGACATTATTTGAAAATATCCAAAAGTCCAATCGATTAAACATTGAATGTAAATTTCGTGTTACCTCGTTCTTAAAAAATCTCGGCCCATTGAAATTTATTAAGATCGATGTATGGAGAAATATTTATATAATACTCAAAATAAATTGGTGAAACTCTTTTATTTTTCTCTATTTCCTTGGTCATTTCTTAAACTATATTATGTGATTACATTATATTTTATAGAATCTTTTCTACAAAAGTTTATACTTTTAGACAGAGTTTCTGCTCGATACATTTTCGTGAATAGTCAAATATTAAAATGATACATTTTTCAAGAAAATTATTGTTTTTTCTCGAAAACTCAAATAGAACGTAAGTTCTGAATTACACTTGTACTCGAAAGCATATGAAATTAATTATGAATTAAATATGCATGTGGAAATTATAGTGATCGTAGATGTTTACCAGTTACTAATAATTCAAGAAAAAACAGTTCAAAAATAATATCTTACAAGGATATGTATAAAAGTTAACGAAATAAAAGAAATTAAAGTTAATTTTAGATGGTAAGACTCAATGGAACATTGGAAAAATTATTCTTTAAGAATTCTTTGATATTTTGGTTCTACTACGCCAAGTTCTCTCAAGTACAATTTATTTAAAAATAAATGTCGAGATAATCTGTTACTTTCGAGCATTTTAAACTTATTAGTTGTTAATAGGAAACTGCCATAATGATCTTCCTCCGTATGACCTTCGTATTGACAATATTCGCAAGAAGTTAACAAAAGTTTACGTATATCTGTCATTTGTTCCTGTTCCGTACAGCTCCTTTCGGCTTCTAAATAGTCTAATTGTTTTTTGCGATCTATATCAATAGAAGTTATAAATTGTTTGTATGCATGTGGATCTTTAATCATTATGAAGTCTCTCTCTTCGGCTGTATAACGGTCATATAATTTTTCTAAGAAATCATGAATGTTCTTTTTATAAGAATATAAATGTGGTTCTACTCCAATGACTTTGGAAATAATAAGATCTCTGAAACGTTCTTTATCACGTGGGTTTATGTGACTCAAAGCTCTTTTGCATTCACAAATAAATATTGTAACTTTAATATTGTAACCATCAAATCGTGGAATATTCTTTGCTGCTTCTTCTAATGAAATATACTTCATTAGTACAGGTATTACATAAGACGTCGATCCTACTTCTGTTTTTAGTTTCTTTGAAGAGCTATCTTTCTTATCCATTATCGTAGATTTAAAGTTACAACACTTCTGAAATAATAATGATTTCACTTATATGATATTCTTCGTTTCGAATTATTTTAGAACAAATGAAGTTGTTTCAAACTGATTTCACAAGCAATACAGTCTTCTAATTATTGTAAAAACTTTAGAATAATTTCTCTTTCGGTTTCCAAGTGACGATACGTAAGATTTACACTTTAAATAATCACCCCTGCTGTAGGTAACAAATTAACAAGAAACTAGAAATCTCGTCTTGTTTTCTTTTTCTTAATAGGAAGAGGAAACTAGGGCATACATGTAAATAATATGATTCAACTAACAAACACAATATCTTTAACGAATTTGACTATTCGAAGATGTAAATACGTTCGTAATGAATTTGTGATTGCTGATAAGTAAATATTCCGATAACGGTTGCAACTTTTTAGACAAATAAATCGTTTTATATATAAAATTATAATATTATTATTAAAATTTAAAGTAAGTATCAGTTTAAGTTTCTTTTATTTCAATCCACCATATTATTTATTTTCTAAATACATAGATATAATTAACAAATATTTAACTGTCTTTCCTTTTGTTACATTTAAATATATTAACAATATAAAAAAACAAAATTAAATGTTCATTCATTTATTCAAATACATTTGTCAATTACGAATGAAATGTTTGCAGGTGTATTTGAATGAATTTTATCTTGTAAAACATAATATCTTTAAAAATACTTATCTAATAGGTATAAATTTGATTCGAAGTGGTTTGAGCGAACGCAAAGTAATATCTGCAGAAAATGTTACATCGTCTAATTCATCCACTGGTTCCAACTCAAAATTATATATCGTAGAAGCTACTATGAGTTTAAGCTCGTACATTGCAAATTTTTGACCTGCCAAATAAAAAATGTTAGAATAAGAAAAACAAACAATTTTAAAGATTCTTTTTTTTTTTTCTATTTTTTGAAATAAGATATTTACCAATACAGTTTCTTGGCCCCGCACTAAATGGTATGTAAGAGTAAGGATGACGTTTTTTAGTATTTTCCGGTAAAAATCTGTCCGGATCAAAAACATTTGGATTTGGCCAATATTCTGGATTTCTGTGCACACTGTGAATAACTATCGCACAGATCATACCAGATGGAATTAAATAATCTTCTACAAAATGAATAGGATTACATATAGTCAATAAAATAAAGAATCAATAATATACGAACGATATTAAAGTAAACACATATATATATATATATATATATATATATATATATTTTCTTACTAAGCTGCATATCTTTAGGAATTTGTCTAAATATTACATGAACGCTTGGATACAAGCGAAGCGATTCTTTTAAACATCTTTCCAAATATGTAAGCTTGTGAATAGACGACATTGTGAATTTATCATCCTCTTCCATAAACGTGTTAATTTCATGTCTTATTTTTTCCTACAAATACATAAATCGTTAATTATGTGATGCCGTGATCGACAAATTAATGCAGCAATTCCATAATAAATTATAAGATAATGTATAAAAGAATAATTAATTGTAAATGTTTAAGCTGATAACATGTTACCTGGACATCTTTGTGTTTAGCAAAAAGACACAAAGCAAAGCACAATGCGCTTGCTGTAGTATCGTGACCCTAGAAAAAATGTTATTTAATAAATTATTTGTTTGTTTGTTTGTTTTTTTTTTATTCGAAATAAATACATTTATAATAACTTACTTCAAAAATGAAAGTATCAACTTCTTCTCGAATTCCTTCATCATCTATACGATTATTTTTCCAAGATTCTGCTATAAGAAGATCAAGCATAGAAAGTTTATTCTGAGATTGCATTTCTGTAATAGAAATAAATTTGATTGTGATTAAATTATATTATTATTGAAACAAGTTGAAAATTATTATCATTTTGTTCGAACTTTTATTAAAAACGTCGTTCTCATCAACATTATCAAAAATTTGTAGATATTTCCCGTTGGTTTCTTCGTGGAATCGTTTTCTTTCTTCAATTATCTTAAATAAAAATAAAAAAATTTTTTTCAATTTCATGATTTGGGTAACATAAAGTTTAATAAATAATGGATGGAACATACTTTTCTTGAAAAACTGTGCAATGTTTTTAATACTTCTTTTTGTTGTCTACCAGCTGATGATAATGCAAATATAATATCAGCTAGGAACCAAGGTCTTGGAATTCTGATAAACAATAAATCGTATTTTTCATTAGATTGATATTATTTCTTAATAAAAAATTAATTAATTACCTATAGGCCAAAGTTTTGCCATAAATATGAACGGCATTACGATATTTAGTTTCCAGTTCTCCATTTTCCTTCAATTGAATACCTAAAGCTGCTCCTATACAAGAAATTTATGTAACTAATATGTTAGTGTTTTTCTTTTTCTTTTTTTTTTTTTACAATAAACATAAGTACAAAAATTATATATTTTGTTCACTAACGGCATATGGCGTTGAGGGTATATTGACTGATTAATGTTTGTAAATCTTTTACAACATAATTTCCATTCCCTTCCTTTTTAAGATATTTGACCAGATTTTGTGATTCCTCATTTAAAATGTTAAAATAATAATTAAGAATATTGAAGTGAAATGCTGGTGTTAACATTTTCCGACGTAGGTGCCATTTTTGACCTGTCAAATGGAAGTTTCGATTTAAATATTAATAAAATGTATTATTGTTATTAATTTAAATTATTTACCGCCACTAATTAATAATCCAGTAGAAAACCAAGGCATGAGATATTTGTAAATAATTCCTTTTTCAATATATTCATTGCTCTTCAATAATACCTTTTATAAAAATTAATATTTTATCATTTGAATTTGTATTATTATTATATATATATATATATATATATATTAAAGTATTATATATTATTACTGTATTTATATTAACACATTAATAATTAATTACTATTAACCCTCTATGGGCCCGTATAACTTTCAAGTAACATATTCATTTTTCAGCATTTTACTAAACAATTTTAGTTGTTTTAATGAAATGTCATATATATCTTAATTTTTAAATCTTTCCCAGACAACTAATACCATATACATAACGGTTACTAGCATAATTAACATAAAATAACAAAATAAATTTTGTACCAACTGTCTGTAGAAGAAGCAAGCGAAACCTTTTTTTTTCATTGATATTATTTTTGTTTCTATCGGTATTTATCGAATAAAAAATTATGTATATAGTAGTTCTGAGTTGGAAAATCCATAAAAACGAATTTTTTTGCATTTTAAATATCATTTAAAAAATTTTTTTTTATGATAAAGTTCTGTTACTTTGAAGTAACATTGACCTATAAAGAAATCTTCTGTATATTTAGGATCACACTTTTGTGTTCCATCGAATGTTGGAAATAGTTGAAGAATTCGTAGCAGTAAACAATTCTTGACCATTTTTATTAGTTTTATTTGAGGAAAAGATTCGAACATTCTAAAAGGATAAATTTTTACGAAAAAATAGATAATTTAGATCGATGGTCAATGCTTAGCTGTAATATAAGTAAAACTGTTCATTGCATTCTGTAAGACCCAGGAATCAATTAAACTTATTAACATTTAAAATTAAAATTGCATTCTGTCTACGTCAGGAGTACAAAGGAATCCGTAAAAAAAGGGGACGTCTATAAAGAATATAAAAAGAAGACCAAATACAATACTTCTATCGAAAAACGTGTTAAAAGATAAAGTATATTTATATATATTTATTTGTAACGTCAAGTGATAACTGTTTCGTAGAATTTCACGCTTAAGTTTTCATACACAGAAGTTCGAATATTATAGGCCGTTGTTACCTGAAAGTCACACATTGAATATACTGCAATAAAATTGTTTAAACAAAAAATTTTTGGTTTATTTGCATATATATGTTTATAATTGCTGATTTTTCGTTTCTCTAATTTTTTTGGATTGAAAAAAAAAATTTGGCCCATAGAGGGTTAAATTAACATACTAATATATATATATACGCGTATTAGTATGATATTATTATAAAGTATCTTAAAGTAATTTGAAAAATTTTCATCGATTATGCACTTTTTTTTTTTTATACAAGAGAAATAAGATATTTTAACTTTTTCTATATTTCAAATAGTTAAAATAAAATAATTTACTCTTTGTATTTATTTCATAATAATTTACCTCAATATCTTTTGGATCGAGTAATGCTACTCCTGCGAAATGGAAGGTCCATACTTTGAAAATTGGATAACATTTATTACTCATTTTCCATACTTCCTGAAGTAAATGCTCTATATCATTGGTAATAAGTTATTATTAATTGAGAATTTTATTACTGAGATGGATCACAGTTTATTGAATAATTCTTCAAGAAATATATTTTAATATTCTTTACCATTGTCGACTTGAAAATGATGCAAATTTCCAATTATCGGATATTCCTTTGGTCCTGGAATAAGACTCATAAGTCTTCCCGCTCTTCCATATTTTAAATAACAGTGGAATATGAATAGTAGTAAAATTAAGCCCAACAAAATTTCAAGCAACATTGTATCTGGGAAAGTTTAATAAAATTTTATCTACATTAAAAGGTAAATACTTGACAATAAATAAATAGGATTAATTTGTATAATGAGAAAAGATAACGAAATTGGGTTACGCGTGTATCCAAAGGTTACTCTTTTTACCAATTAGATATCGATAAAATTAATAATGCGCATCAAATGAATATTTTATCTACGTTGTTTATATAATTTGTAAATATACAATTTTTTGTATTTATTGGAAAATTAATGATAATGAAGAATGAAAAATACAGTGGATGTAAAAAGTGTTCGTACACCGATCAATTTGAAATAAAATGTTGTGAAATTGTAGTTTATTAACTAATTTTTTATAAACAATGAATTTAGAGATATTCTTAAACGTTTCTACAATAGATGAGATGGAAGAAATAATTATTTTGTTGAATAAATGATAAAATTGACAAGAAAAATGAAAAAATCGGCAGAAACATACGAACAATAAATATTCTTACATTTCTTATTTTTCGAACTATTTACAGGAGAGTTTGTATATAAAACATCATATAAGTATAATATCACGTGATTGCTTTTTAGTTATAATTGACCCTGTCAGTATGTTTTTAAGCGTTATCGACTACACTTACCGATTTTGTAAGAATGAGAATTATGTAAAACTGAACACAGAAACGAAAATCAATGATACTTAACGTTTAACACTTTAATTTCACACTTTAAATCACACAACGTGTGTCTGATAGCCGGAAAACATTCGCCGTTATTTTGTTTATAACTTTATATATATTTAAAATTATATATAAAATTAAATGTGTTGTTTTTTGTTTTATGTTAATATTTTCGTTAATGACAAAAAAGTTGTTTTTAAATGAATTCTTGAAAATTTCGACCCTTTACAATGTAGTTTTCATTGTTCAAATCAAAGTGACATTTTTTAACTGATGACAACACATATGTTACAATCAATTTATTCAATATGGATTATATAAATTATTCGTGACATTTATAGAATATCCAATTAAGAGATTTGTCAATGTATATAACACTCGAAATAACACATTGATCGTAATATATATAAGTTATGTCAACTTACACAAACAAGAGTGCCCCTACTCCTGCAAGAGATTGTAATGTGATCTTCCTTAGTTTCCATTATCTTGCAATCTTAAAAAATTGGATAAGACAGTTATCCCATTCGTACGATAATTTTACGCCACGATACGTTCCGTGTACGATCCGGTCTTCTATCTCCCAGCGGACCGCCGTTTTTATCGTTTTCATGATAGGGTTTTGAAGTAGATGACTAGAAAAAGAAAAGGTCATCAAATGTTAAGATCTTCCCGTGGAGTTATCGAACCGCCGAGTAGACTAAACGAATAGTGAACGTTTCCTACCTAAAAAAAAAACAGAGGTCATCAACTTTGAAAATTTCGTCCGAGAATTTGTCGGATTTCAAATTTTCCCGGGGCGTACGATAATTTTCTGCCGCGTACGATAATTTTACGCCCCTATGTCAATCAGACGAACTAAAGTCTCTGGGATCACTGGCTATCTTTTGAATTTTGCAATCATGTCATTTTGACAATAATTTAATCTGATTAATCGTATCTCAAAATGATTTAATATTTTTCATAATGCATAATTGTTGATAAACGCTATATATTATATATTTATATATAATATTACAAGATGATACGTATAAAGATAAATGAGGATAAGAATACAAAAAACAAAAGCAAAAAAATCATAATTCAAGCTATCTTCTTTTTCTTCTTCTTCTTCTTCTTTCTCAATAAATATATAAGTTATAAAGTTTAACCGCTATAATCGTTGTATTGCTCTCGAAGGCAACTATATTAAATAAAAAAAAAATGGATTTTTATCAAAAAAATTGTGTTTTACTATATTAGCCTACAGCTTTTTCAACCCAATTGTTATGTTTAATTTGATGATGATGATTTAACCGTCATTGTTATCGATCGCAATGGTTTTACCTTTGTGCATACCTTTTGAAGCTTTCTATAAGAAATAATATTATTAAAAGTTATATTATCTAATTGCATTAATGTGATAAATTTTGTACTTATTCCTTTCTACATGCGATTACAGATGTTTCGTAAGCGTGCACTTCCCGGTTGGTAGGTCGCTCAGAGTAAGTAGCATGTCGAAAAACCGGCCAGTAGCGAAAAGGTTTGTTCTAAGAATCTCCAGCATCTATTTATAATAAAATATAAATTAATAAAATCAGTGTTTCAAAATGTATAAAAAAAAAAGAACTTCGGTTCGATTAAATAGTAATTCGTGCGATCGCTCTGCCGTTTGAGCTACCTAGGAACTTGGTTTTCAATTTTCTAGGATTTAAATACTTCCTACTACACATAAGAAAATAATAGATATTTTAAATATGTCTATGGGAAAGTAAATGAACGGAATAATGATTGATGCACTATTATAAAGAGACAATAGCGCATAATCATTAACAATGGAGAGTCTTGATAATTCACATCAATAGAAGGAATTTTTCACAAAGGTTGTATTTGTTAGTATTTCACAGAAGACTGATATTAGATCTGATTATATATAAATTAAATAATCATTATCAAATAATAATCATGCTTCTGTGAAATAACAAAGATATTATCTAGTTTTTATACTATTTTTAATCTAAATATTTTCTTATCTTGTTCGGAAGGATGTGTGGGGCAGTAGGAAAAAAGTGGGGGTGGGGACATGATTGATTGTCTTGATCAGTGGTGAAACTGATAAGCCAGTAAACACCATCGTTCCTTGGCCGGGATTTGAACCCGGATCCTTTCGCTTTCCGATCGAACGCTCTACCACTTGAGCTACGAAGTCCTACGAATAGATACAACTTAACGTACGTATACTAATAGATAACACAAAAGATCTGGGGTTACAAGTAAGCGCCGAAAAAACCAAATAAATGGTCACCGATAGAGTTCAGAATAGGCCTAGTACTGGAACAACCTTTGTCGTCTGGGATAAAATTTTCGAACGGGTCAGCAACTTTAGGTATTTAGGATCGATCATAAACTTCAAATTGAAATAAACAATACTCAATTTATTTGACATATCTTTAAAACACTTCAGAAACATAATTTATGCGATTCAAAATATTTTTTAACTACATAATGTACAAAATTACAAACATAACGTACAAAACAATTTACTACTCATCTACATTTTGTGTGTGTGAAAGGGATTTGAAGAAATTATTATATTATCGTCTCATCTGAGAGATGTCATTCATTCCATGTGCAATTGTAATAATTTGACGTCTCTGAGACGTGAAGAACTGTCTCTTCGGAGAACAACGTTCAGTTAACCATTAAATTAGCTGTTTCGGTTATGCATCAATGCTGTTTTGTTTAGAATGTTGAAGATACATTCCTCTTTTCAAATATCGCACAAAGCAATGTAAATTTCAAAATAAAAAGCCCTGTTTCTGGGTTTGTATATGAGTGTTCCCAATTAAGTCAAATTAAATGGTATCTTATGGGCGCATCGAAAAGCATTTTATTTGTATGTCAAGTGGATATTGTAATAATCTTCGGAAACGAACAGTAAATTATTTTTGTTTAATGACATTTCTACCACATGCAACCGAAAAATAATAATTGACGAATGGAGATAAGAAACTTTCAAAATAAACTTATCATCATTCATATTGTTCATATTTGAACAAATTTTCTTGTTACTATATCTTCATGATTTTAAATACGTATATATTAGTAACAAATTGCTTCAGAATGAAAAGATCATGTAAAAATGTAATTATTACGGTAGCTAACTCGTTTTTTTTTGAAAAGGGAGGCAGGCCACTTTTAAAATAGGCGGCCCATACAAAACGGCAGGATATCGTTTTCTACAGAGAAGACTGAACCTTGCATTATCGTTATTTCCTAGTTTATCCCCACTTGCTCGTTATTATGCTGTTGATAATATTAGAAGTGAGCAATGTACGTTGCGATTCGGTGAAACGCAAGGAACTAGTCAGTGTATCGCCCAAATACAAGTCATTAGTATACATTTATCTATATTTCTTGTTTTTCTTCCTAAGTATAGCTATCGTTTATTTCTATATAAAAATAAAGATACATATACATGAACAAAAGTATGGATTGTAAACAAGGACCTGTGTTGTCTTTTGAACAAGGACAAATTAAAGGTGTCATAGAAACAAATATTGATAATAAAGAAGAATATTTTGCTTTTCGTGGAATACCTTATGCGAAACCGCCTATCGGTAAACTAAGATTTCAAGTAAGTGTTTAACAAATATCTGAGAAATTCAATTTAATAAATTCGTCAATTGACTATTCTTGGACGCTCTTATTGTAAGAAAAAATAATTTATTATATTCGAAAATTGAACAGTAATATTTTGAAGAGATAATAATCCACAATATTTATATAGATGAAAAAGTTTATATTTATAAATTTTTGTTTTCTGTAGATTTTATTTCTTCCATATTAATCTAAGGTCAATCTGGTTAAACATTAGATTCACGTTAAAGTGCACATTGAAATCAAATTTCAAATTCTTATAAATTTTCAGGTAACGCGTAATTCTTTTTTCTACGTTTCTTTGTTTATTCGTTTATATTTAGTGAATTAATATTGCGTTGCAAAGCAATGAATTTCAAAATAGAAATTATTTTTCATACTGTAAAATTATGCTACGTTTACCTTCAAGTTGTCGGATAAAGTAAATTATGAATCATTTAGTTTATGTTTTCGATAACTGTTCATTTTTGCATAACATGAATTTAAACATTTAGAAACACGTTACGCAACATGTGTACGTATTTTCATATAGTTAACATTTGAAAAATATATAATTCATAGATGACTTCTCTATGAATTCATTGAAGTAAATGATAGATGGATGCATCCGGTAATCGCTTAGCTAACAATTTTTCGTTTATAATTTCACGTATATTATAAAACAAGCAAGCATTTTTTGTATTTTTTGCATTTTCACATGCTGCTTTGCTACAATTACAAAGATCATTATGATGATAAAAAATAAAAGGAAATATAATAGTGCAGTTAGATTAACTAATCTTTCTTTTGAAAATATTACTTTCATAATTTGTCCGTATTTTTACATTCAAATTTCTAGAAAACAAATAAAAGTAAATATTAAATCCTTATTTAATTATATTAAAATTGAAAATCATAAGGATCTCTCAAAAGATGCTTTGATTTTTGAATTTCAAATTTAATATTTAAACTATTAGGGTGTATATTGGGTTTCGTACTAAATTTTGAACTGACCATGTAGGATCCATTACCACCTGAGAAATGGATTGGAATAAGAGATGGATCCAAGTTTGGTAACGTGTGTGCTCAAATAGACAGAGTATCAAATGAAGTAATAGGAAGCGATGATTGTCTGTATTTAAACGTTTATACACCGTTGATTGAGTTGTCTGCGAAACTGACAGTAATGGTATGGATCCATGGTGGTTGTTTTTATATGGGATCAGGAAACGATGATATGTACAAGCCAGATTATATCGTTCGAAAGGACGTAATCCTTGTCACGATCAATTTTCGACTTGGTAGTTTAGGTTAGTACAAATATTCTTACAATTGTAATAATTATTGTATAATAATATTTATGATTTCAAATTGTTTTCAAAGTTGTTTGATTATTTATAATTTTGAATTTCAATCAAATACAAGAAGATCCAATTTTTTAAAGTAAAATTAAATAAACAAGAAAAATAAACCACACAAGAAACCGTGCTAATCTTATACATATAAAATATATATATAAATTAATTCTGACCACTGCGACACCCATGTCGTATGTAAGGAATACGTCCGAAAAGGGTTAAACCATTTAGATAAGAAAATACAAAATTTCATAAAAATGTCTTTATAGGATTTCTCAATCTAGAAGATGAAGTTGCATCAGGTAATCAAGGTTTAAAGGACATCGTAATGGCATTACGTTGGGTTAGAAAAAATATTGCAGTATTTGGTGGAGATCCTGAGAACGTGACTATATTTGGTGGAAGCTCTGGGGCAGCAATGGTTCATTACTTAACAATGTCACCATTAGCAGATGGTAGGATTTTTCATACGTGTAATTAACAGCTATCCTAATTTATATAGATATTTTGATTCTGTGGGACGTTTATATTCTTTAATATTTTTAATTATTAGATCTACCGGAAAATTCTGTCCATTTTTAAAATACAATAAAATAATATATTATTCATAATGCAAACAATTAATTAAATTAATTACTTTTGAACTCTTGCCAACATGGTGGCAATTTGTATATTCCATTTTAAGAAATGCGGCCTTAACCCTAATGACGAAAAAGTTAACTAATGTTTGTTTAAAAGGACAGAATTTTCCGGTAGACCTAATAATATTTAAAATAACCACCTTACACACTTTAGATTCATTTCAATTGAATGATTTTTAAATAAATGCACGGAAAAAAGTACAAACGAAATTCTTAATAAATGTGTTTAAAATTTGTCTCCTTTTGATTTTTTTTTGTGATATTCATACAGACGTTTAAGGATTTCTTTAAATAACGTATCCTTGAAATCCCATTGTATACTTTCCTCTATTTGTTTTTTTTTCCTTGCAGGATTATTTCACAAGGCTATAGCGCAAAGCGGCTTAGCTACCAACTTTTGGGCTTCAATGCTCGTTGAAGCCAGGAAATACGTTTATCAATTATCCAGTATGTTAGGTTTTAAATCTTTCGATTCCAAAGCTATCGTTGATTTTCTTCAAGAAGTTAACTTAGAAAAACTCATTAAATATCAATACAAAATCATATCTTCCATGGTAGCTTATTTTTTATTATTTCAAAGTTGTTCTTTTTGATAATTCGATGTGATAATGATAAGTTTGTTGTATTCTTTCTTTTGCAGAAAGATAAATCAGTTTTTTCGGCCTTCCTACCAGGAGTAGACAACAAATCAAAAAATCCATTTTTACTACTACCACCGACAATAGCTGTGAAATTTGGCATTAAAGTCCCATTTATGTTTGGTTATAACGACATGGAATCATCTTTTTTTTTCGGCAATAGCAACTTGGCTAGTAAGTTCATGTAATAATCATTATTATTATATTATTATTATTATGCTCGAATAAAATGAATCTAATTCTTTAACAAGCATGCTTTATTCAGGTAGGTTCATCAAAAGAATAGATAATTCAATCTGTGATTTCGAAAATTTTCTATCACCTGATTTGTTGAATAAACTGAAAGAAAGGACTCTAACAGTTAATGAATTTAAAAGCTTGTATTTCTCTAAGAAATCATTAAACGGTGAGCCAACTGAAAATATAATTCAGTTTTTAAACGATTTTTATTTCTTACATCATATTTTCGAATTGGCAAAAATCTTGCCGATTGTTAACAAATGTTCCTCATACTTATATAAATTGTCTTACAACTCCGAGGAACCGTCTTTCATGAAAACTATTATGAATATTGATATAAAAGGTAAACAAAATAAACAAACATTTATTATTTAATATACATACGTAATTTATTAATTATAAATTATACAAAATTAATTTAAAATTATATTAAATTTTATAATTTATATATAAATCATATTTAATGTTGAAATATTTTACGGTATAATTACTTATTATATCTATTTTTGTAATAACATTAGGAGTTACTCATGGGGACGAATTGAATTATTTGTTCTATGGAACTCATCTTAACGCATTAAATTTGAAACCATATCGTCCTGGTACATCTAGCTACAAAGTAATGGATTGTGTTACACAATTATGGACTGATTTTGCTAAAACTGGGTACGTATTATCTAATATAGCTATTCACATAACAAACACGCACACACATAGACAAAATATTCTTAACTTTGACGATTATATAATGATTATTACAACCTTACTTCTCTTATAGAAATCCAACACCAAAAACTACAGAGCTTATTCCGATTTTATGGAAACCTTTGGAAAAAAATTCGAACATGTACGATTACCTTAATATAAATGAACAATTACAAATGGAAAGTATTCCAAAAGGTGTACAACGATTCGAGTGGAACTCAAGGATAAACAATAAATTATAATTAAAAAAAAATAAATATTGTGGTAATTAGTAAACATGCAATTTAAATAAAATAATATTCTATAATTTTATTTTACATTTAATTCGTACAATTTTTCCTCTTAACAATATAGCAAGGATAATGTGCTAAAACTCCTTTGTATATAACAAGTTTGCTCTCAAGACTAAGCTAAAGAAATTTCTTGTTTACTCCTATATTATTGAAATATAACCTTTCTTTAATTTTAAAAATCACTACCACATATGTACAATTCGCGGAAAAAAGACTGGACCGCTGGGGCGTCCGATATTTTGAGATAATTGAAAAAAAAGGATCTTCGGTTCGTTTAAATTGTACTTCGGGCGAGCGCTCTACCGTTTGAGCTACCTAGAAAACTAGGTATTAATATTTTCTATGCTATACAACCGGTCACGGTAAGGAATACTTATATCTATGTGACTAGAACTAAATGGAAGGAATTTAAAATGGAACTATTAAAAAACCAATAGAACCTAATTAACAATCAGTCTTTATAATTCACATCAATAGGGATGGAATTGTGTCTAACAAAGGTTGTGGATACATGTGTTGTTATTTACCAGAAGACTAAGAATAGGAATTTTCAACCAGTATACACAACACATAAAACCACCAGTGATCCATAAATAATATTTTAGTCGATCTGCAAAATAACAACACACTCGTTCATCCTTGGGCTATTTCCAACCTATGAAATATCTCTTACCGTGGTCGGAGGGGTAAAGTTTTCTAATAATAAGCAGGAAAATGAAGGTACCCGAATAAGGTTGTTGAACCAATGTTCCTAGGCCGGGATTTGAACCCGGATCCTCTCGCTTTCCGATCGAACGCTCTACCACTTGAGCTACGAAGTCCTATGAATAAACTTAGCTTAACGTATGTATATATGTTATGTTTAATTTATCATTACGGGCCTTATGTATATTTCCTAAACTACGAGTAGTTATTATAAAAAATGAAACAAATTATATATTGAATAATTAAAGATTTTATCTCTTATTCTTTAACTATAAGGATAAACGTGTTGCTCGATTTCTAGTAAAAGTTTATCTTGTCATTCTCTTAACTAACCTCTTAGATACTACATGCCACTATAGTGGCTTTCGCGGATGACATCTTTTAAAATATATCATACCTAATTGTATTATTAATTATTAAAGTAGTAATACTCATAGCGGGTTAAAACAGGGGAACATATTGTCAACTCTTTTATTCAATTTAGTACTGGTCAAACTAGTACAGTCAAAGAACGTGCAGAACATTGTTTAGAATGTCCAACAAACCTATTAAATGTATAAAGTGTTTTTTTCAAATTATAATATTTTCTTCAAAAATTTGTTTTTAGAGCTAGATTGGTTGGATTTAAGGTAATGGTCTTTTATAATATAAGTTTCGTTCAATCGAATATTTTATCGCAAAATGGACTCTTCCTTTCTTTTACTTATTTATTTTTTTATAGAACTACCCTTAAAAAAATAAGTTTTCTTTTCAAATTACTTTTTTCTCCCTTAATTAAATAATTAAAATATTAACTTTCTTCATTAATTCGAAAAAATTCCTACCACTAATTTTTAATAAAATATATATTTTAAAAAAAGGGTTTTTTGGAATAATTAAAAAAAAAAAAGGATCTTCGATTTCGATTAAACAGTATTTCGGGCGATTGCTCTACCTTTTGAGCTACCTAGAAAATGGATTTGAAACTTACATCAACATACAATCTAATAATACAACCATTCATGGCGGGGGAAAAAGCATAAATATCTAAGACTTATGAACTAATAAATAACTGATATGTTTTTTGACTGAATACCAAAACTGTGTAAGAAAATTCACATCAATAGATTGAAAAGAACTTTCATTTATGCTTGTGATATTCTGGTGTTTCCCAGATGAATAGTAAATAAAAAACTTTTCTACTAGCATTGCATAAAAGCATACTGAAAAGTTTCTTACGTATAGAATCCGGTCTTTCTGCAAAGCAACAGTTTTTATAATAATTCATATTTGTCTCTAATTGCTAGCCTAAATATATCTAATTATATAACCTAAATATATCGTTGCCTGGAGGGGTTTTTACAATTTTCTGAAGAAAATTTGTATAAAATAAGGAAAATAATTATTAGTTGCACTTAAGATAATGGCTATTTTTTGGCCATATCCCTCTTTTTTTTGATAAATCCATTGCTGTATTTCTAGGCTGGGATTTGAACCCAGATCCTCTCGTTTTCCGATCGAACGCTCTACCACTTGAGCTACGAAGTCCTACGTAAATGTATCTCTTAATATGTGTATATATGTTAAGATCAAACGAGATTTGTATATATTTCCAATGTAATGTATGCAATACAAAATTGTGCAAAATATTTGATAGATTTTACGCAAATATTTACAATACCTAGAGGGTTTTTGTAAATCTAAAATAGAAAAAATATCATGTGTGCAGATCACACGTGTTAGAAGTGAAACCTTCTTAAAACCTTCGCTTCGAGAGAATGAGTTGAATGCAGAGTAACTGCATTATATACTAATTACTACATTACTAACTAATTTTACACAAACAATATATTGTAATATATGTACAATAAATCTTATAAATTTAGTAGTTAGAAAATAAAATATATTATTATTTAGAAAAATTTTTATTAAATAATTAAAGAAAATAATCTTGATATAACTTTGTAAGAAAGAATATTGGTAAAGAATATTTTTAGCTCTTGTAAGAAAAAAAAAATAAATAATATTAATAATCTCTTATAAATTCTAAACAACTGAATTAAAAAAATTCTAATATTTTCCTTATTTTTCTTTTTTCCAAAAGAAAAAAAGAAAAAACATTTTTACGATTTAAAATAGTTTAAAAGGAAAAAAACAGAGCATACAGCATGCCTTGCGTTTGTCATTCAATATTTTCAATAACAATCCTAATCTATTGTCATGTATTAATTGTTAATTTTAATAATATTTTAGAGATGTAAATAGATTTTTATCTGATAATTAAATCGTCGTTATCAGAGTATTTACACATTTAAGAACATATTTACATCTTCACAAAGAAAAATCTGTTAAACATATATAAAGGTTGTTAGCGAAATCTTCTTATTTATATCTATGCCCTTGTTTCTTCTTCCTATTAAGAAAAAGAAAACAAGACGAGATTTCTAGTTTCTTGTTAATTTGTTACCTACAGCAGGGGTGATTATTTAAAGTGTAAATCTTACGTATCGTCACTTGGAAACCGAAAGAGAAATTATTCTAAAGTTTTTACAATAATTAGAAGACTTGTGAATTTAGTTTGAAACAACTTCATTTGTTCTAAAATAATTCGAAACGAAGAATATCATATAAGTGAAATCATTATTATTTCAGAAGTGTTGTAACTTTAAATCTACGATAATGGATAAGAAAGATAGCTCTTCGAAAAGATTAAAAAAAAAAGTAGGATCGACGTCTCGTGAAAAACCTATACAAACGAATTATATTTCATTAGAAGAAGCAGCAAAGAATATTCCACGATTTGATGGTTACAATATTAAAGTTACAATATTTATTTGTGAATGCAAAAGAGCTTTGAGTCACATAAACCCACGTGATAAAGAACGTTTCAGAGATCTTATTATTTCCAAAGTCATTGGAGTAGAACCACATTTATATTCTTATAAAAAGAACATTCATGATTTCTTAGAAAAATTATATGACCGTTATACAGCCGAAGAGAGAGACTTCATAATGATTAAAGATCCACATGCATACAAACAATTTATAACTTCTATTGATATAGATCGCAAAAAACAATTAGACTATTTAGAAGCCGAAAGGAGCTGTACGGAACAGGAACAAATGACAGATATACGTAAACTTTTGTTAACTTCTTGCGAATATTGTCAATACGAAGGTCATACGGAGGAAGATCATTATGGCAGTTTCCTATTAACAACTAATAAGTTTAAAATGCTCGAAAGTAACAGATTATCTCGACATTTATTTTTAAATAAATTGTACTTGAGACAACTTGGCGTAGTACAACCAAAATATCAAGTAATTCTTACAGAATAATTTTTCCAATATTCCATTGAGTCTTACCATCTAAAATTAACTTTAATTTCTTTTATTTCGTTAACTTTTATACATATCCTTGTAAGATATTATTTCTGAACTGTTTTTTCTTGAATTATTAGTAACTGGTAAACATCTACGATCACTATAATTTCCACATGCATATTTAATTCATAATTAATTTCATATGCTTTCGAGTACAAGTGTAATTCAGAACTTACGTTCTATTTGAGTTTTCGAGAAAAAACAATAATTTTCTTGAAAAATGTATCATTTTAATATTTGACTATTCACGAAAATGTATCGAGCAGAAACWCTRTCTAARAGTATRAAMTTTTGKAGAAAAGATTCTATAAAATATAATGTAATCAMATAATATAGTTTAAGAAATGACCAAGGAAMTAGAGRAAAATAWAAGAGTTTCACCAATTKATTTTGAKTATTATATAAATATTTCTCSATAYATCGATCTTAAYRRATTTYAAWGKGCCGARRWTTTTTAARAMCGWGGTAACACGAAATTTAMATTCAATRTTTAATCGATTGGACTTTTGGATATTTTCAAATAATGTCGTTAATAAGGAATACAGTTTATCTTTCTTCTCTTTCGAATATGCTCTTTCCTCGTAAACATTTGTTCTATTAATCAACCTACAAAATTGTTACCCGTGTATTTACATATAGAAAAACGTATTTACATCTTTGTAAAGGCAAATCCGTTAAAGAGATATTATGGTTGTTGGCGAAATCTTATTATTTATATCTGTGTGTTACTTAAAAATGAGGTGATTATTTTAAGTGTAAATCTCACGTATCGTCACTTGGAAACCGAAACAAAAATTATTCAAAAGTTTTGACAATAATTAGAAGACTTTATTGCTTGTGAATTAAATCTGAAACTACTTCATTTATTTTTTTTAAATTCGAAACGAAGAATATCATATAAGTGAAATCTGTATTATCTGAGAAGTTTTTTAACTTTAATTTTACACGATGTTTACCATAGATAGCCCTTCGAAGAAACTAAAAACAGAATTGGGATCGACGTCTTGTGCAAAACCTATACAAATAAAGTACATTTCATTAGAAGAAGCAGCAAAGTATATTCCACGATTTGATGGTTTTAATATAAAAGGTTCAATATTTATTAATGAGTGCGTAAGAGCTTTGCATTTCATAAACCAACGTGATATGGAACATTTAAAACATGTTATTAGTTCCAGACTTGTTGGAGAACCAGCACTTTTATGTTTTGATATAAACTGCATTCAAGATATATTACGCAAAATATATCTATTTTATGTAAATGAACAGATAGTGAAAAAGGTGTTTAATGTTGATAGAAATCTAAATAACGAATTAGATAATTTAGATTCCCAAATGTGCTATACGAAAATTACAAACAGTGAAAGTATACCTAAACTTTCTTTTTATTTTTGCAACTATTGTAGACAAAACGGTCATACAGAGGAAAATCATTGTTGTAGTTTATTAGAAACAAATAAGATGTTTAAAATACTCGAACGTAACAGATTATCTAGACATTTATTTTTAAATAAATTGTACTTGAGAGAACTTGGTGTGACTGTAATACCTTGTCTAAAACATGTTTAATCATATTATTTATTTGAGTTTTCAAGCAACAACAATAATTTGTTTGAAAGATGTATAATTTTAATATTTGACTATTCTCGATAATTTATCGAGCAAGAACACTATCTTATACTAGTATTATATTCTCTACAAAATTAATATAACATACATAATATAACTACAAAAAATATTTCTTTCGAAAGTTGATTAATTAAAACGAGAAAATTCATTGAAAATTTTATTTTATTAAAACAAAGAAATTGATTTTATTAGGTACATATAATAACTTGTAAAAAAGAATTTTTTTTTTTATATAAATACATATGTTATCTAAGTACATACTTCTTGCGAGAATCTATGAATGATTTCGCTTATATAAAACACATACATTAAAAAGCTACATTCATTCATCAAGTTACAATCAGAGTCATACGCATAATGAAATTCTTTACAATTGTACATACCCATTAAAACTTTCTATAATTAACGTTTAATATACGTAGAAATCATTTTTACATTCGCTTTTGTATGAATATATACACATAATATATAAATAAATAACATTTTTTTAACTTATTTTACAGGAAAACAGTCATATCATCATCTCATTCGTATATATATATATATTATAATAATATATAATATTATATATATAAAATAGATATCTTGTATTAATAATATCTTTGGTTACTGACAGTTGTCATTTTTTCTTTTTTTGTTAGAAAAGATTTGAATAAATTTATAGACGCATATTAATCTATAGTAACAGTCCATGGATGGTCAGGTATATATCCGTACTGTATATCTGTTAGATGTTTTAAAAGTTTTTTATATATAGGATCAGATTGTTCCATTGTTGGTATGCGAATATCACGATTCATAAAGCCTATATTAGAAATAGGACTAATGATGCAAGCAGTTCCAGAACCAAACATTTCCAAAAGCTACAATAATAAATAATCATTTAAGTTGGTATAAAATGATTTTACATTTGATCATTTCAATGAATTATTTTCAAACTTACTCTATTTTCTGTAAACAATCGACAGACTTCTTCCATACAGATTTTTCTTTCACTAACTTTGTATTGACCCCATTCACGTGACAAAGCCAAGATTGAGTTTCTTATTACTCCAGGTAAAATCAAACCATTTAACGGTGGCGTCACCAATTCCCTCTCTATTCATACAAAATGTTTTTATGACTGTAATATATTATAATAAATTTTTAACACTTTAATGGCCGCTCACACAACATGTGTGTGATAGTCGGAACAATCGTTGTTGGCCGTTATTTATTTATAACTTTTTATATAATTTAAAAAAACTTTATTAAATTCACGAAAAAATTAACATGAAAAGTAAACAACAACAAATTTAATTTTATATAATTTTAAATTAATTTGTTCAAAAATATTATCAGCTCCTGGCAACGTTTGACTGCGTAGACGTGTGGCCATTAAAGTGTTAACAGGTATAGAAAATAGAATAAAAATATTTTCAAATGAAATTTCATTCGTACCACCATCGTCATTGAGGTAAACCATAAAAACGTTCATCGCTCCTACTTCAGTAACTTCATGATGTTCTCCATACAACCATAACACTTGATGATATCCTTTTTTCAAAGCTTTTTTTACCATTTCAATCGTGGGACCATAATTACTTCCCACTTTACTATCTCCACTACCACCTGGCCATGCACGGGTACATTGTGGATCTGCAAGTAGAGATACCCCAACTTCCGAAGTTTTAAAGTATGATCCAACAGGGCTTAATATTACATATAATAATGCTGAATCCGATGGCAACACTCCCAATGTAGGCTGTGTAAATAAATGTCATTTGTTAATTACAAAAAGAACAAATATATGTTTATTGTAATATGCATCGAATTAACACACTATTGGAGGGTAACATCATGAGTTTGACTCACACGTATAGCGGCCGAAAATTAGTGAAATATGAAAAAAGTGCACTTTTTACAAAACATGTCATATCTTCACATCTAATAATAGGATATATATATATATAAAATATGTAAAAATGATTGTTTTTTCAAAATTTCATTATTTTTGCCGGTATTTAGTATAAGAATCGGAAAAAATATGCCAGTCGCGAATGTGTTAATACCTGACCTGCAGATAGTGTGTTAAAACAAGCTTAGTCAAAAATGACCGATATTAATAATACAAGGAATAATCAATGATGATTCCATATAAACGAATTATAAAAATTAATGTGATCGTTAAAATTGCATGAAGAATTTATTTCCATACGTTATAATAAATTTAATGTCATCATACATTACTGTGCGAAAAATCTTTTTTTTTTTCTTTTTATCATTCCACGATTATGTCACGAGATTATCGAAAAGAATCAGAAATATAAACTTGATATTTCTGATGAAGAACTTTATTAAATAATCAAACTGTCATGTATGTTTTTTTTAACGACTTATAATGAATTTTAACTCGCGTAAATAATATAATGAAAGAAATGTGTTTTATTCTTAAGAAAAAATTAGCATTTATTTGTAATTATTTAAAAATGTACAAAAATGGCATTTAAAACTTTTCTCAATTATAACCAGTTCATTATTATTGGCGATAACTTTAAGATAAACTATGCTTTAAAGAAAAGAGTAATAGATAATATTCTTGTATATTTTTTTATTATTAATTGTGAAACAAGAACGGATAAATAATACTGGTTTATAAAAAGACTAAGGTTATACAACAATCAAAGGTTCTTTATAGATAATTTACGATCAATATGAAACATCATCAGTATACCCTAATAAGATTGAACTGACACTTGTTATAAGAGATATTAAATTGTCGTAAAAAATGAATTATCAAAATAACAAATTGTACAAAATATTTAATCTCTATTATCTTACTTTTAGCTCTGCCTCAACAAATAAACATAACAATTATTCTTTATCTTGTTTAATTTGGTATTATCATTTTGTATTGAGAAACGCACTGATTATTTCTACACAATAGTACGTATGACGTATGTGATATAAGTGACATTATGTACTACTACTACTACTACTACTACTATTATCATTCATATATTCATTGTAATTTACTAAACAAATGTTACTTAGTGCTTTATATGTAATATTGATGATGCATAATCTTTATTTTCATATTTATATATATTTGGTCGAATCATAAATAACTTCCGTTTTTATGAGACAAAGAATAGCGTTGTAGTCGTCCGTCAAAGTCGGAAAAACGTTCTGCACTGGGTTCGTCTTTTAAGCTCGTATTTCCAGAACGGAATTTTACAAACCAATTTCTGACTGCCCTATTAGTTATCAATCTTGTACCGTATACGCTGCATATTTTTTCAGCTGCCACTTTAGTGCCATTACATTGTTTAAATTCCTAAAGCATTACATGTCGAATATGCACTTTTTACTATCCATTTCAGAAGTTAAGAAAAATGGTTAAATGTAACATTAACTACATAAAAAAGTTGACAGAAGACTAAACTGAATCCTCATCTAAACGGAAGTTACTTATGACTCGACCTAATATAATTTTGTTTAAAAAACATTGAATAATACTTACATCGATTCCTATTAATGTCGGACGTATGTAAAGACTAGCAGCAGTTGAATGTGGAACCCATTCTTGGTCTATGCTTATTAATCTAGTAAAGCATTGAATTAATTCATTTCCATTGAACGTAGGTAAACCAGATCTTATTGCAGAATTGTTCATACGTTCCATATTCATTTCAGGCCTAAATAATCTTATTTTTCCATCTACTCCTCGATAAGCTTTCATACCTTCGAATAACTAAAGAACAAATAAATAAATAAATAAATATCAGAATATTTTTATCAATTTAATAATAAATTTAATCTTTTGTACATTATTTAACCCTTTGAGTGTTATGGAAGCATAAATGCATTTGGTAAAAATTATTAGCGTTGTCATTCGACGCATATAAATGTTTGTTTATAATAACAACACACATTCACGGCCGGCATATTTTTTCCTTCTGTAATACTGGGTATCGGCAAAAATAACGAATTATTTAAATTTATATTTAAATGTTCCTACAAAAGATTTTAAGTAAAAGTATTCAGCACTCAAAGGATTAAAATAATGAAATAATAATACCTCTATGGCGTAATGTAAAACTTTAGCTGCCGGATGAAGGACTAAATTTTCAAAAGGTGTAATTTCTGGTGCTTGCCAACCACCAAATGTTTCGTAATAATATATTTTAAGCATATGATCGGTGAAATGTTTGCCAAAAGAAAGTTGACAAACATTTGGTTTTCGTTGAAGTTGATGAGGTGCGGCAAGACGGACTGATAAATCAGCATACTATAAAATAATAAACAAATGAAAAGAAATTAATCATATTGTTTAATTCTAGCAACTATAACAAAGTTTGTGTTTTAATGAAAGATAATATACCTTAAACGATCGTTCAGGTTGTATGACTTTTTTATCTCGAATTTTTAACGACGAACTCCATCTTAAACTTTTCTGTAGTTGATTGAGAGAAGTTCCGGAGAATAAGATCTACATGTTTTTATTTAAAATTAAAATAAAAATATTAAATTTACAATTTTCGAATTAAAAATGATTGTGAAAATAATATAATCATAATTATAATATATTATATACATATAATATTAATAATATAATATTAATATATAATATTATATAATAATTATAAATTATAAATAATTAAATACTATAATTAAATAATATAATATTAATCATATATAATTAATTAATCATTTGCATTTCTAACGAAGAGATAACTAGTTTAAAAAAATATTATTTATTTAATAGAAAAATTATACACGATGATAGAAAAACAAATGGACGATTTGAAAAGCTTTGAATATCAGCGCGCACAATAGCACAGCCAATGAAATTGTTCGTAGTTAAAGATAATTCATTGACGATTGATAACGATTCATTTTATTAATGAGTTTTAATTGACTTTAGAATTTTTTTTAAGTTGGAATAGTTTAGTAGTAGTATTAAATAATTTCTACAACAACAAAATAAACTTGGATATTGAATTGCATATGAAATAATAAATAATGTATTAAACAAATATATTTTCGAATAAATTTTGATCGATTATGAAAAATATGTAAATTAACGTGAATAACTGCAATATGTTTTTGATATAAATATATATCAAAAAAATATATAGATAGTTACGTTATTGATAATTTGTTTACTCGATAGAAGATAGAAAGATGTGTCAAGCGTGATAATTTTCTTGAAAAATGTTGTGAAATTTCAAAACATTTCTACACTTTAACATTATTACACGTATTATATGAAATTCTCGTCGAAACTTGCTATACAAAGAAAAAGAAAACATTGAACCATTTAAATTTGACGTTACTAAATATGTGTTGTGAAATAACACGAGATAAGTTTAACGAATAGTGAAATTATCAAAGCTTATTGAATCATTTTCTTTTTATTAATCTTAAAATAAAATTTTCTGCATTAATTAACCATTACATTTTTTTTTTTTTTTTCAAGAATTTCTTCTCATGATCAACAATTGCAATTATATGAATTTAATTAACACATTCGCGGTCGGCATATTTTTTTCTTTTTTTAATACTGAGTACCGGCAAAAATAATGAATTATTTAAATCTATATTTAAATAATAAAATATAAATTTAATATATAAAATTTATATTTATATATTTATATAATACCAAATCTCGCCATTGTTTTATATAAAATATTTCTGTATTTATATAAATATTTAAATATTAAATATTATATATTTAAATTAATATTATATATTAAAAATTAAATATGTTTTATATATATTTATATTATAAAATGTATATTTATAAAACTTTTAAAATTTAAAATAACGTGAATCGGCAATTACGAATAGAACTTGAAAAGACGTAAATTCACGTCAGCGGTCGCGAATATGTTAATAAATCAAAATGAAATAACATTAAATACATGTGATGTTATTTCAAACGTACCTTTCGTCGCAGATAAACCATGATAATTGTTTATATATATGTAAAACAGTAAGATCAATTTATTCATACACGTTGATCTCTCGTGTTAATACAAATATAAAAATATTCGATGTCCACTTAATCATTCATAAGAAAGATTGATCTAATATTCGGAAAATATTCTTTTTCCGAAGTCAATGATACTTTTTATTCGTTTTTATTCAATATAATATTGAAAAGAAGGAAAAAGATTCAAAGAAAAAAGAAAATTAAAAGTTTAAATAACACTGACAAGAAACACACGCGACACGATTTAAGATAAATTAAACGAGACACTTTTTGTTTAATCAGGAAGTAAAAAAAAGGGGGAAACTTGTTTGAAAATTCACGTATGGATGATCACTCGTATCTGTTTCTTCGCTTCTTCTTCTTCTTCTTCTTCTTCTTCTTCTTCTTCTTTTCTTCTTCTTCTTCTCGAATAATATAATATTCGAATAGATTAAATCCGGTTAATATTTGATTTATCAGTCACTTGTAAAAACAGAAAAGAATGGAAGGAAATGTTAGAACTTGAGACATATGTATGTACCCCCTCTTTCTTCCTCATTTAAAAGGAATGTAAATAAGATGGGTTGAGGGGGCAAGAGAGGATTGAAATATCTTTGATTTGGTGTAATTGAGAAAAAGAAGATTATGAATAATCGTATGATTAAGGAAAGGGGAGGAAAAATGACGACATGAACCCGAGGAAGGGAGATGACCGCTTGAAAACATGTTGATAATGATGTCTTTTTCATTAGTGATAAGAAAACGTCTTACCAATTGTTTTGTTTTCGAGAACGTGTAACGCGTACGATATTCGCATTTCTCTCCGCATATATATATATATATATATAAAAAAAAACAATCACTTCAATTTAAATAAAAATTAATTGGTTATATTGTGAATTAGAAGTTTAATAGTGTATTGGGGTTAACAATTGGCCAATAGTTTACATCTTCGTTTCACTTTTATCACTCGAACATTCGACGAAGTAACAGTGTAAATTTATTTTGTTATTTTATTTTAATATTCATGTGCATGTTTATTTATGAAAGGAAAACGCGCGCTCGAGTAATGTATGAATCTATTTTTAATAATTTATATGTTTTATTTATCAAATTTATAATACCAAGATAGATATGAGAACACAATTTGTTTAAGTAACATTTGTTTTTTTATATATATTTTCTTTTTAATCCCAAATTTTAATTTCTGCAATTTGTCTAGTAGAACACTTGGTTCCAAAAATTATGGAAAACGTATAAGTGCCATTGTCAATGGATTTATAAATAAAATAGATCAGAAAATTGACCGGATGTAACAAAGACATTAGCATAGTGCCGTCCGTGTGACTATAATCTAAATTTTTTCGTTTTGCGCCAGTAGAATTGACTTACATCATTTCCCTTATCGTCAATGGTTTTTCGAGGTTCTCTTGGGAAACAATAAATTGTCAAGTTTACTAATCAGTTAATATGAATTTTCAATCTTGTCCCTCTATTTTTTTGAAATTATTTATTTTTTAGGCACTTTTTATTTTATTAGTATTCTTATCAATTTTGTTAGATAGTGAAGGGTTTCGAGATGGAAAATTAACATTTCTTTTTATTTTGTAATTGTTTCTTATACAAAAAAAATGTATGTCAATGGGTCCTTGAGAAATCTAAAGTTTTAACAGAAATATATAATATAAAATGTATATGCATTAGTTTTGACGTAAATGTAATAATGAATATGTATTATTACATAATTTATGATTAGATATGTGAAATTTTGAAAATATTCTTGTAACAATCAATATAATTTATGTATTTATTATTTTTTTTCTTAAAGTAATATATACGTATTTTTATGTTATTTAAATTTTCGTTTTATTAACTGAAATGTAATTGAGTAGGTAAAAACAGATGTCTAGTCTTACCGACCAGATAACTTTCTAGATAAAGTACATTTCTAATTTATCGATCAGACGATTAAATAAATTCCATAAATTGAACATAGAATATAGAAATATATAGAACATTACAAGACCATTTTTTATGTAAAAAAATCATTTTAGCATCGAGACAAGCAATGGATGATAGTAAGTAAAATACTGTATTTTTTGATAGTATTGTACCGTTCTTTGATAGTAATGTACCGTCATTGTGTTATGTAGTGATGCTCGCATGGTGGCGCGTCGGTTCCACAGCAAGGTCTGCCAACTTAAGAAAAATACGATTGGCACGAGTGTAAAAAATCTACTTTACTTGTTTGCCAAATACCACGTTGTATAAACGCATATTTAGTTTCGTGAAAAGTCACGTTATATATTTTATATAATAAATAAATATTTGTTAAGTTTAACTCCTCTATATTATTTGTAGTTATTAAGATACCCGATAGCTAGTTAAGTACCTACTATCGCCCACTGGTGGTTCCGGTGCTAACTAAAATGGCTTTCTTATATGAAAAGTGGTTAGTTTCACAATCAACAAAATCTTTGTTGGCAGCACTGAAGGAATAATTATTTTGCAATTAGAGACGAGATTATAGTAGTGTTGATTAAGTGAATTGTTAGGACATTGTTATTGCCAGTAGTAATATTTCATTTTTTTTTAAATAAAAAAGACAAAAGAATAATACAAAAATGAGTAATTCAACTATTACTGATCAATCCCTCATGGATAAATCAATGCGGAGTGTATTCGGTAAGAGGTTATAAAATTTTTATTGAACAATTGATATATTAATCTTTTAATCTGTTCATAGATTGAATTTATTTTTCTATGAAAAAATAAATACATTATTTTCTATTTTTCATTAAAAGATTTATCAATGTATGTTAAATTTTTTCTATATGCATTCATCTTTTTGATTTGACTTGAAACACATATTCTTCGTATATTTATGTTTATCAGTTAACAATTTTGAAAGTTTTTAATAGAAATAGAATATGAAGATTTATTGAGAATTTGTTTACAGTCGGGAATATCCCGTACGAAGCAACCGAGGAGAACTTAAAAGATATATTCAGCGAAGTTGGTCCAGTACTTTCTTTCAAGTAAGTTTTTCCATTAATTTATCTTACAAAACAAATTATTAATGTTTTCTCTTATTGATGATGCATTATCTAACAATTATTTGTAGATTGGTATTTGATCGCGAGACAGGAAAACCTAAAGGTTATGGTTTCTGTGAATACAAGGATCAAGAGACAGCACTTAGTGCAATGAGAAATTTGAATGGTTACGAAATTGGTGGAAGAACACTACGCGTAGACAATGCATGTACAGAGAAGAGTCGTATGGAAATGCAGAGTCTTTTACAAGGACAGAATACTGAGAATCCTTATGGAGAGGCAGTTCAAGCTGACAAAGCTCCTGAAGCAATAAGTAAAGCAGTAGCTTCCCTTCCACCTGAACAAATGTTTGAATTAATGAAACACATGAAGATATGTGTACAGAATAATCCTAACGAAGCACGACAGATGTTACTTCAGAATCCACAACTTGCTTATGCTTTGTTACAAGCACAAGTAGTAATGCGAATAGTGGATCCTCATACTGCTGTTAGTATGTTACATAAAGCTAATCCAATTCCAAGTGTGTTGACACCTTCAGAAAAGCCAGTGGTACATCAGATTCCACCACGTATCGAAGAACCATGGGCAGCGCCAAGACCTACACCAGTAGTTGCTAATCCTCCTGCACCTATTTTTGCAGGTATTATTACTATTAATTAAGATATTCAGTATAATTAAGAATAAATAAATCTAAGAGAATTAATTGATATCTTTAGGTCAAGATGTAGATCTTCGAACATTGGATAGACAGATGGATCCTCGTTTAGCAAGATTAGATCAAGATTTAAGAGGACCACCGCAAACCCAAGCAACTCCGGTTGTTGTACCACCAATTATAACTGCTACTGCTGATCCTAGGGGACCTCCTACTACTTTTACTCTACCAGATAAGTTAGTATATTATCAATACTCAATTATCATTTTTATTAATTAAACAATATATTCTCAAATATATACTCTTTTTTGCAGCAACCTTCCTGTAGTAGAAGGAGTGGAGAGGTTGTTAATTATTTCAAATAATTATTACATGAGAGATCATTCTTATTTATTATATTAATTTAATGTCGTATAACTTTTTAGCTTTTGCCGTGATCCAAGAGCTGACAGATTTGGTAGAGATCCAAGGGATCCAAGAGATCCCCGTATGCCCATTGATCCAAGAATCGCTAAACCTACTCGTAAGTTTTTATATATAAATATTACAAATCAATATATGTAAGAGATTTTATAGATAAATGTCATATGATGATCTTACAGCTCCTGTACCAGTAGCACCTCCTATCGTACCAAGACCAGTAGCAGCACCTACAGTTCCACCACCAGCTGTAGTTGTTACAAATAACGGTGTACCTCCTACCACTGCTCTTACAACATCTGCAAGTACTGCTACTTCTAGACTTATGGCAGGAATGTCACCAGCAGGCAATATACCAAACGGTGCGTCGGATCAAGAAAAGGTATGTTCATTTACGATTATTTTGGTTTTAATATATAAAAAGACAAATCTCTCTCAATGATACACAACAAAAACAAATATTTTTATATGTAAAAAAATATAAATTTATTTCTTATTATAGGCAGCATTAATAATGCAAGTATTACAGTTATCAGACGAACAAATTGCTATGCTTCCACCGGAACAAAGGCAAAGTATTTTAGTTCTTAAAGAACAAATTGCCAAAAGTACACAGCGTTAATAATATATTATATAATATGTGATAGTATTGTAATATTAATATAATTTTAAGACATTAATGTAAGGAACAAACATTGTTGACAAATTCAACTTCTATAAAACTAAAATATATAAGGTATATATTGTAACAATATACATATAAAACTCTAAATTTTAAACAAATTTTCATTATATAAACTCTGAATTAAACTAAAACAAAAATATATTCAAAATCTAATTGTGTACTTTGTTCAGTCTTTTAGGATTTCTTCTTTAAATTGAAAATAACCATCATCGATTAAAGAACTGTAAATCAATTCAGTACAATTTTTATCTGTATATAATTCGACAAACAAAATATTCTCATGTCGTTCCTGAAAAAAATAATCTTATTGCGTAAAGGTTTTTCATTTTTTACAATAATTTCATTAAAATAATATTAAATGTTTACCTTTATTTTAAGTGTGATGGTAGTATTATATTTTTGGTTCATTTGTTCATTGACCATTTTAGATGTTTCTGTACTATCGTCAACATCAATATTCCATAATTGACATTTTATTGCAAATATTGGTAATGTGAACCATTCTTTTTTCATTATACGTAAATCACACCTTTAAAAAATAAATAACAATGAATTTTTAAAACAACACATACAATAATTTATCTAATAAATAATAATATAAATTATTTACTTCTCTAAGGTAATTATTCGCTGTTCGTCATTTCCATAATCGACGTAGCATAAGTGAACTAAAACTTTGTTTGGATTTTTGGTCTTGATAACTTCTTTAATAAGACATCTATACCAAATATTATCAGAAAATAATGAACAACATGGAGTATCTAAAAATATAATATGTAAAACATTGTTATTTATATAAAGATTTATTTTAAATTCATCTATTATAAAAACCTACTTGAAACTAAATTTTGCAACAAGGGTTGCTTGGGAGCTTCTTTTTGTAAATTTTCTATCAACAGATTATATTGATTATAATAATCGTTCAATACCTACAAAATAAAATAATAAATTATATTTGAAGATAATAATGTTACTAGTGTGCGTGCGTGCGTGCGTGCGTGCGTGCGTGCGTGCGAGTATCCTTAATTTTTGAAATCTAATTATTTTAATAAAATTACCTTCAATTCTACATTTTTATTTAGTTGTACATAATAGGTAGTCAGCGATTTATTATAACATAAGTTTACTTCAAACGTATCGATATCTTCAGGAATAATCATTGGTACATATTGGTAACCATTATTTTCAAAAAATAGTTTTCTTAGTGGACTGGAAAGATCTATTTCGTTTATATTTGTTTTTACTTCTTCATCGGAATCACTGTTATCCAAAAAATAATCTATTTTCTTCATAAGATAATTGTAATTTGTGCTGCCATTTACTTTCTTCACCATCGTATGATCTGTTTTTATTTTAAATGTAGTATTACTGTTTATTATATCTCTAATTGACTTAGAAAAAATTGGAGATTGAATCCTCTGCGATAATTTGAAATGATCAGAATATGTTGGATCAGATGCTAAATCAATTCCTAATTTATGAATAATATAATAAAGAAGATTACATCTTGTTGGTTCTAATATTGTTATGGATACCTGCGAAGAATGATTTTTATTATAGAGAGATAGAGAGAGAGAGAGAGAGATGGTTATTTACATTAGACATTTGAAATCTAAATTGGTGAAATACATGGATACTCATATCGGTTTAAAAAAGAAATAAATGATATCTTACAACCAAGTGTGTATCCTTTTCTTCTAAAACAGTTACTTTACATTCCTTTTCTACGAGAAGTAAATGTATTTTATCCAAATCTTCTATTTTCCATTTCCCATTTGCCTATTAAGTGAAAATATAGATTAACAATATTTATTTCCTTATCAAATTATATATTAAAAGATATATGATTATATAATCAATTACCGGAATTAAACCTTCAACAACACATTTAACAGATTGAATTGGTATGTTATTTAACATAACTTTCTTTTTTAAACATCCAATCTTACATTCTTCTACATTTCCATAATCTACAAATTGTACCTCTACTGTATTTTCATTTAAAACTGCCAATACTTTAGCTCTGTACCAAAGATTGTTAGCATGATATTGTGCAATGCATATATCACCTTTCTTCCATTTTTTATCACATGCTTTTACTTTCACTTTTTGACAATATTCAGACAATATCGATTCTATATATTGAAGCGTCTTCTTTCCTTGTTTTTTACAATGTAAATAAATATTTGCAGAGTAATCCACGTTTGTTGGTATACCAATAAAAGTTTTATTTTTTAATGGAAGAGCAGGTAACCAATCTATTAAATCCGATTTTTTGCTCTTATTGATATTGTTCAACATAAATTTATGCTCTTTTTTATTATTACCTTCTTCTTCGTCATATTCTTCGTCTTCGTCTTCATCTTCATCTTCATTTTCATCCTCATCTTCATCTTCATCTTCATCTTCATCTTCATCCTCATCCTCATCGACATCTTCATCTTCATCTTCGTCTTCGTCTTCATCCTCATCTACATCTACATCTACATCTACATCTTCATCTTCATCTTCATCTTTTTCAACATCTTTATTCTCTTCTCTAAAAGTTGAATTATCTTCTAAATCCTTTAATTCATTTTGTGATTTATTATTTGATTCATCTTCTACTTCCATCTTTACATTATTATTTATTGCATTTTTTATTTCATCTTTATCATGACATACTTCATCTTCAATATCTTTTCTAATATTTTCTACTTCTTCATACTCCTCCTCCTCCTCCTCCTCCGAAGAAAGATCCTTTTTTTCATCTAATTTATTCTGTTTTTTATCATCTTCATTATCTTTTTCTGATTTGATGTCTTCAATTTTCCTGATGTTTACTTTTTCTTTTTCAATTTTTTCCAAATTACTAGACATAGGAATATCATCTAATTGATTTGATTCCTCCATGGAAGATGACATATTTTTGTCATCAGATTCTACATTATTTGCTTCATCTTCATGCGTTATTTGAGTTTTTAATAATTGTCGCATAAATTCAATGGCTAATATCTTTTCTTTTTCTGCGTTATAGCTATGGAATTTCATTAATATTCAATTAGATATTTTACTTATTTAAATTATTATTATTATTATTATCATTATTATATACATACCCTTTTATTGGTAAAGCTAGTCCACTTTCAACTAACATTTTATTAACCGAAATTATTTCTATTCTGTCTGGCGATAACGGTCCAACTGCTATCGACTTCTTCATCCAAAGTTCAACAAGTATCTCTTCGTTGTTTTTGATTTTTTCCTAGAAAATATAAAAAAGGATTGTTTTACAAAATATTATTGTAAATTGTTAATTAGTACAGGTAACTCTCCTATAACACGGTAGATAGGTTCCTAGAAAATGCCGTGTTGTGTGAAGACCGAGAACCATGAGCCAAAAACTTTTGTTTTCAGGTTATGGAGATAAAAGGAAATACTTTCCACAACACTGTATCTTTAAGACGTCAAGCCTCGCCGGGGCTGTAAAAGTACAGTGTTGTACAAATGTTTTTTTTTTTTTTTTAAAGGAAACCGTGTTATAGGTTGCCATGTTGTAAGAGGGTTCCCGCAATTTAGGAATCGTGTTATAAGATGTCGTGTTGTAGAAGGGCTACCTGTATTTAATATAAACTTACTGCTAGTGTGATATAAAATGGGACATGTTGATTTTCATGTAATATATCAAATAATTTTTGGCACGATAAGATTGGCCATACTTCGGTACCACCGCAAGGTAAAAGACCAGCGAGCTTTATTTTGAAAACAAATGCTGATTCCTTATGGAACATTGGATGCAACGGTTTTATATATTTTATTGGTATTTCTTCTTCAATGGCCACGTCATAGAATGATACAAGAGCTTTTTCCGTTGTTAGGATTTTTAATATATAACCACGAAAATAACATTTTTCTTTTTCATAATATACAACACAGAGGGAATCCTTCGTCCATACTTTCATTTGTGACGGATGATATTTCCAATAAAAATCATTTAATTTTGACATAAATTCTGTTTTAGCTTTCATACGGAGCATGTCAGAAACGTAAATGCAATTGGGTGACACTGATTTATGTATTTGAATGGATACTTTGAAAGGATCAGGTTCGATCATCATTAATTTTGATGTTCCTTCGTATTCTTGTTCATCTAGGGATAAACGTAGTCCCTCCATGACAGATTTTGTTGTTGGACAATATTTTGTTTTAGAACTTTGACATATCAAACTAAAAATCAATACGTCAATTAATTAATTAGTTTTTTTACTTGTTGAAGAAAAAAAAAAGGAAAAAAAGACTTGTTTTTAAGGAATCGTTTCATTCAAATTAAATTCTTACTTTGGATTTATAAAAACGGCGTAACCTTCATCAACTAAACGCGTATTAAAACTATAATCATCAATATATAAATGAGCTTGATAAATATCTTTTTTTATTTCCACAGGAATTATTATGACGATTTTAAGATGCAAATTTTGGCGTATAAACCTGTAGGTATCCGAACTCCACTTTTTTAAGTTATTAGATGGCTTTATATTTACCAAAGAAATTTTTATCGCCTAAAAATAATATAATACATAATAATAAGTATACATAATGATAATTATAAGAATATTAATGACAAATAAAACATACTTGCGCTTTACTAGACCTGAAAAATTCAGGCAATTCTCTTATGTTTTTGATATTTTTTATAAGGGTAATAAATCCATAATCAACGCTGAATACAGTAATTTGCGAATTAGAATTGATATTAACTACTAATCCACGATACCATGATTTTGAAATTGAAAAAGCGCAAACATCACCTAATAATAATAATTAGATTGTATTATCTTTGTTATATATATATATAGGGAAAAGGTTATCCATTATTTTTACGTTTACTTTAAGACTTTATTTAACATATTTTTAGTTGTCTGATTTTGGTCAAATATGCACCGTTTTGTTCATTAATTTATTGCCGTTTTAAAGGTAGCTTCACAATGCCTGTCTCATAAAAGTCTTGGTCCCTATTTGCGAAAAACTCTAGGGATCGATTTTTACAATCTTCTTTTAATGTCATCTAACGAAAAACTAATGGATTACTTTGTTCCCAATCTAATATATATTGATATGCTTATATATGATATTATACCTTTTGAACAAAAACGTTTTATCTCAGTATTATCACTATTTTCATTAAAATAATTATTCATTTCCTTCATAAGCACGTTATTAAAATTTTCACCATCTTCGAACTGTGAACAAATTGAATATAAAATTAATTTTTTTCATTTTTATATAGAATTATTAACACACTATCGGCGGGTAACATCATGAGCTTGACTCACACGTATAGCGGCCGAAAATTAGTGAAATATGAAAAAAGTGCACTTTTTACAAAACATGTAATATCTTCACATCTATTAGTAGGATTTCAATGAAATTTAGAAAATAGATATCACATAGTATTTCAAAGATGTAGAAAACTTAAACTCAATACTATCAAAATCAATCAATTGAATTTATGCTACTTTGTAAGCACGAAATTTGCAGTGTCAAAATAGCACATTTCATCGAATTATAAGTTTTTTTTTTAAATTTATAAATTTAGAACTAAACACTGGTCAAGCTTTACATCATTCCTGCCAAAAAATTAGTGACAATGTAAAAAAAAACAAGCATTAGTAAGTGTTTTACTAACACTTAGCTTACGTTCTGCATAAAACGTATTAATACGCGACCCGCCGACCAGCGCCAATCTGTGGAAAAGGTATTATTACCTGATCCACCAATAGTGTGTTAAAATGATTTAATTAATCATGAATAATTTTAAAATAATAATATCTTGCCTTGGTAACATATATTAAGTTAGAATTGATATGTTGAACTTTGACTATGGTTTTCTTGTTTATTGTGAGATCTTCATAAAAAAATGTATGTTGCTTCGGAAATAGATCAATCTTTTAACAAGCATATAAGAAAGAAACAAATTAATATCATATTTTCAATTTTGTGAATATATTATTATTGATTAAATAGAAATTTTTATTCGTATACCTGTATATATTGATCCAATGGATGAATACTTTCTGTTGCAGTTACACCACAATTTGAAAATATCATATTATTACGAACAGAGAATGATTCTTCTCCTACTGAATTGTCGGCATGAAGATCAACGTGACTAACCGAATCAGTTGTATGCATGACGTACATCATATATATTTTATTTCTGTAAAATAACGAAGAAAGAACAATTCATTTGTTAATTTCTTTTTCTTTTACAATATATACGTATATATAAATGTATATATTCTTTGAATAATAAAAATAATGTCATGGCGTCCTGGGCAAACATATCATTTCGAAGTAGCAGTCAAAAGGTTGATAAAATGAAAGAATGTACATTAAATGAGATGATTACTTACTTTTGAACAAATTTACGAAATATTTTAATAGCTGCCTTATTATAAGAATCATTAACTGGAGAGATACCGTATAAGCTACATTTTATGGCGTATGCAGGTATCAAAAGAAATTTCTTTGGGATGACTCTTATACGATCAATTGATACATGACTTTCTAAATGTCCGATGTCGATGAATAATACATTATAATGTATTTCAGTTCCTACATTTTCAATTTTCTGAATGACTCCTCGATACCATTTCTTTTCCAGTTTCATTTTATCGAAATAATGACATACCATGAACATTTCATTGACTGGAAAAATATAGACGAGTAGTCAATTAATGTCATTATAATGTAATAATACGACTAGTGAACTTATTAATTACATACCACGAATAAGATACGTTGGAGGGCAGATTGCTTCATGACTGTACAATTGAATATCGTTCGATAATTTTTCATATGCTGATTGATCGGATACATTTTGAACGTAAAAATGTGTTGGATCAATGATCTTTAGAATTTTGACCCTTCTGGCAGCTATAATAAAATACAAAATGTTTAGTTAGTTGATTTAAATTGTTAAATTAAAATATTTCGAAAAATTTTCGCGGGTTCTATTTTTGTTGTTTCTTTTTTACAAGAGGGAATTTGAAGTACCCATTGTTATTGTCGCGCATTCAGAGGTGAAAGTTCAGTTGCTGGTAGGCAATCCATTTTACAATGGCTCATTGAAACATGTTATGACACGAGAAAGAACAATGATTCTCTCCAGTTTGAAATCTCTATGAATCACTACTGCGTTCGCATTAATGAGCAACCTCCGATCGGGGTGATCACATCGGTGATCACTCAACGAAGATAAAATGCTTTGAAAAGGATTGAAAACAATTGAAAAAACGAAACGACCGGATTCAACACAATCATCATTCGACTATCTTCGAATCATGGCTTTCATGAAATTGTTACTATTTCATTCATACGATGATTCGAAACAACGTATAATGAGCGTATTAAAATACTATGAAATTATTAATTAGTAAACAAATATATATATATACGTGCCGTTAGGGTTTGTAGGGTTTGTAGGGTTAACAAAAAATTGTTTATTTTTCATGTGTGTATTGAATCTAAACCAAAAAGTTATTTTATTTAGTATTTTTAATAAGCAATTTGTAATGAATCTTATTATATTCATATTTTGTATGGCTAAATATTACACTTTTTGGTTTAGATACTGAAATAATCATTTACTTTGTTTAACAAATTGCTTACATTTCGATTGATTAGAAACCTCCGAAACAGATGCCGATGAATTACAATTATCCAAAAGTTTTTTTAATTGGGAAACTGAAATAAAAAGAATAAACAATGATAATAATAAATATTCAGAATAGTTTTGAATTAAAACATGTAAATTAATTCACTATTTTTCATTTAACGCAGAAAGGTGGTGGTCTTAAAGTAGGAAATCATGAAGAAGATTTTAAATAAGCTATATTCATTATTCATTGCTAAATTATGACGCAAGGGATGACGAGGAGGAGGAGGAGGAGGAGGAGGAGGAGGAGGAGGAGGTGAGGGAGAGATTAATGGAAAACCGCGTAAAAACGCGAGTTTCATTGCAATCATTTGAAATAAAACATTTATTCTTACATTCGGGAATAGTTATTTTCTCATCCAATGGTTCAATTTGATAATTTTCGGGTAAGGATTCAGTCCGAACAAGAGATAATTCTGGTATTGATGGTATCTCGAGTTTACAATGTTTATTCAAAGCTTCAACTATGCTATTTTCAGTTTCAAATCTGTAACAAATATTATATTATTTATAAAATTTATATTACTTTCTTTTTTCTTCTTCGTCTTCTAAAAAGTATGTCGTCTCTGCTAATGTTGAAATTTTTAATATATAAAATATAAAAAATATATCAGAGATATTTAATTAATTAAAATAAAGATGGTCATTTACATATCAAAAGTCATTTTGTAAACTTACATTATTTTATTTTCATTAATAGGAGTTTTTGATAATAAATGAAAAGGCACATCGGTGATTTGTTTCAATTGGTTGATTATGTGTTGCAAGTCGACTTCTTGAATATGTTGTGACACGGCATTAGTAGCTATCTGTAAAAGAAAATAATACGATAAAAATAAGACTCATTGAAGATTTTGCTATTATTTAAAAAAAAAAAAAAGAAGAAAAATTTAAAAAGAAAGAACGTACCGCTAATACGTCTTTTATCAATTTGTAATGGGACTTCAATTGCGACTCGATTTTCATGATATTTCCTTCATCACATTTGTTATTCCGTTTATAAAGTCTATCGATCATTCTTTTTTCGATGTTTTGCAGGACACCGTGCAAATAAGCAAAATGTTGCGTTATCGATGTTTCGATTTCGCCGATATTCATCTCTGATTCTATTGGAATTTGTATTTTTTTCAATTTCTGAAACAGAAAGAGGACATAGATATACCACAATTATAATATGCTCGACTAGGAAGAAGTAGAAGATATCGTGAAACATTCGAATAATTTATACATTTGGTCGATTTCATTGAACGAAATGACGGATATAAAACGGACTGTGTGATACACACATTTTATTGAATTCTTCGTAGAGATTCATGGTCCGGTAACGATGCTTGGGATAGTTAAATCGTAAGTTCTCCATTTCCCAACGAATTCCATATATTGAAATATTTCGAATAATATCGGCTACAAGCAGAGATTTTTATCGCGAATTCGCATACCATTGGAACACAACAAATTGAAAAAAAACGTGGATGATGAATGCGGTGGGTGGGAGTGAGGGGGGGGGAAGGTTAAGATGAGGTGAGGTTAAGACTTGGCTTTTTTTATTATGAAATATAAATAAAATCGATTTTTGTATTTATTGATATTGATTATGAGATTTCGAATTTTGCACAATTTAAGGAAAATTTATTTGACTTTTCGTTATAATTCACGCGTATTAAAATGTGTATTGCTAGTTTTGCAAATTATTATGTTTTTATTTTTTTTTATTTTGATTTACTCGAATATTAATTTGTTTCCTTTTAACAACGTTAATCTCATTAAGAGAGGATTTGTCATAAGCTAGATATAATACCGTGAGCTTGATTATATCAATAACAGAGAATATATCTTCCAATAGATTATTCTCGTTAATTATTTAGCGTGAGAAATGAAATTAATCCGATCGAATTTAATTGATAAAGATCTTTTTTCATTCGATATTTTTTTTTTTTTTAAGTGAAATTTCTTTCAGAAGGGTACCCCTGAAGCTCTGCAAGCAACACTTTAAGAGAGAAACCATACTTATAAATGTATGTATTACACAGTTGCTGACATACTAACTTTTAAGTAAAACCACTTCTCTGTTCTATTTATCATCGTAGTTGGTATATGTTGTTCAACTAGTTTTCACTTAAAAACTTGCTAGCTTCTTCTAGTTCATGGTGAAGAAACATGTTTGACATTGGTATAAATTGAACTTCTGAAGATCTCATTTTTGAAAATAAAATTAAAATAACATAAGACAGGAATTTTTGATTCAAATTGTTACTGTTTTGTTAAATTTTACTTTTTTGTTAAAATAAATGTACGACTATATTTGCTCTATATGATTTTTAGTCATATCAATATTAATCAACCGAAGAAAAAACATTTTTAAAAATACAATATATTAATGCAACATGAATTTTGCATTTCATCTCTATTTATAATATATATAATATATATAATATTATATTATATTAAATTATGTATATATATATATATACGTAAAACGCGCGAATAAGAAATAAGATTATATAGATAGAGTTAAAAGATCGAGCAGAGTTCCGTGAAAGGAAAGAAAGAGAGATTTTCGCTGCTGTCTCTCTGCTGTTTCGAGACAGGCTTCGAAGTAAAGGTTTGTGTTTAAGAGAGAACAGAGATTGGAAATGGCAGGGAGTTCGAAGAAGGAATGGGCTCTGACTAGTTGCGAACGTACAAGTTCCCTCAGTCTTACGCCTTCCGAGGACCGGTAATCGTCGTGTGATTGTCCTCTTTTTCTCTCTTTCTTTCTCTATCTGTATTTTATTTACCTGTTATCGAATTTTCTTCTTTTTATAATTTTTTTTGTCCCACATCCCCCATTCCCCCACTCCTACCCACATCAACATCACCCCACTTATCTTATTATAAGTAGCTTATTTTTTTTATGTTAATCTTTTTTTTATATGAACCAAAGAGAAAGAGAGAAAGAAAATCAATTTTTGGTCAATTTTGATAAAGTGAAAATGAAACGTGATTGTCGTTATAGTTATTGTTGTTGTTGTTATTGTCCACCAATTTAGCAGATTCGTTTGTTCATTCAAAGAACGAAGAAGGAGGTGTTGACCAAACGTGGAAGTTGTTTTTTTTAAGGGTTACGGGGGTTAGGGGGGGGGATTATTGTGGGGAGGAAGGTTGAGGATGTGGTTTTTTCGTTTTGCCATTGCGTTACTTTGCGCTGAGATCGTATTACCGTCTATTACCGGTAAGTTTATTATATACAATAATATATATATATAAATATAAATATTTATTTAATATATAATAATTATATATAAATAAAAGTGTGGGTGAGATGGGGGAAAAACGAAAATCAAAGTTTACTTTTAAATGATAAAAAATATTTAATTAACAACTATATATAGTTCGAAATTGTTATAAATAAAATTAACTAAAAAATTCATTCTTTTCCTTTCTCCTTCCTTTATTTACATTTTATTGAAATTTTATTTTTACGATTTACGAAGACGGTACATACTTTTCGAGAAAAAAAAAAAGATATTTTCCTTTACAAAATCATGGACGCGGGAATATAAGAGATCGAATGGAGGGAAGTTCAAATGAAAGGACATCGATAGAGTGCAGAAAGACGATTGTAGTTCTATATAATATAATATGTCTATATGTGTATGTATGTATCTATGTATACAATGCATGTACAATGCATGTACAATGGATATGTATTGGAAGAGAGAACGTTCGGGGTAACGCGTAAGCGGAAAATTTTTCAACAACCGGCACACACGGCTCGTGGGAAAACGTGCTACGCCTTGCTAACGCGTACTACCACTACTATCACAACCACTTATATACATTTTTACGAATATATATATATACATATATACAAATACACTATACAAAATACATAATTTTAGGAGTTAAAAATCAAGATGATTTCTACAAGAAAATGTGATTGAATCGAGTATTTTCGATTGATGTGAAAAAGAAACGACATCTTTATAAAAAGAAAATAATATCTTTTTTACCCTCTTTCATATCCTATTTTTCTCTTTTGACACTTTACCCCTTATGCCAGTCTTTCTTTCTCTCTCTCTGATTGTATTTCTTTCTCCTTTTTCTTTTCTTATTCCTTTTGGTAGAAATACCCATCCCCGAAAAGTCTTCTTCCTTCGAAAGGTACTCACAGTCCGATATCTTGTTTACCTTGATAAATGAGACCTGGCAAATCTGTTCTAACGTCTTTGCGATTGCAGTGTTAATTATACCATGCAAATAGTCAAAGGAAGTAGCCCGAGGGTCTTATGGGGCGATAATTAAACGAGCGAATGTCGAAGACTCTCGTGTTTAACCATGTTTATAATTGGGCCAAGTTAATGTACACTTTATTACTTTATTACTAATTAAAACCAATTTATTTTCTATTATTTTATTTCATTTATTTTTTTCTATCTTCTTTTTTCTTTTCCTTTTTTTCTTTTTTTTTTTCTATCATAAAAAAAAATTATGTATATATATATATATATATATATATATATATATATATATTAATATACTAATCTAATATAACATATAATACTAATATAATATAATAATGATAATATAATATAATACTAATATAGTATATAATATTATGACGCTTAAAAAGATAAAGATTTAAAAAAGAAAAAAATAAATAAAAAAGAATTATTATCTTCATTTCTAAAGGAAGATAATTTAAATATATTTATCGTTTATCGATAGAAAATATAATCGTGTTTGAAATTGTTGATCCTAACGAGTACTGATAGAATCACACGGTACGATCACGAACGCAATTTATGAAATTTTAATCAATAAAAAAAGGATGATGATCATTCTGACTGACAGAATTTTATTATATATATACATCTTGTTAAATCACGATGATATTACGTTTTATGATTCATGAACTTTATATCTTTTTACTTATGAGTAACTTGACAGTTTCAAGGATACTATTATTATTATTATTATTATTATTATTATTATTATTATTATAGAAAGACGATTACTGCTTAAACATACCTAACATACCTGCATTCATAAGAATGATATGAAATTTCATAACAAAGAAAAAGAGTGAGAGAAAAAAATGGGTGTGCACATTGGCATCAAAAATACGTATCGTATCTTTTTCAAACCTTGAAAGGTATACCAACCTTATTTAACCTAAGTTCAAATCATAAAACATTATCGTCATCGTCATCATCATCATCATCATCAACATCATAGCCTATTCCAATAACACTAAACGAAAACTATGTCACGAAGTAATAGTGTTGCAATCGTTACGATTTCTCATTTGTGATGTCACCTGTGTCCCTTCTCCTTTTGCTAATGTGTATGTGTGTAGAATGTAAAAGAAAACAAAAAAAAAAAAAAGAAAAAAGATTTACATTTTTGTACCGTGCATTGTTATAATTAAACAGTACTCGATATATTTTCTAAAGTATGTCACGGTTAATAATAAATACTCATAAATGAATCTAGGAACAAGAATATTTTCCTAATTCAAGGATTATTGCAACGGACGTCCTGTATTTTTATTGATGCCTACGCCAATGCCTATCCTTTGCATTTAATTTTTTACGAACGATCGATTTTTTTTTTCCTCTTATTCTTCATTACTAATATCGAGATTTATAGTTTTATTATTAACGTATGATTATTATTTAACCACTTGCGATGGAAAGACGTGTCACGCACGTCGTGATACCTTCGTCGCAGAATTGCACAACGACGTGCATAACACGTTGTAATTCAATGGCACAGAAACAAAAACAACGTGCGTTACACGCGCGACAGACAATTCTTCGACACCGCAAGTGGTTGTTAATAGAATACAAAGTTGACTATTTGTTGTTGTTGTTTTACAGGTAGTCTTCTGTAACAAGGTAGATTGGTTTCGAGAAAATGTCGTATTTTGTTAAATCATGTTATGCAAGATCCAAATTTTATTATTCTTTCGTATCATTATTTTCAAATAATTTCATTTTTAAATGTGTTGAGCAAAAATCATGTTATTCAGTGTTTTTGTAGAAGTACAATGTTGTACAGAGGTTTGTTGCAATTTTCGTATCATGTTAAACCAAAACCTTATTGTAGAAAATATACCTGTATTTTTAATTGTAAAAAAAAGAAAAACAAGAAAAAAGAAGAGTATAATTTAACTTAAAAACCTGTTCGATGTGTTACGATATAAATAGGTTTATTCTTTTCTGTATTATATTTATTTTTTGTTCTATTTTTTCTTCTTCTTTTTTTATTTTTTTTTTTTTATTCTTCTTTTAAGAGAACACGCATAAGAGTTTACTCGATAAGATGAAAAACGATCGGGAACGAATTTTTCCTCGAGCGAGAGAAGACTCTCATACGAACAGCTATCTCTTTCTCTTTTTCTCTCTCTCTCTCTCTCTCGCACTTGGAAACCAATCGAGAGGTGCTTTAGAATCTGGTAGAAGATCTAGATCGAGAAATAACTACCGTTCAAGGATAAACGTTCAACCTCTCTCGTTCTTTCACGGATCGATTTAATCTTCGATCGTCCTTCGACCTCAACGAAGATTCTTCTACACACATTTCTTGCTTCATACTTTCTCATAAAAAGGATCGATAATTGCAAGAACCTCAAGGAAGACAAGTTAAGACAAATATAGACGATTGCTTGTGATATGGGAACAAAAATGATTATTTGTAAAATAATTTATAAACAAAATATAACAAGAGAAGAAGAAGAAGAAGAAGGAACATAAAATACGTATATGAATGCATAAATGGCAAAATAATTTTTGATTTTTGTTTTTTTTTTTCCTTTCAAATATGCATACAAATACGTTCATCATGTGAATGTGAAAATCTTATAGAATTATATATATATAATGCGTGATCAGAGAATCCTATATTTTTATATTTTTATATCTTACCTATTGTTTTTTCTTTTTCTATTTTCTTTTTAAGCATAAACGAATGGGCGGGGTTCAATGTTTTTTTTTTGTTTGTCTAGATAATAAAAGTTTTTCTTTCGTGTTGTTTATTTTTTGTACATTTATTCCAGTATACGAACAACACGCGAGGAGTCAGAAACGGTTATTGTTTTTGGATGTTTTCCTAGCTATGTGATGATGAAAAGAGAAAGAATGAAATAATATCATCCTATAAGGATAAATCTCAGCTCGCAGATATTTCATTTACGAATACGACAAAAGAAGTAAAAGCTACGAAAACGAGTAATAGTTATAGTAGTAGTAGCAGTAGCAGTAGCAGTAGCAGTAGCAGTAGTAGCAGTAGTAGTAGTAGTAGTGGTAGTAGTAGTAGTCATCGTTGCGTATCCCTTTGTGAAATACAACAGATAAAGCAATAATGTTTAAATCGAATCAACCATGTTGCTTGCTTGCGTTTGCTTCTTACGTTAGACAGAGAGATTCTCTGGTTTGATTTTATTTTTCTTTTTGCTTTCATTTTTTATTTCTTTTTTCTCTCCCTATTTTCCCAAATGTGTATTATATCCTTTGATCGCGAATTTTTATCCGGAGAAAAGGAAATAATCAAATTGTCTATCTTCAACGAGTGAATTTTAAATGATATACAAAACCATCAAAAAAAGAATATTTTTTAATAGAATAATTATTATATTATTATATAAAATAAACTAAAGAATTGATTTATTTTTTAATCTTTTTGTCATAATTAACAACAAACACACATCATATATTCTATAATATGTAATACATATGAAATAAGAATGAAAAATAAATGGACATAGTGTTACAAAGTTGTAGACTATAGGAATGTTAGTTTAGTACCATTTGTTTTGAAATCGAAAAACAGGTCGTGCGACGATAAGGCGATAATGCGTTACCATCACTATACCTAGAACACTATACTAACTTACATGTATGTTACATACCGGTAAACACCAACGCGTTTCGTGCGACTCTCCCAAGTTTTTCTTTCATCGTTGAGTGCGTTGGCACATTGATAGAATCTCGTAAAATAGAAAAAGAAAAAAAAAACAAGAAAAAAAAAGAAATTATTTAATTAAAAAGGAGGCGTTTCTGTATTCTATTCTTTTTTTTATGTTTTATTGTATATATTAACATTTTTGTTACTGTTAATGTTGCTGTGTTGTTTTCATTGATTTTGTTTCTGTTATGGTTTTGTTTATTAGTAACGCTGTTGTTGTTGTTGTTGTTGATGCAATTGATAGGAGGTGGTATAAAATCGGTG